TTTTCTCTTCTTTTTTTTTTTTGGGCCTAGCGACCGCTTCTAAGCCAATGGCAAAGGGACGTTGATAGGTACCTACCCTAAGTACACGGAATTAGGATTTCTCATGACGGAGCATTGAGCTTTACGATAGGTACTTCGTCGTGGAAAGGCTCCCCCACGCTTTTGGCTCCTTTCCCGCTCTCGCTTTTTAATACCGCGCAATTGACGTATTAGGAGGCTCAGAGGGACGTGGTGGAGAAGACAGGGTCGATTTCTCAATAAAACAGGGTTGAATGCAATTTTCTTGGATACCCGTAGATACGTACCTTTCTGACTTTTTGCTCTGTCCCATCCCTTTGAGAACCAGCAAACAAGTTCAAAATCAAAATTGAGAAAAAAAAAATAGAAATAAAATTGGAGCATGACTCCCCGCGTGGACTGTGCTGAAGCTCTCACCCAGAAACACAACTCCCGATCCTGCTGCTCCAGTTTCTTTTTCCTTCTCGTCGTGTCTTATATGAGGTCAGTTTGCATTGGACAGATAAGCTAGAACAACGGGAACAGACGTTTTCTCCATGCATGCATTGCTTCGTACAGATGCCTTATGCACGACTTGATCGACCGTATTGTGCAAACCCGATCTTCGCTTGTTCATTATTCCATCAAGAGCCCTGACCGCAATTGGCGGGGTCGGCCACGAAAGTACAGGTGGACTGAGAGCACCACCCATGCAGCCAAGTGCAGCTTCTTCCTGCACGAGAGCTCTAGGCTTTCCCCTCGATTCTCCACTGCGTTGCCCGGTCGAAATGTTTTGTACAGATGTCAAAGTAAACAATTGAGGACCTGTACAGAGGGACGACGATGATGAAATGCATCGATGGCGCCGGTAACTAATGCGCGGTCTGGTAACCAGACTCGGCCACATGGAGAAAGAAGAAGCAAAGACTCAAGGAGCTCAGGTTCAAGGGATTTGGCCTTGTGGATTCACTAATCAATTTGACTTGCACAATCTCGGGAGAGCCTCATCCACCACGTGTTTCTTGTCCGATATTGCCCCCAATGGTCTGGGCCAGGCAATGGGAGCTCGGGCTGATTTGAGTTTTGGAGGACATTGATCGATCTTGCGAGATTGGAGACTGCAAGGGATTCCTTTCCATGTGCTCGAACTGGTCTCCTATCTCGGGCCTTCAATTTATTTGGTCTGCGCCAGTCGACCACAAAAAATCGGGTAAAACGGGGACTTTGACTACATTGGTCGCTGGTGAGGGAGGTAGCGTTGCAATTCCGAAGTCCGGAGTACGGAGTACGTACCTCGTTCTATTTACTGCCTTCCATTGATTGTTGCTTGCTCCCTTTGCGCCATGACCCTCCTCCGGCCAGACACCGAGCACGCCGTCGCAGCAGAAGTAGCTGCTTTCCAAGCTCCGTCTCTCAATCCGGTGAAACCAGGAAGCGACGTCTTTTCGCGTGTTGGGATCCGTGCCCCGCAGTCACCCAAGGAGGATTTTGGGAGGTGAAACAGGGAGAGTCGTACTGACAAGGAATCCGGGGTGGGATCATCTGGTACCGTACGTTGTATCGTCAGCCTCGGCCACCAATATCAGCCGGCAAGAGTCAAGGCTCAGCTCCAGGGTAGGTACTTTTATGCCAAGCGAAAAGAGCTCGGTCTGACGTGCTTGTCAGGCAAGTAACGACGACGGTACGGATAGGTACGATGCGATTGATCCGTCCGGCAGAAGTTCTTTACGAAGTATGACCATCACACATCACTCGCTTGAGTCGACCGCCGACGGGCGACAGATTCGTAGACACTCTCTGCACGTCGTAAGGCAACAGTCACACAACCTGCTTATCCATTTGGTCGTCCAATGGTTTGCCCCGGGCTGGAGCTGCAGAGCTGCAGCCGGGTGGGGGAGCTTCCGAAAAGCTGCCAGTCAACCGCCCTGGGTTGGCTGGTCGGACACGGCTGCAGCACATGATGCATGTGCAGGCATCGGGGACAGGGTCTGTCGTCTTTCTGTGGAGGATTTGTTCTCCTCGAAATTGTTTACTTTGTGTTTATTCTCTTTGTGCTCGTCATGCAATGCCAGGATTCGATTTTGAATATAGAAGTGCACCCGATTTAGAAATCTGGCTCTTTCAACTTGAAAAACAGCTTCGAGGGAGGAATGCTTGGATGCGAGGGATGCTGTCTCCTTCAAGGGATAAGATACGTCAGGACTTCCAGCAATAACGTACCATAATCGAACAGAAATAATTATCTATCCCTCGACTTGGAAGCATGAGGTACTGGCAAGGCTAGGTAGGTATTATTGTCCAGGATAACATTACCTGCATTTCGTACAGGATAAGGTAAGGCAGGCAACATGTGTGCAATACGGCACTTCGAAACTGCAGCCTTTGCTCCTCCGTGCATTCAAGGCTGCCAGTTATCTATCCCCCCTGCCAATGGATGCTGATCCATGAAAGTCATGCTTCGAACCCCAAGATGACCGAAGGCCGGACATGGTATCAACTGGAGCGAATGTTTTGTAATTATTGGAGATGAAAAAGCGGTCGATGAGATGAGATGGATAGCTACTGACAAGGGAGGGGGCTCAACAAAGAAAACGAAAGAAGGAAATAAAAAAAGATTATAAGCGCCGCAACCAAGTAAGTTAGCTGGCTCTTGGGATTCCAATATTAATCCAAGATCACGAAGATACCCGGCAACGGCAAACAAAGGAGGGGTCTTCCCTGGGGAAAATGCGTCCCTGTCGTCACTTTGATTCGAGGCCGTCAGGGGGAAAACGAGGTTCGTGGCTTCGACGCTCGGAGCACAGGTCATCACAGTGCGGGGACCTTGGGGCCACCTCACAGGGTCGCAAGTCACACCGCTTATTTCTAGCAAACCACCGCCCCGGTACGTAGCTCTACAGTCCGTGATCGTTGCGGCAACCGTTTTCTATAAAGTGGGAACTAAGGCCGTCAATCCGCACAGTGGATCCCATACCTATCCCAGGCCCTGTCCCTTTCGGGTGCCAGCATGTCCAAAAGCGGTTTGGTCACAGTGGGAAGGATAAGGGGATCTGGCCAATAATCAATGGTATTCTGCCGTGCTCAGCCGTGACCCAGCCAAGGTTCGTCCACTAATGATGTCGTTTGCTCTCCGTCATCATGGTGCTAGTCCCTGTCTAGGGGATGACTTGCAGCCGCCGGCGGCTGGCGTACCCGTTGCAGTTTCTACCCTGGGCAACGGCTTCAGCCTTTACAGTGTTCCCCCTGTGCGAATGCAGCGCCATGTCATGCCTTCTCCCTTCTTCGAGCTCTCTCTTACCCTCCCTTTGTAGCCTTCCCCACTTCGTTCCCAGGGCACTCGTAGAGTCTTTCCCTGCCATGGGACCTCCCTAAATTAAGTCAGACGTAGCCGCTATTGCTGACACGACGGCGGGCTGTACCCTGTATCGTCCCCTCATAGGACCATCATCGATAGCAGGGCTCTTATTGGGGTACCATCGAGAGAGACCAAGGACAGGGACAACGCTGTGCTTTGAGACGAGCCGAAGACAAACCCAGTACGAACCCGCGATCTCCCTGACAACCTTTCACTCTTTATTCCGTCCAATTCGGCCGGCTCCCTGCACCAGTAGTTCCAGTGAAGGCTGTGGAAATGTGCTAGGTATGTAATCGTCTTTTCTTCTCCTGTTCCCTTTTGCCATTTTTTTCTTTTTCTTTCTTTTTTCCTTCTGTTTTCGCCGACTGGAGACGTCCACTGGCGCTTCTGTCTCGGGCAACCACCAGGGATTTGAGAAGTACCAAGTTACATTGTACTTCGTACTTCGTACATCCATCTTGCCTCTGGTACCTTAACGAACGGCCTTCATCCTGGTCAACTCCCTTTTGGAACTGCTTCTCAAAACCATCATTTCCCCCCCCCTCCACCTTTCTTCTCTCTTCCCTTCCCGAGCCTCACCACTCTTTCCTCCGCCGCCTCCTCACCCCTCCTTCCCCCTTCCGACCTTGCGTTGCCCGGTCCGCCTATTCCCTTAGAGGCCGCTTTTCCTTGTAGGCAAGCTCTCGTTCTTTCCCACAAGGTCTTCCACCCCAGGGAAAGACAGACGTCTCCTCCAGTGTCGATAGGGCTACCCTCGACTCGCTCCCTCCTGCCGTCCGTCCCGTCCGTCCGCGCGGTCACAGCTCCAGTTTCGGTCGGTGCAAGATCAGCGAGATCGATCCTCTTGACTCTTAAGACCTTCCACTGGGTGCACGTTCCATACACGAAAGGGTGGCATCGGACTCTCTACGGCAAGGGGACTCACATACGACGATTACAGGCATCACATCCCCTGCCTCTAATCACTGGCCGACCTAAGACAGACATACTTTAGGTTATCTTACTCGACAAGTCGGCGAGCCTTCGAATCTTTCATCCGATCCCTTCCTTGGCCTGTAGGCTGAACTGCAGACTCGCCAGACTAGTCCATCTTTCGAGCCCTGCGTCGTCCAATGCCAGTCATTCCGACGACAATCCGGTCCCCAAACACCAGCAGCTTCAGTAGCCCCTGCCGTGGTCCTGTCGTTCTGGGCTTCGACGTCGTGAACTCCGAAACCAATCGCCACTCAAAGCCTTGGTGCTAGTGAACGACTCCCCGCAGCCAGCTTTGTCCTCGAGCGTTCAGCCCCTCATCGATCTACGGCTCGCTGGTGATTGTTTTGACCCAGACAGATTGTCTCGAATCGACCGAGAGATCTCCTTAGACCTATGGTCGTGATAAGAAAGGAAGAAGAAAAGGGTTCGGTCAACTTCATACGAGGTCCTGCAACATCATTTTATGCGGCTTTCCGTCTCGTTCCCTTATCATTCTCCTCTCCCATACGGAGAAGATAGCGAGTATCGACTTCAGAGAACAAGAAGCACAGGTATCATTCTCCTGTGCCTGCCACTATTTCGGCCATTTTTTTCTTAGGCCCGCCTCCAGCAAGTAGTACTAATCAACCCTTCCTGTTCCCAGGGAGGATCTCGCTGTGTTCATTTACACAACATGGAGCACTCTTCGCCATTAGCGGCCATGCACCGCCCAGTGCCAGTTCCCTCTTGGGGATCCAGAGATATGTTTCGTCCGCACGCCAATGCTCACCTATCGGCTATGACCGGTGGTGGCGGTTCCTTCCGCCTTCGTGAACGTCTTCACAAGCCCAATCCCGACTATTTCAGCGTCAACGATGTTCGTGGCTCTTCACCAGCCGCTAGCTTAGCAGCGGATCTGTCTCAGAACTTCCGTCTCGATTGTGGTGCTAGGTTCGGCTCGCTTCTTCTGCTGTTAGTTTCGAATTTCTGACCGCTGACCTGGTTTGCCAGTCCCGTTTTCCCCACACCTCGAAGGGCCCTATTCACCGCCACTATCATGGGAGATGCAGATGAGACGAGAAGTGAGTAGTAGCGGCCGTGTTGTTGTAAGCCGGGGTTGCTGACACACAGTAGACTACGTGACAACCCCTCCTCTACCGTCTTCTTCTCCCGGTCAGCTCAACGAGACGATGGATATCTCCCCGCTTCCTCACAAGGTCCCTTTCTTCTCACAGGTGGATATGGCCTCGCCTTCACCCGTCACAAGCTCGTCCGAAGAACGAGAGAACGACGAGATGATGCTCGATTCTCCCGCACCCATTACCCGGCACGGCCTTCTGGACGTGCCGAGACCACTGTCCGTCATGGAGTACGTTGCACTTTGATGTAACCCCCGCAATCGGTTTCCCGGCCAGTCAACGCTAACCGAAACTCTAGGCGGAGAAAGGCGGCTCCGCGTCGGCCATCGCTGACGCGAACAAAAGGTTATTCCACATGTGGCGCACCAGGCCGGGCCAATACCCCCGTGTCGGACAACCAAATGCCCGCTTTCCGCTTCGGGGGATTCGGGGGGGAAAGTCGACTCAGCCACACCAGTTCTGCACTCAGTTTAAGTGAGTGCTTCGAGAGCAACTCTCCGCCGCCTGCCAGGCCCCAGTCGGCCAACAGCCCGTCTGCCACCGGACCAGGTGCGTTTCGAAGCCGCGTCCCGTCTTCTGGCATGAGCGGCATGGGCCCCCGCCATGGGCTTCCTTCCAACCTCCACAGCCGCCGCCCCTCGAACCCCTTCATGCGTCCTCGAAAGCAGTATCGCCGCTCTCTCAGCATGTTCGAGCATCCTGCCGACATCATGAAGCCCAAAGCTGAGGAGACTGCCATCTCGGCTGTACCCGAACTCCAAGCGGCCGCGGAGATCCACGAAGTACACCAGCTGATACTGCCTCACCGCATTGCTGACGATCCTTCCGACAACATTCCGAGAATCACCAAGGAGACGCTGGCGGATGTTCTGGATGGCAAGTATAGCGAGCACTTTGACCACAAGATGGTCATTGACTGCCGGTTCGAGTACGAATACGAGGGCGGCCATATTGACGGGGCAGTCAACTACAACAGCAAGGAGCTTTTGTCGTCGCAATTGTTTCGCCATCCCATGGAGGGCCGCACGCTACTCGTTTTCCACTGCGAGTACTCGGTCCACCGCGCGCCCCTCATGGCTCGTCATGTGCGCTCCGAGGACCGAACGGTCAACGCCGAGCACTATCCGAAACTCACCTACCCGGAGGTGTACATCCTAGAAGGAGGTTACAGCGCTTTTTTTGCCCAGCACCGCCTCCGATGCTACCCCCAGAGTTATGTCGAGATGGCCGACGAGAAGCATCAGCGGACGTGTGAGAGGGAGCTCGGCCGGCTCAAGAACAACGGCCGCAAAGGTCTTGGTCGCGCCCAGACGTTTGCGTTTGGCCAACGGGGGCCATGTGTGGATCAATCCCCTACAGCCAACATTTCCCGACCCAGCCTCGTTGATATGCGTCAGGAACCGATCGCCATGGTGGGCAACTCTCCTATCTTGGGCGAACGCACCCATACGCGGCGAATGGCTTCGTATTGAGTCGAGCCGTTACTTGCCTTTTTGCATCTTGTCCAGTCGAGGTGCGGTTTTGATGAGGTTGTCTTCCTGCGCCTTATCTAATTTTGTCGGTACGACGCAACTTGCAGCATGTTTATGGCACGCGTCTCTTCTGCATATACACCACCGGCTTTAATCTTGGCGCTGCTTGCTCGACAACTTCCTCCGCCCGCACCCGTCGGTATCTCTCGTACACAGACGAATCCGATGTTCACGGCCGCGACGATGTTACACGCCTCATAGACTATTCATGGGGCTCTGTACAACCCTAAGCCTGTTCTTCCTTCTCTTTTTTTTTTTCCTTCCTTTTTTCTGTCTTCCTTTCTCTTCTACCAGAACACTGCATTAGACGCATTGGCATACGGCTCCGCATTTCTACTGCATTGCTGTTGCTGAGGAGCTGAGTGTTTGGATTCAGCATCTGAGGGTGGCTTCCTGTTGCACTTCCGCGATACACTTCTGTTCCTTTTCTTCTTCTTTTTATGTTCTGTCCCCATCACCGAGCCGATGCTTTTGCTCAAGCTCAGGCTCCGAAGCAGTTGTGACGAGTCTCATCGCTCCCACCGTGGCGATGATCACGTCTTCCGGCTGGCTGGCTGTCCATGGTGACTCCTCCAAGCCTAGCCGGTGCTGGTCTTTCTATCAATTGATTGACCAAGCCGAATGACTGCCTTCACTCAACTGGAACCACACACCAGTTCATCAGACTTACACATTGGCCCTTGTGGTCCCATCAATCCTCCGGATACCCCCACATCACACACATGACTTATTCCCTTACGATGTTCATATTTACCACGAGAGAGAACACCCTCAGAGCCGGGTTATTTGGCAAACTCGGTCGTCATCATACAGGCGCATTCGATGCGACCCGTGTATATATGCGAGAGCAGTAGAGAGACGGCGACAGCTGAGAAGAACGAGCGAGGAGAGATGGAGGTTTGCTGCTGAGATTTCTCTTTCTTCCCTTTGGCCCCTGGGCAGACGGGTGGTTAAGCCTTGTTTTGTTTGTTCTGGCATGGCATGAGCAGAAACGCTCATGGTTCTGTACAATACCTTGGTGGCATTTTGTGCTACGGTTTGGTCCGAGGGACCACAGGACCAGATACACACACTAGGTTGGCTCTAAATTGAGGGGAAAATATCAATAACCGTTCAAGTTCAGTCATGGTGCATGTTCGTTATGTCAGTACTCGCCTATGATGGGCCCGAGCAGTACAAGAATTACAACAACACCATGTAGGCAAAGAAAAGCGGTGGTCAAGCACCTGCGAGGGCGATTGCATCATTTCTTGGAAAACAAGAACGCATTGTGTTTCTGAGCAGATCCGAGGTATCTTGATTTGCTAGCATGTCTTAATTAAGTCAAAGCAAGAGAAGAAGTGATGCTATCTATTCTGTTTGGACTCTGTCCGTGATATATTGGACGGAATAGGGCAAAGAGAAAAAAAAAATCGATCGATCGTCCGTATTTTGGAAAACGGGCATTCATCCCTTTGCTTAGGTATCCTTTCCACCTGATCCCATGTTCTTGGGTAAAGAAATTGGCCCCATACCCACCACGTTCCTAAACTTGGAACCTCCCCTAACGCCGATAGATGCATGATCTTGCTGGTTGTTCTTATCCTTTTCCGTTGGTCCGTTCAAAACGCCGTTGACGATGTCCTGTCCTTGAAATTCCACTGCTTCCCAAGGAATAAAAAAAAAATAGAAAGAAACCGAGACAAAAAAAGAAGAAAAAAAGGCCAAGAGAAATGCAATATGGCAGCACGTATCATGAATATCCAGGGCTGAGTAGATGGTCGTAGAAAAAGACGACGGGAAAACTGTCACGTCACCCGTCGCATCTCACAGCCAGGCAGGGCAGACCTCAACCCGACGACTCCTGACCCTGCGTAGTAAAGTCCCAATCGTGGAAAGCCTCGCGGAAGGCAGCAACGTCCTTGGACTCGTCCTCCTCCGACTGGACGCAGTCCTGCCAGACCAGGCGGTTCTCGAGGCCGAGCAGCTTAGCGACGACGCGGCGCGGGAACTGCAGGTCGAAACGCGGGGCACCGGGGCCGTCGTGGCGGGGCAGGGGCATGACGAGACTGGAGCCCTTAATGCGGTCCTCGCCGTTGTCGGCCCAGAGCCAGACGCGGAAGTAGTCGCCCATCCCCTCTTCGGTATCCCCACCACCGCCGCCGCCGCCGTCCCCGTCCCCGTCCCTGTTTCCGTCGCCCTGGCGGTGGAGCTGGTCCTGGAAGGAGAGCTCGCGGTCCTGGAAGGGCGGGTATTTGAGGTTCTCGGCCTCGACGCGGAACCCGGCCTCGGCGAGCCCTTTGTAGATGAGGTCGGCGGGGAGGGGGTGGAACTGCCAGTGGCAGTGGATGTTGCGGGCACGGCTGATCTCCCAGGTCACGGCGCCGAGCTTGTAGTGGGACTTGGCGGCCAGCATGGCCTGGAGGGATTCGCGGAAGCGGGTCATCTCGGCGTGGGTGCGCTGGGCGTCTTCCGGGGTGTAGCTCTCGACGCCGTCCGAGTTGGCGATGGTCGGGGTGTGGGCGAGCGGCGTGATGATGAGGTGGCCCGGGAAGTTGATGCCGTGCTCGGCGAAGGTCGTGGGCGTGGCGAGAGGGCCCTTGGCAGTAGCAAGGTAGCTGTCTTCGGCGACGGTGCAGACCATGTGGAGGGGGAGGTTGGGGTTGGAGAGGCAGAAGAAGCATCGGTCGGGCCCCGGGGGCGGGGAGCGTTGACGCCGCTTTCCGCGCCGTCCGCCGTGGTGTCGGCCTTGGTCGTGCCCAGTGGAGAATCGGTTGTACCCTTCGTCCTCGACCGGTTTCCGTTTCGGGGCCCGCGCGGCAAACGGCGAAGCGGTCGACCCGATGGGGGCCTGGACGGCGGTGTCTCCGAGCTGAAGGGTGAAGGCGTACATGGCTTTCGCCTTGGAAGGGTTGCCGTACGGCGCCATGGATATGAACCGCGTAAAGCTGACGGCGTCGTTTGCCAAGCTCCCTTCCTTGGGAGGGTGCACGAACGGCTCGCGCTCGTAGAAGAAGTCGGCGGGGGACATGGAGAAGTGGTAGCGCGGTCGAAGTGCGTCGCAGAGCTCAGCGACCTCCTGCGTGCTGGCAAGAGCAGCCTGGTTTTCGGGTGTAATGGCAACTTTAGACCCGGCCCAGACGCCGGCGGGCCAGGTGGCTGTGAGCAGGATATCGGCCTTGCCGGCACCCTTGAGAGCTTTGGCATCGTTCACCGTGTGATAAGGAAGGTACTGCTCCTTAGACGTGCCTCCCATAATCTCCCGGTCGAGCAAGCCGCCGAGGGCAACGATTCGGGCTCCTTCCGTGATCTTGGTGACGCTGCGCTTGCCGAGGAAGTGCAGGTTCTCGCATATTTCCTCGTCGGCCTCGATCTTGGCTATGACGCGAGCGGGAAGGGAATTGGTGCCGACGGTGAAGTAGGTCGGCAAGGGCACTTTGATATCGCCGGATAGGAGGGAAGTAACGGTCTCGTCGTCGTTCTCGGAAAAGAGGTTTCCCGTAATAATGGCGAAATCGAACTGGTTCTTGGAATGAAGGGTCGCCGCCTTGATGAAGACGGATTGGAGCGCGCCATTGACGCTGCCAAAGACGAGTCTGGCTTTTTTGTTAGCTTGGGAAACTTGGGAAAGAAAGGATGGAAACTCGGGAAGTTGGCTGTCCTATGAAACTATAAAACTGACATACATCTTTGGAGCAGCCATGGTAGGCGATGTGGTTGGATTGAACTGGCTGTGGTTCAAGCAAGATGGGAGTTGTTGACGAGGGCAAGATCGGAATAACTGTGAACAAATTGTTGGAGTCGCGATTTTCCATCAACAATGCGACGGCAAGTCCATTGGCTTGGACCCACTCAAGCTCTTGCCTCCGCTATCGATGCGGATAAGGTACCTAAGGTAAGGTACCTAAGACTTATCTGTATCTTTATCATATCTTATCGCATCTTATCTCCTTATCTACCTATGTACGGTCCCTGGTTCTTCCTAAAAATTTCTGAACCTGGGAGGAGCGACCAGCGATCACCGAGACAAATCACCGACAAATCGAGGGACAATACGGAAGCTCGCGTTCAACGCCCATTCCGTTTCCTCACGCGCCAAGATGCCGTCGGTGTCGTCAGGACGGATTACCAAAGCCCGAAAGGGCAAGAAATTGACTCCCCACCAGAAGAATCACAGGTGGGAGTCGTTCCAGACCAAGATCGCGAAGCTTCATTCCCTCGACCCCCTGCGAAAAGTGCGCCGACACGACCTCGACGCCGAAGACCTCGAGGCTACCACATCTTACTTCAGAAACGGCCTGGAAAGATGGAACGAGCTGAATATTTCGAGGGGCTTCGTTTCGTTCAAGCGCGAAGTCCTCCCACTCACCGAGAGCCTCGCCCAGATCCTACACTTCGAGACCCGGATCTTCGAGCTCCTCACGCAATACATTTCCATGCAAGAGAAGGAGGCTTTGGAACCACTACTCGACCTCCTGACCGCCTTTGCCCACGACCTTGGAATTCGCTTTGAGAAGCACTATGCCGCCTCTCTCGGCTTGGTTGCGGCCATCGCTGCCAAGCCCCAGGATGTCGAAGTCATCGAGTGGGCCTTTGCCGCCCTCGCCTTCTTGTTCAAGTATCTCTCGAGACTTATTGTCCCCAACCTCCGACCGACATACGACGTACTTGCGCCGCTGCTGGGAAAGACACGACACCCCCCTTACATTGCCCGGTTTGCTGCCGAAGCCACCAGCTTCCTCATCAAGAAGGCCGCTGCCCCCGCCAACCGCGAGACCGCGCTGGTCTCCATCGTCACCCACGCGAGAGATGACCTCTTGAGCATGGCCGGGGAACGCCAGTTCCAGCTATACCAAGACGGGATAATGACCATGTTTTCCGAAGCCATGAAGGGCCCCGGAGAGACCCTGCACTCCACCGCACAAGCCACCCTGAAGGCTCTCTTGGGCGCTTTACCCGCCCCCGAACTGGAGCTCTCCCCGGATTCGACGTGGTCCAACGTCATCTGCGGCGTCCTCACCAGCGTCATACATCATTCGAACGCCACTAGTTTCGCACCGCTGGAAGAAGCCATCTTGGAGGAGGCCAATCTCCGGATGGCAGAACAGGCGTCTGACGGACCATGGCGCTTCGTTCCCCTGATTAGGGCTATCGGCACAGTAGCCGGCGTTCGTGCGGGATCAAGAATGAGCAACTGGTCATCCATTGTCCGGTGCCTCGTATCCATGATGGATTGGACGACGAAGCGTGCGCCGGATGTGTCGTCTGATCAGGCCAACCTGGTTTGGAAACATATTGTCTCCCACACTGCCATTGTGTGGCATGCAGCTCCCATGGATGCCCTTATTCCAGGCATCAAAGACTTCACCAACTCGCTGCAGCGGGAACCATTCATGAGGTGGTTTATCCCGTTTTGCGCCTACCTTTCAGACCTGGACTCTCAACGGTTCCGTAGCCTATTTCAATCATATTTCCAGAGGTGAGAAATATTCTCCCATATTTCCTCCAGCTTTTGCGGAAGACTAAACATTCTTTTTCCAGATTTGTTGGCAGTCATTGGTCAGAAGGTCACAACGACGACGAGCTATGCATCTTCCTACCCAAGATGGTAAAGGCCGGTAGCCTTCCGGCTCCTGGGGAAAAGGAGACTTGGACCCTCCCGCGAGGCTGGCAGGACCAAATCGTGGCAAAGTTTGAGCGACTGGAGGTTTCCCCGTTCCCTGAACGTGGCACTTATGACAAGGACCCCCAGACATGGAGAGACAGGTGCTTGCCCAAGTACTCCATGCTACTCGATCTGCTCGATTCAACAACCGTCCACCCAAGCGCCACTGCGAAGATCGCCGACCTTTTGCTGAGAAAGTTGAAGCTCGCGTTGAGGCCGACCTCGTCCCTTGCCTCAGATGAGGTCCACTTCAGCATTAGCCAAGGCTTTCATGCGTACTTGCGTATGAGTAAAGTGGCCGGCCCTGTCGATCCTGGCTTGGAACCCCTGCTTCGAGCTGCTCTGCCTCGGTTCAGCCGGTCGATAGGATTCCTCGAAGCTTACTTGACGTACGAACAACTCAAGCGAAGTGGGCCTCCCGTAGAACGTCGGGATAGCAGCAGTAGCAGCGAAGGCTCGAAGACAGAGGTCGATCCCGTCGTGAAGGCTCTGGTCGACAACCTCTCGTCACCCTCACACGAACTCCGACTCGCGACGTTGAACATCTTCGCCAAGCTCGAGTCCACCACGGACGAGTCGTCCTGCCTGGCTCTGATGACCCAGATCGAAGAGACCCCCCTGGAGCTTGGCACATTGCGAGTCATCGCCATGCATATTCGCAAACTTGGGCAGACATACTCCTCGCTGAGTGAAGGGTCTTGGCTGCGACTCGCCGTCCCCGCCTTCTTGTTCGGCATGATGACCGTCAAGCTGACGCCTCTTTGGAAAGACGCCTGCGCCGCTTTGGAGCAGGTTGGCCACACCAAATCTGGCGAGGAAGCTATCCTGACTCTAGCCCTCGACTGGCTTGACGTCCCTTCGAGCAGAAGCACTGGACCGGGCGGTCCGCTACCGGGACAGACACGCAGGCCGCTGACCGAATTTGACTGCACACATCTCCAGAAGCTCACCACTGTGGCCGAGGACGTGCACAACACGGTCGAAAGCGTCCTGCAGATCATGCTCGAGTACTTCGACAAGCAACAGCAACCCGTCGAGACACATCCCTTCAATGCGCGGTCTCAGGCCCTCAAAGTACTCGCTGCCTTGCCGGCACTGGCAGAGAAGCGGTCTCGAAAGATCGTCCCGTACTTCTTGTCTTGGGCTACTGAATCCACCGGTCCGTCAGACAGCCGACGAGACGAGGAAGACAAAGTCGCGGAAGATGACGAAGGTGCTGAAGGAGAAGGAGAGGAGGAGGAGGAAGAAGAAGAAGAAGACGAGGATCGAGACGAGGGCGATGCCGGTGCCGACAGTTGGTCTCTCTATGATCGAAAAGCCATGTTAGCCGTGTTCGAGAAGTTCGTCAATCCCAAGTCTCTCTACGAGAGCGAGAAAGTCTACCAAGCCCTCCTGCATCAGTTGGAAAACGGCGACATCGACGTCCAGAAATCGGCCCTCAAGTCGATTCTTACCTGGAAGCAGGAAGGCATCAAGCCGTACCAGGAGAACCTGGAATACTTGCTCGACGAGGCGAGGTTCAAGAACGAGCTGACTGTCCTATTGCAGGGCGAGCAGGCCATCCAAGCTGAGCATCGTCCCGAGCTGATGCCGGTCTTGCTGAGACTGCTCTACGGCAGAACCATCTCCAAGAAAGGAGCGGCGAGCGGCCGGCACGGACTAGCGGCCACCCGTCTAGCTGTTCTGAGGAACCTGTCGGCAGAGGACCTTGGCGGTTTCCTTGACATTGCACTTGGAAAGCTGAGGGGTCTCACCGTCTTGGACGACAACAACTCGGGGCTCCGAGAGGATCTGTTCTCCCGTGAGATCCTAGCTCCGCGGAAGCAAGTCGGTTTCATGAATATGATGCTGCCACTGATCAACGAGCTCGGTACCGACGTTGAATCCTACATCGACAGGCTGCTCAACTCCGTCCTGTACTGCGTCATCTATGCCTGCCGAAAACTAAGGGAGCTGGCCGCCGAGTCCGATGCAGATCAGGAGGAAGAGAAGGGACCGTCGCACCAATCCCTCTTCAGGGTCACGCGGACCACCGGCCTGAAGTGCTTGCATTCGTTGTCCCGGAACGCGCCAAACTATGCCTGGACTCGTTACGTGGAGATCATCACGGCCGAGGTCGTCTCTCCTCGCATTGAGAATCTGCCGGCGGAGAATACGCAAGGCGTGTCCGGGCTCCTGCAGCTGCTCTCGATCTGGTCCCAGCTCCCCAAAGCCGCACTGTTCCTGTCGATCAACAGCCAAATCCTCCCCAAGATCATTGAGTGCGTCTCGGTCGAGAAGGCCAAGGACGAGGTCAAGATCTTCTGCTTGGGCATCGTCCGGAATCTCATCGGACTGGTCAAGGCGCCTGCTTCCCAGTCCGAATTCAACGAGCTGATCAAGGCCGAACTCCTCGACCCCAACACCGACCTCCTCCTTCGACACATAACTGCGGCTCTGAAGTCTGACGGCATCAGCACCAGCTTGCTGGACGCCTGTCTGGAGACGGTCGTTGACATATCTCCCCTGGTCGAGACGTCCGAGAATGTCAACGAAGTGTTGCAGATCTCCATCTTCCTCCTCAACCAGCCACCCAGACGGGTCAATCCCAAAGCCAAGGGTCAGGTCTTGCTGATCCTAGAGCAGTTCGTCACGCTCCACGAAGCGAACGGCGTGGACTTGGGTCCGTCCAGCGAACTGTTCTCAACCATCTTCGAAACGGTGTCTGCCCTGTTCAGCTACTTCAAGGATAGGGAGAACAGGCAATCTCTCAGCCGTCTCATGGTCGTTCTCAGCGGGAAAGATGCTCAGCTCGAGCTCATCGCTTCGATTTGTACCTCCATGAATGCTTTCGCCGAGGGCCGTATTGATGAGCCCGACTACGACAGGCGATTGTCTGGTTTCAACCAAGTGTCTGGCAAAGATGGGCCCTTTACCGCTCGCCAATGGCTTCCTCTCCTCCATAACATGGTGTTCTACCTCCGCGCCGACGAGGAATTCGGCATCCTATCATCGAATTCTGCGGATGGAATGCGGACGTTCATCCAGGAAGCTGCTGCTTCCGAGGACGAGGACACGAAAAAGAAATTTGGCGCATACCTCGACAAGATCATCCTGCCCGCCCTGTACTCCGGAGCACGCGAACCTTCCGCGACGGTCAGACGAGAATGCCTTCGAATTTTCGGCTATCTGCTCTCTAGGATGCCGACCTGGCACGCGGTCTCCGACCTGAAAGGTCTGCTGACGGAAGCGGACGAGGAGTCGTCCGAGCCGGCCTTCTTCTTCAACATTCTCAGTCCCGCGACGTCCAGGCAGCTGGAGGCCCTCCAGCTCTTGGAGACGGCGAACGAGGCGTCCGAATTCAGCAGCCAGAATCTCTACCACTTCTTCATCCCCGTCCTGGAACACTTCATCTTTGGTCGTACGGACGGTAGCGACGATCACGGCTTGGGGGCTCAGGCGTCTGCGACCATCGGGAACTTGGCCATGTCGCTAGAGTGGAAGCATTACCGCGTTGTTCTGCAGCGGTATATCGGCTTTGTGGAGTCGAAGCCGGGTCTGCAGAAGCAGGTGGTTCGGCTTCTTGGGAAGGTTGCGGATGCTCTGGTGTCGTCCTCCCAGCTCAAGCATACGGCACGGGCACAGCCAGAGGCAGGGGCGGAGGCGCAGGAACAGACACAGGAACAGACACGGGAACAGAAACAGGCGGAGACTGACGAGTCCGGCGATTCCACCTCGCCCATGAGGAGACTACCCTCTTCGATGCCGGACGAGATCAGTGCCGACATCTCAAACAACTTCTTACCGACGCTCCTGAAGCATTTGAACCACAAGGACGAGTCGGAAGTCAGCCACCGAGTACCCGTCGGCATCATCATCGTCAAGCTCCTGAAGCTTCTGCCGGAGGGACAGATGGGCCCGAAACTGGCGGGCGTCCTGACGGATATCTGCCACATTCTGCGCAGCAAGGGCGACGAGTCGCGAGACATGGCTCGGGACACGTTGGTGCAGATCGCGGGCATCCTGGGGCCGTCGTTCTTTGGCTTCATCCTGAAGGAATTGCGAGGCGCTCTCAAACGAGGATACCAGCTGCACGTCCTCTCGTACACCCTGCATTCGATTCTACTGAAGGTCATCCCCGAGTTCCGACAGGGAGATCTCGACTATTGTCTTCCCCCCATCGTCGCAGTCATTATCGACGACATCTTCGGCGTGACCGGCCAAGAAAAGGATGCCGAAGGCTACACGAGCCAAATGAAGGAGGTCAAATCCAGCAAGAGCCAGGACTCGATGGAGCTCATTTCCAAGTCCGTCTCGGTGAATCACCTCATCCACCTCATCCACCCGCTCCAGTCCCTCCTCATGCAGAAGCTCGATCTCAGGATGGTCCGAAAGATTGATGGGCTCCTGACGCGCATCACGACGGGGCTGCTGCAAAACCCCGCTGCCGAGAGCAGGGACACGCTGGTGTTCTGCTACGAGGTCGTCCAGGAGGTGTACAAGAGCCGCAAGCCGGAAGAGGTGACGAGGATCGACCCAAGGGTGAAGAAATACCTCTATCAGAAAGGGGTGAGGAAGAGCGAGCGGGAATCGGGAAACAGGCATACCTACAAGCTGACCAGATTCGCGCTCGACGTGCTGAGGTCGGTGTGGAAGAAGTACGACAGCCTGCGCAGCGAAGCGAACATCTCCGGCTTTGTTCCCATCCTGGGCGACGCCGTGGTGGCAGGGGAGGAGGACGTCAAGGTGGCGGCCTTCAAGCTGCTCACGGCCATCGTCAAGGTGCCCTTCGGCTCGGACGAGGGCACGGGTCTCTACAAGGTGGCGACGAAGGAGGCCACGAAGAGCATATCCCTGTCGGCGACGACGGCGTCGGACCTGTCGCAGTCGGCGCTCAAACTGGTCTCGGTGGTCCTCAGGGACAGACGGGACGTGGTGGTCAAGGATGCAGCGATCGACATGCTCGTTGCCAAGCTGAAAGATGACCTGACCGACCCTCTGTACCGCCACGTCACGTTCAATTTCCTGCGGTCGGTGCTGGACCGCAAGATCGAGACGGCGAACGTGTACGACACGCTCGACTATGTGGGGACGGTGATGATCACCAACGACGACAAGGACACGCGCGACCTGGCCAGGGGCGCCTTCTTCCAGTTCCTTCGGGAGTATCCGCAAAAGAAGGCGCGGTGGGCGAAGCAGCTGAACTTCATCGTCGCCAACCTCAAGTACGACCGCGATGGCGGGCGGCTGTCGGTCATGGAGATCATCCATCTACTGCTGCGAAAGTCGTCGGATGACTTTGTGCAGGAGATTGTCGCGACGTGCTTCCTGCCGGTCATCTTCGTGGTGGCCAACGACGAGAGCGACAAGTGCCGTCTCGCGGCGGGCGAGCTGGTCAAGGAGATCTTTCGACGGGCGGACAGGGAGCGGATGAAGACGTTTCTGGCGCTGCTCCGGTCGTGGCTCGACCAAGACGACAACCCGGCGGTGCTGGGCCTCGGGGTGCGGGCGTTCGGGTTCTTCTTCGAAGCGAGAGAAGCGTCGGACAAGGACAAGAAGGAGGTGAAGCTCGTGCTGGGCAAGATTGGCGAGATTCTCGGCACGGGGGACATCCGGGTGGCGGACGAGGATCTGATCAACACGACGCTGAAGACGACGCAGATCCTCACGCAGGCGTACCCGGCGCAGCTCCTGGGGCCGACGTCGCGGGATTTGTGGGTCGACATCCGCAACTGCCTGACGCATCCCGAAGGATCTGTCAAGCTGAGCGCGGCGAGAGTGCTCAGCCCGTACCTCGCGGATTTCGGGGCGAAACCGGCGTCTGCAGGCGAGACGATGAGCGGTTCGCACGGCCTCGAGCTCGGAACGGAGGATGTGCAGGAGCTCGTGCGGCTAGCCATGGGCGCGCTGCGGACGGTGGAGCAGCAGGCGCTCGACGACGACCTGGCGGCGGAAGTGACGCAGATGCTGATCTTCCTGGGCCCGCGGATGCAGGCGAAGCTGCGCGACGCGCCCGTGGCGGACGCGCTGGCGGGCGACGGCGGGGCGGGAGGAGAAGACGAAGAGGAGGAGGAGGAGGAGGAGGCGCGGCTGGAGCAGCGGGGCAAGGACCTGCAGTACCTGCTCTGGAAGCTCTCGTCGATGCTGCGGCGGGCGGTGCGGGCGACGTCGGCGGCGATGACGGGCAAGGTGGCGGCGATGGAGGTGCTGGAGACAATCTGCCGGCGGGTGCCGGACGCGGACCTGGCGCCGTCGCTCAAGACGATCCTGTACCCGCTGCAGAGCATCACGGACCCGGCCATCTCGACGCCGTTCTCGCTGGACGAGGGGTTCAAGGCCAAACACGAGGCGGTGCGGGGGCGGGCGCAGGTGCTCATGGACGCGCTGCAGAAGAAGTTTGGCACGGCCGAGTACAGCAGGACGCTGCTGGCGATCCGGGAGGAGGTGCGGGCGCGGCGGCAGGCGCGGTCGAGCAAGCGGAGGATCGAGGCGGTGACGCAGCCGGAGAAGTACAGCCGGGACAAGAGGAAGAAGACGGAGAAGAAGAAGGAGAAGAAGAAGGTCAAGGCGCAGGAGTATAAGACTTATCGGCAGTCGTTCAAGCAGTGGTGACCTTTTGTCTTTCTTTTCTTGTTTTTGATATTTACATTGAAAAGCAGCTCATGGAACGAGGCAGCATGGATAGAAGGGCGTTTGAGGCGTTATTATGCCGACAAAATTGTTGAGATTTTTCGAGTGGCATTTTATGCTAAGGTATGGTACATGGGCAACGAAGGCCCGTTGAGAGAATGAAAACAAGTTTCCCAGGTCCATCCATATTTGATGTTCGGGATTAAGATGTGATGATATTTTCCAACTCGTCCAATGCGCCGAGGCCAGTGATAAAGGCCATATTTTTCTTCTCCATCTTTCGTATCCTTTTTTTCTAGAAATTTCTCCTCTTATTGAGTAGAGAATTGAGAAGAAAACACACAAAACAGCGCTGTCATGTATTAGAAACAATCCCCGTATAACCCGTTCCGGCCGGCTCGTATGCAATTCTGTCGGTGGGAAGAAGACACAAGTTGGCTATATTCAAGGAATCACGACGCGGTCGAGCTGCCGCCCTGCTGCTGCTGCTGCTGCGGCTGCTGTCCAGGCAACCGAAACCCCTCCTGGGCGGTCGAAGAAGCAGGCTCGACGTCGTCCTCCCAAAACTCAACATCGCCGTCCTCGCCCAGGGTGCCCTTCTTGACGAGCTGGCCCTTCTCGCGCATGAGGTCCTCGACGGTGAAGTGGCGGTCGCTGAAGATGTTGAGGTGGTCGGCGATGACGTGGCGGTTGCGGCAGCCGGGGCAGGTGACGAGGACGGAGCCGCGGTGGTAGCCCTGCTTGGAGATGTGGTGGGTGGATTTGGTGTTGCAGGGGGAGCAGGTGAAAGTGAGGCGGTAGTGCGGCTGGGTCTCGACGCGGGATTTCGGGGGGCGGCCGACTTGGGAGGCTGTTGAGGAGGCGGAGGGTGAGGTGGCGGAGGAGGAGGAGGAGGAGGAGGAGGCGGCGGGAGGAGGAGGTCGAGCGGGTGGCGGTGGGACTTTGAATACTCTCGAGGTTGGTGAGGAGGAGAAGCGACGCCGAGAGAGGAGAGAGGAGGGTGTTGGGTTTGTGGATGCGGTTGCGGTTGCGGTTGCGATGGTGGTTTGTGGATGCGCTCGAGTCGAGTTGCGCAGATGGCTCCGAGCAGAATGGAGGAGTGGCGAGAAGCGGGAGATGGTGGTTCGTGAAGCCATTCTGAGAATTAGGTTGATTTGTCTATTAAGGGTCTGAAGGAGGTGATGCGACAAGACGAATAAATAAACTTGACCCCGTAAGTGTTGAGAAAAAAAGTTGATGGTAGTAAAAAGAAAAAAAAAAAAAGAAATAAAAGAAAACAGAAAAGGAAAGTAATTAATAAAGAGCAAGCATCTGACGTCGATAGTTTCGCAGGTTCCGCCCATGACCCTTACTCAGGTGGCTTAGTCAAATTCAGCCACAGTAGAGGGAAATGGGGCTTCAAGAAGGTGTGGCAGATATGTGGCTAGTGAGCACTCAAGCCGAAAGCCAATCAGACGGTCCATCGTTTTTCTCACACGTATAGTACCTGTAGGTACCTTATGTAAGGCTATTATTTGTACTTTGTATCTGTCTTCCATTCAACTGTCACCTTAGTCAGTCAAACTTCCCCAGCCCAAACCTCCACCTCCCAGCTTCTTAAGCATCAACGCAACGCGCATAAATCATCTTGCCCATGCTTTAGTCTTTGCTTCCTCGGGCCCCCCCTACACGCCTTGGGTTTCTACTCTATAGAACCCATCCATCACCTCTTCCTTTTCCGTACCCGGTAGGACACTGCCTGCTACTCTGCTTGATTCCGGAGCTCCTTCAAGCTACCCCACCACCACCACCACCACCGCCCAGATCTCCACTTCTACCAACAACCAGCTGCCTTTTCAAACAACGGAGAACGGCCCTACGACTCTCTCTCCCACGCACTGCCGGCCCTCTAGAAGACGACACTCCTACTTCATTGCCCATATTGTTACCGGACGCCTTTACTCCTCCTAGTCCTCTCAGGGTCTGGGCACAAGGAATTCTTTCCCGTCTTCACAACCATACCTTTGCCGGCCTAACACCAGCCTTTCAATCCATATTCATACAAACTTGAGCTTGCTTCTGCTTCACCATGATATCGGGTCGAGGAGGAGGTCATGCCCCAAAGCATGGCCGCATTCGCCCACCCCGGCGCATGCTCAAGGTACGTCGTCCGCATTCGCATTCTGCACCGTGGGGGCATGAACATGGTTCCAAATTCCCCCCCCCCCCCCGGCCCTTTTTTTATCTCCCAACTTCGTTTGACTTGCCTTCCCTGCATCGACATGACATGTTGTCAAAAGGTCAACCACCATGCTAACCGATCTCTCCCCTATTCCCATCATAGCCCATCACAGGACACTCTACCGATCCCGACGATATCGAGGGCCCCTGGCAAATCCTCAGAGAAGCCATGATGGACATTCACCAGAAAAACTGCAGCAAACTGGCGTTCGAGCACCTATACCGTGCGGGATATAAGATTGTACTGAACAGGAAAGGCGAAGTTCTCTACGACAGGGTACGGAACTTTGAGCGCGACTACTTCGCCCAGAACGTCATCCCCAAGATAGAGGCCCTCGTCACTACTAGTCTGGTGAATATTGCCATGGGCCGCGCCGGCGCTTCGGCCAACGAGCGTCGCGAGATGAGCGAGAATTTTTTGCGCCGCATCCGCGAGTCGTGGGAAGATCACAACACCGCCATGAATATGATCGCCGACATCCTCATGTACCTGGACCGTGGTTTCATCCAGGACACCGGCCGTCCGTCCATTTACACGTCCACCATCGGCCTGTACCGCGACCACATCCTCCGCGCCTCCCTCCACGCCTCCGCCGAGTACACCGTTTCCGACATCCTCAACTTCATCATGGTGGACCTGATCAACATGGAGCGCGACGGGGACGTCATCGACCGCTACTTGATCAGGAGCTGCATCCGCATGCTCGATTCGCTTTACGAGACGGATCAGGAACTCGACCACGAGAAGCTCTACTTCACCAGCTTCGAGCCCGTTTTCCTGCGCACCACCGACGCCTACTACGACGTCGAGTGCGAGAAGCTCTTCCGCAAGGCCGACGCCCTCGCCTGGCTACGCCACACCGATCGCCGCCTGCAAGAGGAGGAGGACCGCTGCGACACCACCATCCATCGCGCCACCTTGCCCAAGTGCGTCAAGATCGTCGAGGAGCGGCTCATCGCCCAACACCTCGCCGACTTTCTCAAGCTCGACAGCGGCATCGTGACCATGCTGGACAACGACAGCCTGGAGGAGCTGGCCATCCTCTACCGCCTCGTCGGCCGGGTCGACCCCAAGAAGGCGGTGCTGCACGATCACTTGGTGAACCGCATCGTCGCCATGGGTCTCGAGATTGAACAGACCATCAAGAATACCGACTTTGCCAATCAGGTAGCAGCCGCTGCCGATGGAGAGGATGGCGGCGGTGGTGGTGGTGGTGATGCTGGTCCTGGTGCTGCTGGTCCTGGTGCTGCTGCTGCTGCTGCTGCTGACGGAACGGACAAGCCCAACAAGGCCCCCTCGGCTGCTTCGGCGGCCGCTCAGCAGACGGCCGCCGCCATCAAGTGGGTGGACGACGTGTTGCACCTCAAGGCCAAGTTCGACACAATATGGGAGAAATGCTTCGAGAAGGACCTCGACGTCCAGGCCATGCTCACCAAGGGCTTCTCCACCTTCATCAACCGCTTCGCCCGTGCGTCGGAATACCTCTCGCTCTTCATCGACGACAACCTGCGCCGCGGCATTCGCGGCAAGACCGAGAAGGAGATTGACGAGGTGCTCGACAAGGCCATCACCCTGCTCCGCTACATCCAGGACCGGGACATGTTCGAGCGCTACTACCAGAAGCACCTCGCCAAGCGTCTCCTGCTGAGCAAGTCGGAGAGCCAGGACGCCGAGACCGCCATGGTGTCGCGCATGAAGGACGAGCTGGGCCACCAGTTCACCACCAAGTTCGAGGGCATGTTCCGCGACATGAAGACCTCGGCCGAGATCACCTCCAACTACCGCACCTACATCCGCGACCTGGGCGATGCCGGGGACCAGGCCCAGCAGCAACCCGAGCTGGCCGTCAACATCCTCACCACCAACTGCTGGCCGCCCGAGATGTCCGACCGCAAGCAGGTGCTGGACTCCGCCGCCCCTTCCCAACTCGTATACCCCAGGGAAATCGAGGCCATCCAGAAGAGCCTCACCTCGTTCTACCTGACCACCCGCAGCGGCCGCAAGCTCACCTGGGTCAGCTCCATCGGCAACGCCGACATGCGCTGCACATTCCCCGCCGTGCCGGGCGCCAAGGGCCCGCTGGCCCGCGAGCGGAGGTACGAGCTCAACGTGTCGACCACGGGCATGATCGTGCTCATGCTCTTCAACGACGTGGGTAACGGCGAAGGCGATGGCGAAGGCGATGGTGACGGCAACGGCAACGGCAACGGCAACGGCGAGGCCCTCTCGTTCGAGGAGATCAGGGGGCGGACCGGCATCCCGACGAACGACCTGCTGCGGACGCTGTCGTCGCTCGCCATCCCGCCCAAGTCGCGCGTCCTGCTCAAGGAGCCCGCCGGCCGGCGCGTCGAGACCACCGACCGCTTCCGGTTCAACGCGGGGTTTGTGAGCAAGACGGTCCGCATCAAGGCGCCCATCGTCAACGCGACGGCCAAGGCGGAGACGGATAAGGAGCGGAAGGACACGGAGGAGAAGAATACGCTGTCGCGGTCCCATATTATCGATGCCGCTATTGTGCGGACCATGAAGTGTGTTGTCCTTTTTTTTTTTTTTTCTTTTTTTCTTTTTATGATTTGACCCCGGCCATCTCGATCCATCCGAAACTAACAACCTGTCCAGGCAGCGCAAGGAACTCAAGCACTCGCAGCTCATCTCCGAAGTCGTCGGCCAGCTCGTCGGCCGCTTCAACCCCGAAGTCAGTCTCATCAAGAAACGAATCGAGGACCTCATCGCCCGAGAGTATCTGGCGCGCATGGAGAACATTGACGTTCCCACGTATCAGTACCTGGCATAGCCCCCCCGATATCTCCGTGGACAGGCCAAAGGGCCCAGGCAGGGTGACGAGTTGAACGCAGTCAACGATGGACGATCTTACTTTCTTCTTTCTTCCCCCGCTCTCTTCACCTTTGGCAGGATGAGGGTTTCTTTCTTTTTTTCTTTTTCACGAGATTGACCAACCAACTCCCCCCCTTTTTTCTCCTTGGTCAATAGCATGGCGGCAATAGCGTTGGGGGTTTGAATTGAGGGCTATTTGGCTTTTCGTCACACGGCGCACCGGCTGCGATTCTTGGAAGGGCATGGACGGATCGACGGATCGACCAGGACGTTCTGCATATCGTATATTTTCACCTACTCTCGCACTCCTCTTTCGAGGGCCATTTCTTTCATTTCGGTCTCTACAGAGGTAGATAACGAATCACATCACCCACCATGGAGGAAATGATCTTTTTTTCTTTCTCCCTGTCGGCTTTTGCTACGTGTTGCATTTTACGTTCAACTCCTCAATGCCCCTTCGAATATCGAATATCGGCAGGCAGTGCATAGTCTAAAGACATGGTGATATTTTACATTCAGCCCCAGCCAACCCAATCGCTCTCCATAGAGCCAAAAAGAAAAGAAAGAAAGAAAGAAAAATAAGGAAAATAAGGACGAAAAGTAAGAAGAAGAAAAAGCAAAGAATAAGAAACAAAAAGAAGAAACAAAAACCACACGAGCTGTCCCAAACTCCCCCAGGTAAACCCTCTAACAATTGATTCCTCCCAAAATGCAATCTATCTTTAACCGTTTCCTGTCCCGTAAGCTCCCTTGTCGTCTATCATGAGGGGGAAAAAATGGTAGGATGGGATGACGCCGATTAGGACCTGGCACCGCCCAGGAGCCTCTCCGCCGCCCCAGACTGCCACACCGACTGCCGTCCCTGGTCCATCCACACGTCGAATCCCAGGAAACTCTCCCCGCTGACCTCCCCGTTGACCCCAGGGAACGCATCCCACACCGTCGCCTCCGGGTGCCGCGTCCACTCCCCATCGACCAGCTCTTCGCTATCCTCGGCCAAACCTCTGGAGAGGATGCGACGCCACACGCTGTAAAAATAAAAATACAGCACCCGGCACAGCTCCAACCCGCGCCCGGGATCCGCGAGCGCTTCGGCCCTGTCTTCCCCGCTGGTGGTGGTGGTGGTGTTCTCGTCGCCGCCGGCCAAGAGGCCGCAGCAATTCACCCGCCATCGCAGCCCCGTCAAGATGCGTCCTAGCCCCGTGAGCAGGGCCACCAGGCTGTGGACCGGCGTCTCGCTCGAGTACGATGCGTAGAGCTGGCTTTTCAGCTGCGTGAAGCCGTCCACCTCGGCTTTGCGGTTGACGATGCGGACGAGGTATGCCGCCAGTTTCACGTACGTCGCTTCCGTTAACGACGTAGCATCCATCATCCGTTCGAGTGGCGCCCCGCTCGCGTCCCGTTGCGTCTTGGAGACGTAGTAGAATGTGGCGTGGCCCGTCATCTGCCCTAGCAGGGGTAGTAACCGCTGTTTTTGCGTGTACGGATGAGCGTCGTCAAGAAAGAAAAGAAAAAAAAAAAGGATCCACGTACTAGCTTGTCAGACTGTAAGCTGCAGTCGAGCACCAGAGACGTCCAATCATGGCCCTTGGGCTCCCCATTTAGCATGTCCTGGTCGAGAAACCTTCGCAGATTGCGCTCGTGCCCAGAACTCTGGAGTCCTTCGTGGACGCGACTGAGGTACGCGAAGCATTCGTCGAGATTCAATACGTACACTGACTGCGCCCCTTGTTTGATTCTCACGTTGAACCGGGGACGTGCTTCGTCCAGCAACCGGAGCAGTTCGTCGACGTCAAAGGCCTCAGCCAGTCTCCAACGCATGGTCCTCATGCCGTCGGGAGTAATGTGATGAACGATCCGTTGAGCTGATTATATTTTGTTTGTCAGAAAACACGCGCTGGAAGACCTGAAGACGGTCACGTTCACGGGGCAGGGGACAACCTTACCCATAAAATCCACCCCCCCTGAGAGAACAATGTCGTCGAAGCAGGCCCGGATGCACGGACCTGGCCACTTGGAATTCACCGAAAGTTTCCCGCAATTGGCACAGGGGCCGTCGGGGGCGTCGTCCGTTCGTTGACACTGCGCAGTAGAAGTGTCAGTACGTCTCGTCCGGCTGGGTCAGAAAACCGCCAAGATTGCCAAAACGCCCACCAGAACTCACCGACTGCCTGGTAAGCTTGCAGCGAATGCATATAGACTTTGACTGCCTCGTCTTCCTAGCAGCATCTCGCGCCTCTGCCTGCATTGGGCCCCTACGCTTCCCTCTTTCGTGCCTTGCCAGCTTGAACGGGGATGTAGCAATGGGGAAGCTGCGGGGATGAGAGGTTCGTCGTGACCTGGGGCGATGATTGAGGATCGGTATGGGCTTCGTTCCTGTGCTGTAGTTGTGGGTGTGCCTGGGCGCGGGGACATCAAGCGAAGCGGCGGTCGAATGGCTTTGTGTGCTCCAGTCTCGGGTCATGGGCAGCCCCCCCGCCATGGAAACAGTAGGCGATACTGGTTGGGAGAAAGACTGGGAGTGATCAAACGAGCCAAGTGGGGGCGAGTTGAATGTTCCAAAGAGCTCACGAGCGGGGCCCAGTTGGATGGACGTGTCGGCAAGACCCGTCCACATACCGCCGCCATCTTCTTGGGAAGAGCTCTTGTGGGAAAGACTTGAAAAGGGGGGGTTCTCCTGCGAGACCGACCTGGGCACATCCCGTGTGTTCAGTGGTGTTGGTTGTGGGCGAATCCGATGAGCCTGGTGAGCCTGGTGAGCCTGCTGGGTCCCTTGATCCGGATAGAACGGGTGCGAATCCGCTGTCCCGTTCGACTTTTCGCTTGTCGACGTCGACTGAATGCTCAACCAGGGGCACTTGGTACCCGGTCGGGACTGGGGCGCGATATGGCCTCGGAGCAGGGGAGCACTGGTGGAATACAATCGGTCTGAGAAGCTTGTGACAGGGCTTGCCAGATAGCTGGGGGCGTCGGCGGCCGTGTCGTGATGAGCGCCGTCACCGATGGAAGAAGGGCTATTGGCGATGGAAGCCGTCTCATCATGCATTTGCGAGCTGGCCTGGCTGTCGGCGCGGGGGAAAGTGTGCGATGCAGAGTAGGGGACGGCGCCAGGGCCATGGAGAGAGCTGCTGCTACCAAGCCCAATATAAGAAGGGTACGACAAGTGTGGGCTAGTTGACGGCTCCTCGTCGAGCCTGCTGTTGCTGTCCGAATAGGCTTGGCAGGTCGCATCAACGTCCTTGGCAAACTCACTGCGGAAAATACAAGTAAGTGACTGTTAGCTTGTCCTGTACAGCCGCGGAGGGGGGACTGGGAGTCGTGGTTTGGCTCACTCTATTATGATCTGAGGGTTCGTCCTGAGGTTGGCTGCATCGGAAGCGGTGGGGAAGGTCGTTGGGACGGGTATTTCGAGGCACGACAAGGAAGCCTCGAGATTGGTTTCCGAGGCATTGGGGTCGAGTTCATCGTCTTTCTTGACGCGATACCACGACCAGGGAGCTTGTTGATGCTGTTGCTGGCCCGGATAAGTTGTTGACTGGGATGAAGATTGGAATTGAGTGGGAGACTGTTCGGCGGGTCTGTCTGGCCTCTGCGGGACGAACCATTGAGCAGAAATAGAGTCATGGCTGAACTTGGGGTCGGAGAGATCCAGGTCCAGGTCCAGGTCCAGGTCCAGGTCCAGGTCTGGATCGCTATGCATGCTCGGGCTGTTCAGGAAGGCATCTGCCATGTTCGTCGACCAAGACGGAGTATGCCTGTGACTATAACGAGGAGGGACCGATGGCCGGGTTGGGTTCCGTTATGACGGAGCGGCGAGTCCCAAAGTCAAGTCCAAGTCCTGATTTCGACCGAGTGGATGACCCGTCTCAATGTCCTCGACGGTTGAAGATATTCCGACCCTTCAAAGTCGATAGTAACAAGAGAAGAAGGGGGGGAAGCGGAAAGCAGGAGAAAACACGAGAGAACCGTAGACCTGGCGGATAGGGGACGTCGCGTGTTTATGAGGCGCCTGCTCCGAATTCGGCGGTGTGTCTTGGGGGAGGTAGAAGGAGGCTGAGACCCTTCTCGTAGTTTTTGCTTCTGCATGAGCTAGCAAGCCAGCCTCATATTGTATGCAGCGTGCCTGTGCCGAACATGGGATGGTGGGTGTGAGGGTGTGCTGGCGGCGACGTAATATAGGCTGACTGCGGACTGCGGACTGCGGACTGCAGAACCAGCAAATCGTTCGGTAAGAGCGTGAACCATTCGTATGCACAGATTACCCTACGTTTGGGGCCATGGAACACTCCATCAAGTCCATGCTGGCCCCCAAATTGACGTCATGGCATGAGGTCTTTCGAAAACCAGGGCCTAGGACTCGAGGACTCTAGCATCGATTGCTTCGTAGGGGTCTAGCGAAGGGGGATGTTCATGACCCCCGCCCGGCATCCTTTCCGTCGCTTAAGGAATGTCAGACATGAACTTGGACGGGGATGCCATCAGTGAACCGAGCGAGCGCAGAGATGCTAGAGACCGAAGAATCAAGACCGTGGACCGTGGACCGTGTGGAGTGCAGTCTTGGGTTGACATCCATTGTTGGTCCGGGTGTGGTCCAGGGGTCTTTGGTCTTCGGTCTTTGGCCCTTGGATCTTTGGCGGGTGGGTCTTGTTCTTGGCTCGGAAGGAGAGACCCACCAAGGACCAAAGTGAGTCTTCTTTCCCACGTGGGAAGGATCCACAGGGCATCGCTTGTCTGACCATTCATGGGTTGTTCTTCCCAAGCAGCCCACAACTTTCGGTGTCACTGTACAAATGTTCTCTCCGAATGATTGGTGAAGATGGGTCTCAGGTGCTCTTGCCGATCATTCGGGGAACCCCGGCCTTCCTACTTGGTCGTAATCACGTTGTACCTACTTGGTCCTCGACCCTAGGTACCTAATGTCAAGTCGATCCTCGAAACTTAGATATGAAGCAATTAATTACCTAGTCCAATTCAACCGAAAGAAGAAAAGCAGATCGGATCCCAAGCGCCACCCTTCCTTCGCCCGGCTACTTAGTCCGAGCAGCAGAAGCACGGGTGCACGATAATCAAGTGCTGGGCGACCCTTTGCGAACCCACCCGCAAGGCAGTCTAATTAAGGTATGTATACTATCTAGGTACCTTACCTTAGCTCCCAGTATTGTAGGCAACCAATGGGGCCCCCCCCTCCCGTCGTCCTCACTAACACCCCTCCCCTCCTGCTTCTGCTTCGATTCCCCTCAGGTAGGTAGGTTCTTACAGGTACGCCTTCTCAGAGATTGGGTACCTGTTCTATTTGGCCTTCCAATTGGACTCTGCAATCACCCACCGAAACAGATTCCGAAGAGTTACGTAACGTAATCTTTACGGCCGAGTTCCATTCCCTCACGCGTTTCCGTTTTGGTTTCTTTCACAGATCCCGCTCAGCCCATATTTAAGCAGGATTTATCCGGACGAGGATTCCAAGATGATGTCTTATCAGTCTCTTCTAGTTCACCGAACTTTCTTATGACGATGATCTGCAGAACCCGCCTTGCCCCTTCGCCCACACGTTGTAGCTTACCCTGGTCGAGGCATCCGAATAGGGCACGTGCTGACACCTACGTGGCAGGGCAGACGGGAGCGAACGGGGGAGCAGCGGGGATCAAGAGGGTCAGCTGGCCAGGGACGTGCCAAAAATGGACGTTCTTTTGACGAAGAAGTCGTACGAGGTATGCACGATCTATATACACCTCCCCCGGCGCGCTCCGCCGTCGCAAGCGCCGGCAAAGCGGCACCCTGGGGGACCCTTGGGCCTCATGACGCGAGGCCCCCCGAGGCCCCCCGAGGCCACCCCCGGGACTCCCCACTTGGCTCCGGGGTACCGTTTTCGTACACCGGGGTTTGATTCATGGAATCGGCCCAAAAATTCCCGTTCCCCGGCTTCGCGTTCCGTATGCTGGCCTCAATGCCGGGCCAATGATAAGGGGAGCTGCCGGGGACTTGTACCACTTCATGCATGGAGTGAATGTCCAGCAAGGCTAGAACACATTGGGATCTTTTGAACGGACTAGTTTAGACTTTTAGCAGTCACTGGATGAGTATGAAAGTGGGAAATGGAGCGAAATGGACACAGGTATAAAAGGGGGACAACCTTGGTCTTGAGGTGGTATTACTATCGAGGAGACATTCCTTTTATCATCGTCGACGTCTCTCCCAATATCATTATCGCGACTAGCATCTGCACAAGGGCTTCTATTCGGATCGCGTCGCAGTAGCAAGCACCTCGCAGACGCAAGACCTCCATCAACACAACATAGGCCTCCGGCGTCAATTTATTCCACTCTCTAACCAATCTCCGAAAACGTCGTCACTATGGAGTCCGGCCGCAAGTCAGATACCAAGTCGGACAACAAACCCGGGAACGTAGCCCACGTCCCTCCTCAACTGTCCGACCTGCATTGCTTCACCGAAACCGAAGGCGTCATCACAACCAGTGGGTTTCCCTTTCATGAAATCCAAGCAAATAAAGGGGAGACGCATGATCGCATCATATATTAGCGGGGAAAAAAAGAAAAAGAAAAAAAAAATATTAACAGACTTCGTACATAGCCATGTTCGATATCCCAGGGTACCGCATCGTGCGCGTCCTGGGCGTCGTGTACGGCCTGACCGTCCGCTCGCGCAACTGGGCCGCGGGGCTGGGCATGGTGCTCAAGTCCATCGCCGGCGGCGAGCTGCGCTGGTTCACCTCCATGCTGTACAACGGCCGCAACGACGCCATCTCGCGCGTCGTCGCCGAGACCAAGCAGCGCGGCGGCAACGCCGTCGTCTGCCTCCGCTTCGACAGCGGCAACCTGGAGGGGTTCGCCCAGCTTTGTGGCTACGGCACCGCCTGCGTCGTGGAGAAGATTGAAGGGAGCGATGCTGTTGCTACGCAGCTGTAGTGTCGAAAGATGTGACAAGTCGTGTGGTGGAAGTCTTGTGGAAGTCTTGTGGAAGGCTTTGTGGAAATATCATAAAGGGGCGCGATAGTAAAATACCCAAATTGAATCGGAGTTCTATGGTAATTATTTTCGCGTTTCTCGTCGTCATTCATTACCTTGTCTTTTGCGAAACCCTCCTTCGTCCAGTCTTTTGTGGAAGTGCAATAAGTATCGCCATGACGCAAAATTGCCTCCATTCCAGCAAACCACACGCTCTCACACACTCACCTGAAATACCTAGCCACCTCGCTAAAAGTATTCCCCCAATCGAAATCCTTCTCCTCCCGCCGTCGCTCCCACTGCAACCCGCCATCCCGACCCCTCTCGACGCTCACGCTCCTCGCCCCGGCAGCAGCGTTGCTCTTCCCCCCAAACGAATCGCCCGCGAACCGGACCGCCTCGCTCATGAACCCCAGGCTATCGCCCGAGGCCGCGCGGGCGCCCACGCCGATCAGCCGCTCCACGGTCTTGGGCAACCGCAGGCCGAACTTGGCCAGCAGCGTGGTCAGGAACCCACCCGTGATGAGCGGCATCAGGACCAGCATGATCACCTTGATGGGGTGTTCCTTGGCGTAGCGCCCGAGGTCGCGCCACAGTCGCCGCACGATCTTCTTCGCCTTGTGGAGGTATCCTTGCCGCGGGGAGCGTTTGTAGTAGGACGGCCGGCCTGTGGATGACTCGGTGTTAGTCGCACGTAGCAGGGGGAAAAAGAATTTGCAAAAAAACAAAAAAAAAAAAAAAAAAAAAGGGAGGAAAACAAAAGGGGGAGGCGCAACGCACTGAAACCAAAGAAGCTCGACCGACTGGCATTCGGGATCCCGAAGAAACTGGACCGCGAGGCGTTTCCCTTCTCGTACTCCTCGCCCCCGAACACCGACCCCCCCGCAAAGACGCTGCGCCGCCCGACCGAGGTGGACCGGCTACGAGGCGAGCGACCCCGTTCGCCGCGATGCCGCTTGGGCTTGGACGACTTGGACTTGCGGTGCGAGTGGGAAGAGCGGGTGGAGAGGACGCTCCCGCCGTCAAAGTCGAAGAACCCCATGATTTGGTTATCGTTCGAGGTTCGCTTCGTCTTTCTCCGGCCGTCTGGAATGTGGTTTTGCAATTCGGGAAATCGGTAGCTGGTGTTGGAATGTAATGGTTCTGTTCCTTCGAATGGTTGGCTGAAACAGGTGGTCTTGGTCTCGCTCAACCTTGGGAAAAAAAAATAAAAAAAAAATCGGCGGGTTCGAAGGGACAGCTCAGGAAGCTCTCAAGCGAATAATCTCAAAGTCCCCCACCGGGCATCGGGGCTCGGCGCTCGCAATTGATTGAAGGGGTGATGCCGACCCAACGTGGGTTTCGATGCAAGGTGAATGCGAGTGATGAGTTGCATAGAGAAAATAAAATAGAAGTGTAAAATGGGGAAGAGAGCCCTGGATAATGCAAGTCGGTCTTTTCGAACTGCCATCAGAGTTGCTGGTTGAACCCGAGACACGGAAAAAGCGGAGGCTGGGGAAGAGAAGAGTCCTGGGGTGAGCTCCCACGCTAGGCCTGTTTTATCCTACCTGAGGTACGAGAAATGACATCGTCTTGGCAAACTCGGACTTTGGAGTACGGAGTACAACATACATACGGTACGTACACAGCAACTGTCAACACCATGTGTTGAACTGCCTACCTATATAAGTCCCTTTTAGTGTAGTGGTACGTTTTTGAGTGCAACACCATGGCTGGGTGACGATAGCGCCATTGCCTTAGTTGGTATTGGACAACGGAGGCACAACGGTAGGTACTGCCCAAGGTACGGAGCCCTCGAGTCTCGAGTAAAAAGTTCATATATACCAGACGTCAAGACTGTTCCAGCTTAAAAAAGGCAAGGCCACAAGATCCACACGCTTGTTAAAAATTATAAAGAAGAAGAATAATAATAAGAAACGGAAAAAACTCTATAACCGACTGATGCATGCTGAGATAACTGAACCGCTAGGCTTGGGACGACGAGGACTACTACTTTCAACAGTGAACCCTCACTTCTTCTTCTTCTTCCACACACTGCTCGACGACGACTTCTTCTTAACCGGCGACGGATTGACCGGTTTCTTGTTCCGAGACGACCGCCGGGACGGTGCCGGCTCCTCTTCCACGATGATCTCCTCCCGTCTCCTCCCCCGCCTGGGCGGCTCCACAATCTGTACGCCGTTGCCCAGATCGTCGCTCGTGTCCGGGTCGCTCGTCTCGCTGGCCGAGTCCGTCTCCGGGCGGTCGGGACTGGGCCTGCGCGAGCCCCTGCCGCCCCTAGCTGCAGCAGGGACGATTGAAGCTCGTCGCGACTCTGCCGGACTCGGGGTGTGTCTCTGGGAGACGGCCCCAGCGCCGGAGGAATACGGCGCGCGCGGGCCCTCCGTCTGGAACGCGAACGGGTCCACGGAAGAGCGGGTTCTGGGCCCGGAAGATGCGGCAGTGGCCGTGGCCGTGGCGGCAGATGCTGGGGACATGTGGGGCACCCATGCCTCTTCAGGCGGCAGGGAGCTTCGGGATGAGCGAGGCCGTGAGCTCGTCGTGTCAGAGACGTGGCGGTGGGAAATGGGCGCACCCGCCGGCGGCGGAGGGTACGCATGTTGCAGAGGTGAAGAGCCATGCTCCTCCATGGCCCGGGATGGTGGCCGCTGTGAGGCCGATGTGGATGACCGAGGCCGACTGCGTGCGGCCGTATTTGGGGGCGGGAAGTAGCCCATGGGAGGCAACGGTCCCCGTTGCTGCGTTTCCACCACGTTGGCCGGAGACGCGTGCCGGTGAAGGTTGTCGTCGGAGCCAGCAGGTGATTTTTGGCTCTTTCTCTTGGGTATTGTGGCGGTCGGATCCAATTGTGAGAGAGGTATGGCGATGCGCTGTTTCTTTTGCTTCCGCTTCTTTCGTTCGTTGGCCCGCCTGGCCTCTTCTTCCTCCTGCAGCCGCCTCCGCCGCCTTTCGAGCGCGGCAAGTTCCTGCTTGTTGAGTTTGACCTCCTGCTTGCCACGTTCCTGCGCACGTCGAATGCGCGCCAGGGCCGCCTGGACCAAGGCCTCTTCCTTGTCTGCCACCGCCAGCTGTGTTCCGTCTCCGTACTCGTCGTCGTCGTCGGAGTCCACTAAAGAAGCGTCCTCGTCTTCGTCGTCGTCGTCTTCGTCGTCTTCGTCCTCGTCCTCGTCGCCCGAATCCTCGTAGGCGTAGCCTCTCCGCACAACGTGCCCAGCCCGGTCACCCGGCTCTATACCCGTAAACTGGAGCGGATCGCTAACGAACCGCTTATTAGATGTCGAAGATGATAAACCAACGCCCTGCGTATCCGAATCGTCGTCGTCGTGGTCGTCTTCGCCGACCTCCCCGACGACCCTACCACCACCCGTATCCCATACCCCACTGTGCGCATTTTCGTCTCCTCCCCTTGTCCTCCGCCTGCGCCGCGATGGTCTTCCCCATGGGGGCGCGAATTTGGGAGCTCGCGGCCGACCACCTAGACCGCCTCCCCGGAAAAAGCCTCATCGATCGGCTTATCCATAAACGAAGCGTGGCCGAGGATGACCACGCCAGATGCGCCAATGAGCCAGAGCAGCGTCGAGAAGGGAGACGCGATGAGGCCCAGAGGCACGGCGACAACGAGAAGACCCGTGTAGAGCTGGGACGTCGTGGCGCGGAAGGTGCCGATCTCGAGGTCCCTGCCGTCCAGGCGGCCAATGATGTACATGCCGGCAACCACGAGGATGATGACGAACGAGAGGAGCCAATTGGTCAGCAGCGCGTAGATGCTGAGCATGGCGAAGACGACGGCATAGTTGCTGGAGTAGTGGCTCAGGTTGTAGTTGACGCGGGACTGGACTTCGCCAAAGTTGGCGGGCTTGGCGACACGCTTGAAGTCGAGGAACTCGGAGATGGGCCTCAGGTTCGAGAAGCGGCCGCCAAAGGTGGTGGAAGACAGGCTGGAGAAGCGGTCCTGAAAGTTGAAGCGCGACGTCAGGGCGTCGAGAGGGATCTGGATACTAGCCATTGTGTCGGTTTGGGTTGTTTGGAGTAGGATGGATGGTGAGGATTCCTGAGCGAAGCTTTGAAGAGTTTCTGAGGTGTGAGACTTAGCAGGGCACTGTGGGATGATAAGACAGAGTTATAAGTAAAGGGAGAAAAAGACGCGAGGCAAGGCACCGATCCAAAAGCTCCGGTGGAAAACTAAAAATAAAAAATAAAGGACACGTACAGCTCTCGAAATATCTGCCTGGAGTGAAAGCTTGACGAAGCTTAAATGAGAAGGCGAAAAAGGCGAAAAGGCCGAGATGGTGTGTTTTTGGGTTGGATTGTCGAGAAGTTGCGAGAGCAGACGCCAAGTCGGCCTGGAAAGTTTGTTGTTTCTTGAAGATGCTGAACCGACAAGGTGCCTTCTAATTTTTTTCAAAGGCCGTTTTTGGGAAGCTGGGACCGGAGAGAAGCCCCTGCCTCGAATGCGTCGCGTCCGTAATTAATTACCTTAGGTAATTCCTTCCGTGTGGATACTTCGTGATTGTCACTTTTGGACGGTCGGGGCTAGCGGTGCTAGCGAGCGCACACTGTGTTGAAGTGCTGTTGTTTGGGGCGCCTTCCAGCCAGCGCTGGTGCTTCCCAGGCCGTGAAGCTTCTCCGGGTCCAACGTCCTGGAGAAGGCGGTCCGGGGGTCTGGGGGGTAGGTACCAACTCCCTCGTACTGTGCAGCACACCAAGCTCAAAGAGTGGTGATGGGAACCATCCTCTTGAGGTGTAGAGGAGGAGGAGATGGAGAGAAAAGATGAAAAAAGAAAAGGAAAAAGAAAAGGAAAAGGAAAAGGAAAAGTGAGAATAAAAGTTTTCACATTGGCTGGTAGGTAAAAGGAACGTTAGGCCCTCTTTCTCTCTTGTTTCCCTCCCGTTTCTCCTCTCACCGCTAACCTAGTAGGATAGCCGAGATTTATCTGGGATGGCATTGGGCATGGCTTGCACTTTGCATGCTTACTCGATCCCACTCCCGATCCGACTCTTGGAAAATTAGAAGACCATTACGTTCGTTGTATGTATGTTCCGCTTTGCTGTCGGTAATGTTGGGCAAGAACAGGGCGAGACACGGCCAAGGCCAGATCGAAAAGACCGCACAATATCTGTCGTATGTATGGGTGTAGTGTAATAGTGTATGGATGTATGTATGGATACGTACGAATGAATGATAGGCGTAATGCTCCTGGCCTGGTATGCTGTTCTTTGGCTTGCGAAGGGAAATCGCTTATGCACGATGCAGCTACGCAGGACGCACGTAGGTCGGGAACAGCAAGTCGGAGTTGGACAAGTTGCCTACTCGTCTTCAGCTATGATGCCCATTCTGCTCTTCTCTGCCCGAGCCTTACTTGAACGCTTCTTCCAACACTCAGTAATAGATGAAGCTTCTACGTATAAAGGCGGGCTGGCCGATGAGGCGATTTACAGACGATGCCCAAGTACCTTGTATTAAATGACGAAGGTCAGTCAGTTAAAGGTCCGTGGTCCAGCCGCGCCAGAGCACTTGCAAAATCGTACAATGTGTGTTTTCTCTGTCCTGTAATGATTACGAAGTGAAGTTACTTACGCACAACTTCTGGTATCCGTATCCGTACGAGGTGATTACGTGACACATTCGCTACCTTGCCCTCGATATGCACCTGCGAATACCTTATAGGTCGCTCTTTCCCCGAGGCTTCTTCTATTAAGGTATGTCATGGTTCATAAAAGAATTGGTACCAGGCAGAAAGAAGGGCCTACCCATTCTCTACCTTATACCTTACCCGCAGAAGACACAATTCGAAATGTCTTCAATGTAGGACATCGGCTTCCCACGAATTGCTTTGTAATTCCCTCTCGTTCTGGTCCAACTTCGACGTCCCCATCGACCGTTTCATTATGATCATCGGGTCTCATCAGCATCGATGCCTAATGCAGAACACCTCCTCCTCCTCCTGCCTAGCCGCAGGTGCTCTCATCCTTCCGAGGCGGAAAACGAACAATGGTAGGGCACAGCTTTTCGGGGATTCCTCGTCGTCAACACAACGTACGGGGAACGATGCCCGTCGCTCGCCCACTTCGTAGTCAAACCATTTTCGACTAACGTGCACGGAGCTGACACGGATCGGCAATGAATTCACCCGAAGAAAAACATTTTGTTCGTAATTTTAGTAACGGATGGTTATCCGTCAGGTACTCTACTCGCACACCGCTGTCCGGCTCGGGCGAGCTGAACGAACGGGCAACGGAACGGGCAACGAAACGGGCAACGGCAAACGGCAAACGGGAACGGCAAACGGCAAACGGCACGAGCTTGCTTACCTTAGGTGAGGCTTACTGAAGTTGTTGCAAAACCACTCGCTGCAGTACGAATGCTATCCTTAACGACGATGCGGTATTAATTAATCACAAACCCGAGCACGAGCGACTTTCCATCAGGAGAGGAGTCGTTCACCACCTTGGCATCTGATATCGGCTTACCGTTCATTGCCTTGGTTTTTACTTGGGTTTTTATTTATTTTGACGAGCTTGAGGTCCCTCAATCTCTCAGCCTTTAACCAACTAATATCTAGTGAAACCAGCTAAATTGAAAGCGAGACGAGGATGGGAGAGAGACGAAAATGAATCCGGGCGGCGGTGCCTCCTTTCTATTTCACCCTAACCTCTAACCTCTAACCTCTCGTTCTCCTCTCCCCTCTCCCCGCGCTTTGTTCTCTTCGCTCTCTCCTCACTCTTTAAATCTCCCGACTTTTGCCTCCCCCTCCTTCCCCTTCGCCCCCTCTTCGTTGTCCCCTCCCTCCCCTTCACCTCCTCAGCGTCGTCCCCCTGCAAATCCTTTACTCGATCCAGCTATCGCAAACCTCACCCACCCACCCGCAGTTGCCAAGTGGCAATCTGGGAATGTGACCTGCATCCTGCCCGCATTGACTTCTCTCACACGATGGCCCTAAAACGCGTTTGATCGATCCCCTTTGCTCAACCTACTACAACGTACGGAGTAAAGTGCTAAAAATCGAAAATCCTGAACCCCCCTCCCCCACGGCTCAACCCCATTCTTTCGTCCATTCAACCCATCCATCCCGTCCCGTCGACCGTCACCCGTCAAATTGTCAACCGTCAACCGTCAACGGCCCCCCCCCTCTTAACACCCATCTCGGCACACCTTGGCTTTCGCTACTCCCTGATCCTCAGCTCCACCGGATTGGACAAACACCCGCCCCGCTCGTCCCTGTCCTCGCCCGTTGGCTGCTGGCTTGCTCGACAACGCTGCCCTGACTTTGAAATGGTTGGCTTCTCTGGGCCGTCTCACTCATCACCGCGTGGTTCCTGTACCCTCTGACTACCTGACTCTATTATCCTGGACCTCTCCTCCGTACTAGGCTGGGATAGCTGACGAACGGGCCTTTGGGATCGACCTTGGTCTTGTGAGATTTTTTTTTTTCATCCTCCCCTCCCCTCTTTTCTTTTCCATCTCTCTTCCATTTCATCACACTCTCTCTGATTGATGTATGCGACCATGGCAACAAGCAAATGAACATCGAACCGTCGTCTTTTCGAGTATTTCTCGCTCCTTTCTTCACACATCTTTCGACACTCTCCCTTCTCTTCGTCTCGAGCCATGGACCTTGATCTGGTCCTTTATTCCTCTAGTCTATCTGCACTCGTGACCATCAAGTGAACAAAAACCCGACCGTTCCGTTTCATCGCCCATATTCTCGACGAAACAAAAATTCTATTTCGTGGTCCCGACTCGGGAGGCCATGGCTCCTGGCGGCAAACCCGAAGGTGAAGGTTTGTGGTACCTTGCGACGCCCATGTCCATACCTTTTACACACACACGCACACGCACGCGCACGCGCACAATGACAATTCAAATGAATCACCAATCGTTCGAACCCCTCCCTCTCTCTTCTGTTTTCCCGTCCAGTTCCTCCCTCCAGCAAACTGCGATGGACCCGTCGGCGCTGATTGATCACGCACTCTCCTTGAAGACGCCGGTACCTTCTTTTCCATGGCACCTTCGACCATGAACATGCACATGGTTCGAGTCGCGCCAGCGACCAAGCAACCTCACCAGGCCCTCAATCCGGCATCGCAGGGCTTGGCGCCGGCGCAAGCCCCTCAGGGGACGCCGCAGATGCAGCTGGGGATTCCCCAGATGCCCCAGGGAGCCGCTGCTCCGCCATGGTCAGTCAGTTCATTGTCGTTGGCGCACTAGTTCCTCTCCATACTTCTCTTTGGCCCTCTCCGCCCGACTATACTTCAGCGCAGCAGAAGTGCGCTTTTGGTATTTCCGTGTTCAATCGAAGAACAGGGTCAAAGGGACCCAAAAATGGAGAATGAAAAATTACATACCAAAAAGAGATGAACGCTGAATGGCGACGATGATGAGAATGACGATGACGAGAAAGAAAAGGAAGCTGACGACGTCCCGTGTGGTCGTTATCTTATAGGGCCAAAATCTCTCCGGCCATCGTCGCTAATATGGACTGGACTTTGTACGATTATCATCCCGCCGACGATGGAGGTTTTTGGAAACTCCAACCTGGATATGCTCCTTCCGATCAACTCCCCGACATAATACCACTCGCCCTCACCAATCGCTCCCCAATCCAGCAGCCCAAAGATGTCGAATGGACATGTCTCAGCCCAGGCTGTCCGTCCAAGCCTTTTAAGCGGAAGATGGATCTCGACCGTCATTATAAAGAAGGCCACGCCGATGGCTTCCCTATCTCTCCCGTCTCCTCCGTCTCGTTTGCTACTCCGTCCTTTGATCCTCAGATAGCCATGTTGAACCCGGGAGCGGCGGCACCACCTGGGAACGGGAGCGCGGGTCCTGGTGTGATGGCACCCGCACCAGCACCGGCAACGGCGCTAGGACCAGGACTAGGACCAGGACTAGGACCGGGACCAGGACCAGGACCAGCACCCGCGATGGCTACCGCTACCGCTACCGCAATCGCACCCGCCGCCGCCCCTCCCCCGGCAGGGCCCGGATCGGCAACTACATCGTCTCCGACAGCAGCCGGCGGCAAGGAGGGGAAAGAAAAAGAAGGCGTGTTCTACTGCGACTATGCGGCCTGTCCCCGGCGAACGGATGGGTTCAACCGCAAAGACCGGTTCCGGCTTCACCTGCAAGAGACGCACAAGGAGGACGTCAACAAGAAGGGCGGGAAGATGGAAGACTCGTGGCTCGACAGTCGGAAGATGTCCAACAAGTGGTGGCGGTGTACCAAATGCCTGGAGCGGGTTAAGATTGAGGAGCACGGTTGGGAGTGTCCCAGGGACCAAGTCAAGTGCGAGAAGAGGCGCCGGGAGTATCGAGAGAAGATGTAGTAGAACGGGAACCTTTTTTTTTTTTTTGCCTTCCCCTGTCGTGGGACATGGTTCCTTGCGTTTTGTGGTGGTTTGCGCCTCCCCCGCGTTTTGGTTTGGTCAGCACGACACATGGTGTCTCGCCTGGTTTCACCGTCGTCTGAACGTCCAGCCGGGTGCGTCTCAGGCTGGGAATTGCCTAAACCCCCATGGTGAGACTTTCTTTTGACGTGGTGTATACACCGGCTTCAGTTGGACTCTATCCTTGGTCATGTCACGCATCTTTCGGCTGAGCCGGGAGGAGCGGCGAGAGTGGGTGTTCAGTGTAATATGGGGTCGATTATACAAGTACCTTGGTGATCAAAGAGTGTACGTGTACAGTTAGGTATCCGTATCAATGGGGCAGATAGGCTGTCTTATATCGGCCTGAACAGCAAGCATTCTGTACCTCATACTTAGTTCAGTACCTTAGGTAAGGTACTCAGTAATTATACCCAAGGTACGTACATTGAAATGTTCAGCGTACGTGTACACTACGGCGTAGGTACCTTAGATATAGCCACCCTGCATCGGAGATTTGAACGCGCCTCTGATTATGTAAGGCTCTCGGTCCTAATTAGGTAAGGTACGTACCCGCCTTCTTACCCGGTGTACGTACCACGTCGTCGTCCTTATTGACGACTGCAATAGGAAAGCAAGCAACTCCCGGCCTCCAACTCCCAGCCTCCAACTCCCAGCCTCCAACTCACAACACCACACACAAAAGACCAAAAGACCAAAAGACCAAAGACCCCTTTGACCTGGGTTCTTCCGATTCCCCGTTCCCGACCACCCGGCTCCTCACCCTATGTGGTACAGCTAGTCCGAACGAGCCAATACAAGGGCCGTGGCTGCCTCTTGAAATCCCCCGAGGCATTGGCAATGCCATTGCTTGTGCTTCGCAACGCCGATCTCGAGACCTAGAGTGTCTCCCTCCCCCATCCCTGTCCTTTGTCCTATCCTACTTCGCCGTATCCAGTCGACCTCGACCATCCACACACTCCACGATACCTTCGTCTTCCTTCCCTCGCCCCGCCGCATACCATGGACCCTTCAAGTTCGACAGAAGCACCCATTGAACTCGCGAGATCGCGCGCATCGTCGGTCTCCAGCATTTCCACTACAAGCATCGTCTTTGACCGACTCCACGAAGAGACCGAGAAGGCCAATGCCAGGAGACCTATGCCTATGCGCAATGCCTCGCCCACATACAAAGACGACGACGGGCTTGACCATGATGCCGGGTACAAGGAGTCCGATGCCACCGACCTTGAGACAGGTCCCTTCCTGAGCCCCGCGAGCGGGGAGGACGGGCTGGACGGGCTGGACGTGGAGAAACCCCGCCAGGGCATGGATAAAAGCTTCAAGAGGGGGGTTTGTATCGCTGCGGCTGTCTTTGTCGCCATATGGTTTGGTATTCTTTTCATCTTCCTCACCGTCAAGTCGGACGTTTCGACGGACCAGGTCGACGACGGCCTAAGCTCGACCTTCCACAAGTCGGGTAAGCCCGTCACCCTCGACCAGGTCTTGGCCGGGTTCTGGCGGCCCGCTTCGCACTCGATCAGCTGGATTCCCGGCCCGGACGGCGAGGACGGCTTGCTCCTGGAACAAGGCGCTCACGAAAAGGACTACTTGGTCGTTCAGGACGTTCGCTCCCTCGCATCCAGCGCGAACGCCGCCGCCCGCGACGACGACCTTCAGGCCGAGGCCAGCCGTACCCTCATGAAAGAGAGGTGGTTTTCCTGGGCGGACCAGCAACACACCGCCGTCGACGTCTGGCCCAGCCCTGACCTGAAAAAGGTCCTCGTTTCCACGCTGAAGCAGCGCAATTGGCGCCACTCCTTCACCGCCGTCTACTGGATCTTCGACGTCGAGTCGCAGACCGCCGAGCCGCTCGTCCCGGACCATCCCGAGGCGCGCGTTCAGCTGGCCACCTGGAATTCCCAGGGCGACGCCGTCGTGTTCACCCGCGAGAACAACATGTACCTCCGGAAACTGTCCGACGACGACAAGGACAAGGCCGTCATACCCATCACGGAGGACGGCGGGCCCGAGTACTTCTACGGCATTCCGGATTGGGTCTACGAGGAGGAAGTGTTCGGCGGCCGAAAGGCCACCTGGTGGTCCGGCGACGGGAAATACATCGCCTTCCTGCGCACCAACGAGACCGAGGTCGTCGAATACCCCGTCCAGTACTTCGTTTCGCGCCCCAGCGGCGACGCCGCCGAGCCCGGCGAGGAGTACTACCCGGAAACGAGCCACATCAAGTACCCCAAGGCCGGCAGCCCCAACCCCACCGTGGACCTGATGTTCTACGACGTCTCCAAGGACCAAGTCTTCTCGGTCGAGATCGAAGGCGACTTCCCCGACGATGACAGGCTGATCAACTTCGTCATGTGGGCTGGCGACCGCGTCTTGGTCAAGACGACGAACCGCGTGAGCGACGTGCTGCAGGTCGTCCTCATCGACGTGGCCGCGCGATCGGGCAAGACGGTCCGGCGCGTGGACGTGGCCGAGGTGGATGGAGGCTGGTTCGAGATCACCCAGAGCACGCGGTACATCCCCGCAGACCCCGAGCGTGGACGGCCGGACGACGGCTATGTTGACAGCGTCATTCACGACAACGGGGACCACCTCGCCTACTTCTCTCCCGTGGACAACCCGGAACCTGTCATGGTGACCAAGGGCACCGAGTGGGAGGTGGCAAAGGGCCCCCTTTCCGTCGACCTGAAGAACAATCTCGTCTATTTCTCCTCCACCGAGGAGTCCTCGATCCAGCGTCACATATACAGCGTCTTTCTCAACGGCACCGGCCTGGAGCCCTTCACTGACACGAGCGCCGAGGGCTACTACGACATGTCCTTCTCCTCCGGCGGCGGCTACGGCCTCCTCTCGTACAACGGGCCCCAGATCCCCTGGCAGAAAGTAGTCAGCACCCCGGGGAACCCCAGCCCGTTCGAGCACATGGTCGAAGAGAACAAGCACCTCGAAGAAAGCGCCAAGACGCACCAACTCCCCCGTCTGAAATACGGCACCCTCAACGTCGAGGGCTTCGACCTCAACTACGTCGAACGCCGGCCGCCCAACTTCGACGAGACCAAGAAATACCCCGTCCTCTTCTACCAGTACTCCGGCCCGGGCTCCCAGAGCGTCACCAAGAAGTTCACCGTCGACTTCCAGTCGTACGTGGCCTCGGCCCTCGGCTACCTCGTCGTCACCGTCGACGGCCGCGGCACGGGCTCCATCGGCCGCCGCGCCCGCGTGGCCATCCGGGACCACCTGGGCCGGTACGAGGCCCTGGACCAGATCGCCGCCGCCCAGCACTGGGCCGCCCAACCCTACGTCGACCCCGCCCGCCTCGCCATCTGGGGCTGGAGCTTCGGCGGCTTCAACACCCTCAAGACCCTCGAGGCCGACGGCGGCCGCACCTTCCGCTACGGCATGGCCGTCGCCCCCGTCACCGACTGGCGCTTCTACGACAGCGTCTACACCGAGCGCTACATGCGCACCCCGCAGCTCAACCCGGACGGCTACGCGGAGACCGCCGTCACCAACGTCACCGCCCTCGCCGGGAACGTGCGCTTCCTCCTCATGCACGGCGTCGCGGACGACAACGTCCATTTCCAGAACACCCTCACGTTGCTGGACCGCCTGGACGTCGCGGGCGTGGAGAACTACGATGTCCACGTGTTTCCGGACAGCGATCATAGTATTTACTTTCATAATGCGAATCGCATTGTGTACGACAGTATGTGCTCTTTGTTTTTTTGGTTTTTTTTTTTTTTTTTTTTTTTCACAAGAACCCCGTTACTAACTCTGCCCCCCCTTCTCAGAACTCAGCAATTGGCTCATCAACGCCTTCAACGGTGAATGGGTCAAGGTCGCCAACGCGAAACCCAAGGTCGAGCCTAGACGGGCGGAAGAGGTCGCGGCGAGACGGTCCGACAGGGTCAACGGTGGCCACTGGGTGTAGGACACCTTCATTACTTCCAGTCCTATTATTTATGCATTATTACTACTGTTGGGTTTTCTTTATTGTCGCTGCACGCGAACAGAGCAGACAGACGAAAGGACAGGCGCCTGGGAATTGGGAAGCATGGGAGGAGGGACGTGATAGATGCATGTTTCCCCTGTCGAATTGGCTATGCAAATGGAATCAAACTACTTCACCAGACTGCGCCCGTCCATTCACGTACTTTGTTGCACCACCATATGAGTAGGCCTGTCCCAAGAGACTCAAATATGCCGGCGGAGATTTCACTTGGCATCACGATTCGTAGAGACCCTCAAAGAACAAGTCATTAAAGCTAAAAACGACACGTAAGATACTATCATACATGGGATAAACGTCCGCCCAGCAGAATGCGATTTCTTCGCCCTGCAGCAAAAAGGTAGGCAAAGACGAGACGACAAAAGAAGAGGAAATTGGATTACAAGCCACCGTTTTCCAGATCCCGACGCCCTCATCTATCAACGTGGTCGCGACCGACCACTTCCTATGGACGTCACATGCTGTCTTTTTTTCTGCCTGCACTGCTGTGAAGAACCTCGTAGCGCTGCCGAGGCAGTTGGTTTCCGACAGCTGGTGCCTGGGGATACATCGTCTCCCCGTTCACACAGCTCATCCCCCCCATCAGCGACGGGGCCCTTTGGTGCCAAGGTACTTGGTCGGGTGTCTAACGCCAGGCCGGGACCTGCACCTAGAAGCCGCCGTACCCTGTCGGCTGAGGGGCGAAGCCGTTGGCCGGGGCGTACGGAGCGGGAGATGGCGCCCCCATGGCAGCAGGGCCGGCTGTGATCATGAGGCGGTTGGCCCCCAGAATAGGGCCTGTCGACTCGTCCTTCTCCTTCTCCGTCTCCTTAGCCTTGCGAGCTTCGTTGTCGGCCTTGAGGGTGGCCAGCTCCTTGGTCTGTTGGCAGAGCATGTTGATCATGTACGGCATGGTAAAATCGTTGAGGCCATGGCGCCAGGAGACCTCGAGCACCACATCTGGCCTGATCAGGTCGTAGCACGAGTAGAGCATGCCCACGTAGCATTCGCGGCTGCCAATGTCGACAAACTATGGTAACATACACGGGTTAGCGATGGCCGGAGAGGACGAGGACATATAAAAAAAGCATGTCAAGGGGAGAAAAAAAAAAGTACGTACGTAGCGGAGAAGGTCTTCAACCATGTCACTCTTTCCGGACATGGCTGCCGTTTCAATGGCATCCTTGTACAGCTTATCCTCCTTGGAGAGAGCAATCGACTTCTCCCACCGCTTGTTCTTGCGATAGATGCTGGCCGCGATCTGTCGGAAGAAGATCAGGTCGTGCTTCTCCAGGCGGGCAGCGAGCTCGACGGGGTCATAGTTGTCGTAGTTCTCGACCGAGTCACGAAGAGTCTTATAGTCCTCCTCTTCGATCAGGAGATCGTTAATGGCGTTGTTGACCGAGCGCTTGTTCTGCGACTGGACGCTGAGGAGGAAAGGCTTGATAAGAGGCAGGTCGTCATTCTTCTCGAACATCTTGACCACCCGGTTGACGTCGATGCGCGGTGTGAGCACCTGGAGGAGGTCGGTGAGCAGCGTGGGGTGCTGCTCGACGTAGAATTTGATGGCCCTGTAGTAGATCTCCAGGTTGGCCACCTTCACGATCATCTCCTTGAACTGGTGGTGCTCCCACGAGTTCTCCGGTCGCTCGATCACGGTGAGGACGGCGTTGTCGAATTCGTCATAGTGGTAGTAGCAGAACACCAGCTCGGGCCACAGGTTGGCCTCCTCGCAAGCACGGATGAGCTTGGGCATGTTGACTCGGCTCCAGAAGAGCTTGAGGTGCTCCATCAACCGCTCGGGATGGTATCTGGAGAGGGCGATGCCGAGCTCGGTGAACATTCCCATGTGCGCACGCTCCAGGCCCAGGCCTTGCTCCAAGAGGCTGATGAGCTCATCAAAGTAGCCGTTGCGCTCGTACTGCTTGACAAGAGTTTGCAGCTGCTCGGCGTCAATGATGAGGTTGAGACCGCAGATCTGGGCGAGACGGAACTCCTTCTTCTCGACGCAGGCTTCGTGCACCTGCTTCCAGACCTTGATGTTGTTGGCCTTGCGGGCGCACTCCACGGCCGCCTGGTAGTCGTTGAGGTGTACCAGCGTGGTCGCCAACTTGGCCCAGTTGGAGATGCTGGTGTAGAAGATCTTGGCAGCCTCGTACAGACCCTCGGCGTACGCCTTGTCGCCGGACTCCTCAATGTTGGCGACATTGGTGCCGCGGAGGAAGTCCTCAAGCTCACCGAGCTGGTCGAGACGGGCGTAGCAGAAGGCGAGGGCGGTGTCGATGGGCGGTTCCCGGAGCGTCTTGCGCGCCATGCGAAGATATTTGATAAGGTCCTCGTCCTTGCCGGCATGCACGGCCGTCTCAATGACTTCCTCGTAATTGCGGGGATCCTCGGCCTTGATGTACGACTCGATGGCGTCGGTGACCCGGACGCCATCCAGCTGGGCCTTGGCGACCTTGGACCACACCTCCGGCAAATCAACTTCCTCCGCGAACGCCTGAGCCCGGTCGATGCTAACGACGTGGTCGACGAGGACATCCACAGCGGCCGTCCGATCGCCGGCCTTCTTGAAGATCTCAAACGCCTCCTCGTACAGCCCGACATCAATACAGGCCGAGGCGATATCGGGGGCGCTATAGCCGTCAATCTTGTGGATGTAGTCCATAACCTTGGCCTTGTCGGCCTTGGCAGCGGTAAACATGAGCAGGTTCTGGAGATTCTGGTTGTCGCTGAAGGGCGAAGGCTCCAGCACGATCTTTTCCAGGAGCTCGATGAGTTCCAGAGGGAGGTCGTTGGCCAGCAAGGCGGCCACCGCCTCGGACACCTTGGCGGGGTCGGTAGATTCAGGCACAGCCGTGGCGGTAACCTGGTCGATGACGGAACGGCGGTGAATGTTGTTCTCGCTCAAAACAAAGTTCCAAAGCTCCCTGTCGGCCCTCTCGAGCAGATACCTGGCCTGGGCGCGGTACATCGAGTTCTCGTTCGTGATATTGACGAGCTCGAGATCGTTTTGGCCCTTGGAGTAGGCGATGAAGGCCAAGTTGGGGTCACGCTTCTCGCAGTACTTGCCGACGGTGAGAGTGTCGTATTGGTTATTCTCCTTGAGGAACTTCTCGGGGTTGTTATTGGAGTCGATGTAGATCTTGGCCAGAGCGTTGTAGACAGCCCGCTGCTCCATGCCAGCGGCAAGCATCTGTTCGAGGAAAGGGAGGAGCAGCTTGAGACGGTTGCGCGACTCGACCTCCTGCACGAGGTCGTCGATGGGGATGGACTGGGGGTTGACAGTGGAGATGAGGTTCTTGATGATGCCCTCGTCGCAGTCGACATCGAGCAGGCCGCCAACGACAGCGGGGGTCCGCGAAGGGTTGACCCGCTGAACGTACGTCTCGATGGACTGGAATTGCTGGTGCTGGTAGAGGTACAGGACGAGGTCGTGGACAAAGTTGAAGCGGTCACACACGACGATGAGCGGGAGCTGCTCCTGAAGCCTGGCTTCCTTCAGGAAGTTCTTGACCTTCTCAGGGTTGTAGTGGTTGTTGTCTCGGCAAATACGCTCGACCTCGTTGAACTGGCCCATCTTGGTGGCGGCTTCGATGTACTTGAAGACGACATCGGGTTCCTCGGAAAGGTTGACGATGCTGCCGAGGTAGTAGAACAGGCCTTCGGCGGTCTTGTACTTCTCGAACAGGTCGATCAGGCGGACGGAGCCAAGCAGCTCACTGTACTTGGTGGCAATGGTCACGACGGCCTGCAGGTTCTGGCGGATGTTATGCTTCATCATGGCATCCAGGCAGTCAAAGGACTGCTCAACGGACAGCTTTCCGAAGAAGGTGGTCAACCAATCCAGGCTGAAGTTGGGCGTGCCAGCAATATTGACGACGACGCGTTTGACGGCCTCTGGGTCCTCATAGAGCTCGAGGGCCTTCTGGTACAGACCAGCTTGCTCACAAAGAGCGGCAATGCGCGGCTTGTCGAAGTGCGTGACCAGCTCGTTGCTGAGGATGGCATCGGCGACCTGCGGCGCATTCAGCAGGTTCATCTCGAGGAGACGTGTCTGCAGATGGCCCTGGTCCGGGAGGTTTTCTTTCAGGGCGTCAAGCAAAAAGGCGGTGGCCTGCTGGATCATGCCCTGAGACTGGAAAATGTCGACGACGCGGGAGATATCGACGAGGGAGCCGCCCGGTTGGTTGGCGAGCGAGGTAGCGAACTCGGCACCCTTCTCGGGGTTCACACGGACAATGTGCTGGAGAAGCTGCACGTAGTCAGGCTGATAGCCCGTCTGCGCGGCGTAGGGCAGGATCTTGTCGAACTGGCCGCTCTCGGCAAAGCCGGCAACGACCTTGTGAGGGACGTCGGCCTTGAGGTAGATGGCCAGGGCGGCGTTCAGGTCGTGCGGGCGGACGAGATCACCGAGCCGTTCGGAGCAGTGCAGCTTGTTCTCCTTCAGCCACTTCTCGAGCAGGTTCATCCGGTTTTGGGCGAGCACGGGCTGGGCCAGCTCGATGGACTCGTGCTCGTTCAGCTCGCCCTTGTCCAGCAGCATGCCGAAGTACTGGAGGATGAAGGACATTTGGCCCGGCTGCTGAGGCAGGCGCTTAAACTTCTCGATGGTCTCGGCGGTCCGCAGGAAACCGCGAGGCGAGTTGGCAGCCACCTTGGCGGCGTCCAGGTAGTTGCCCGCGTTCATCAGCTGCTCAAACTGGCGGGCGTAGAGGTTGTCGGCGCCGGGAAGGCCGGCCCGCGACGCCATCTTGATGGCGATGTCGGAGTTGGCGGGATTCTGCAGCAGGTAGGGGATGATGTTGGACTCGTCGATGGTGACGAAGAGCACCTGACCCTTTCGGTTGATGGCGACGATTCCGGACGAGTTGGCGTCGGGGGAGGTGGTGAAGATGGTTTCGCTCGAGATGCGGTTCATGAAGATGCAGTTGCCGGTCTCCAGATCGTAGAGGTGGATGAAGCCGTACTTGGTGACCATGTAAATGGCGCCGTATTTTTGGGAGACCTGCATGGAGACGGGGAAGTCGTTGGTGGCCTCGGGCGGGAAGTAGACATCGACGGCCTTCTTCTGGAAAGCGGGGTTCGCCTCCGGGCGGTCGACCTCGACGATGTGAAGCTTGGCACCGTTGGCGGTCCGGACGGAGAATGTGAAGAGCTTGGTGTCAGCGGGGGCGCCCTCGAGTCGGACGGTGCCAAAGGCGGCGGCATGGCCTTCGATGGCCTGGCTGATGCCTCGGTCCTTGGAGTAGAGCTGCATGGCGCCGACGATGCGGCCTTCGCGCTGGGCGATGCCCACAACGACCATCCACTTGCCGTCGGCGCTGGTACGATAGTTGATGATTTGGCAACCCTGAAGGTTGAGTGTTAGCAATGAGAAGGAGAAGCAGCGGTTGTCTGAACGGGTATACGTCACGTACGCTCAAGTTGGCATTGCGGTCGAAGACCTTGACGGGGGCGGCCTGGGCAGGGTCGAAGACATCCCAGTGGTATACAGAGCCGTCGGTTACCAAGCCCAGGGAGGTGGCGCTGATCCATTTCCAGTACTGGACGTCCTCGTTCATGGTGGTGGACTTGAGTTTTTGCTTCTGCTCCAGGTCGAAGATCTGCAGCGTCCTAGACTGGGCCTTGAGGGCGATGACTTGGCGGGTCCAATGCATGATGGCACTGTCGGCCTTGATAGGGCGTCGGGTGACATTGTTGCCATTCTTGAGGTCGACAATGACAACTTCAGGCGAGGCGGATTCGCTCTTCTGGTCTCGGATGCACACGTAGGAATCTGACTCGAGTGTCTGGAGGAAGTCGATGTTCAATTAGAATGCTGTTCCCGATACGAAGGGCATGGCATGTAACAATGTGATGGTAATGTATTGAGAAGGGGAAAACACAAGAGAAACTTACGCAAGAGTTGAAGGTGATAGAGCTGTCTTGGACACCGACACTTTGGAGCTGAACCAGCTCCTCGAATCTGATGGGAAGGGGCGCCATGACGGCGATGTGTCTGACGACGGGCGATTCAGGGAGAACCGGATAGCCCTAGAAGTCTTCCGTTATGGGATTCGATTGTCGGTTAGGTCGGTCCTCAGTCAGAGGTCGGGACGAAGCGAGGAAAAGAAAAGAAGAAGAAAAAAACGGAGGCCGGTAGGGAGGTCCGGCAACCTGGATACGGGTGGAAGGTAAGAAAAGGAGAGCTTTGGGAACTCTCACGACGTGGCCGACCGCAAGTCGGGCAATTAATGACAACACAAATTGCAAGATGGGGAGAAGAAGGGGGAAAAGGAAAAATGGCGGTAGAGTACGTGATCTCGTTTAGATGCGCCGCCAGGGATGGCAATCTGGTGGGCAAACGGGGGGATATAGCAAAGGAAAATGATGGGGGGGAGGTTTTTTGTTTAGAAGAGATGAAGCAAGTGGAAGATGCGAAGATACGAGAGAGGATACGTAAGGTGCAAGCAGACTTGGTGGTTCCTGCTCGCGACTGGTCAGGTCGGTTGCCCCTGCCCACTCCCTAATCATTCTAGGTCACCATTTGGTAACGGTACGTACCTAGGTATTCTACTGCCTAAAGATATAAAGATAATTACGAAGTACCTGTACACCGTAGGGAGGCCCGTGCGAGCAATACTCACGTGATCTCCCCTTTGAGGAGCTCCGGTTTCGATGACTGGTTGGCTTTGCTTTTCGAGCTCAAGCCAATGAAGAGCAACTGCGTCAATCGGGACAGATCGACGCGACTCTTGCACGAAAGTACAGGAACCAATTAGCGGAACGGTGTACGATTACCTAAGGTACCTACCTTAGGAGCTAATACACCCAGTGGCTCAATGAACCAGACAGCTCACCGTAATTCGTACTGTGTGGGCACATACGTGTACTACTTCATAAGGTACAAGTAGTTTGCCGGATTCTCTCTGTGCAGTTCTGGCAATATGGCAATAGAGCCTCTACGCTATATGAGAAACTCTTGATCCGAAACTAACAAGGGCTCAGAAGACAGAAGACAGAAGACGAGGATATTATTGTATTATTGCTTCCTCTTTAGAGTCATTCATCTGTTTCTATTTCAATCAGAACCCCCCTTGACCCCGGGATGACTCAACCCAAGCTCTCCCCGCTTTCTTCTGTCCCGAATGACTGCGACTTCATGTTCTGCTGGTCAATGGAGGGTGCTCGGTCGCCATTTATGGCCTTGGTAATTTACAGAATTGAAGATCTGGTTAGGAAGAATGCAAAGGAATGCCGACATATAACATCTCGCCGTCCCCCCTCCCCTCGGCCAAGTGTGCTTTACTGGAAGTCTCCTCACACTTTTAGATCCAACAACTCCTCCATCTCTATATCTCATCTTTCTTATAGGTAATTCATCAGAGCCGGCCGTCATGACGAACGAGACCGAGACCAACTGGAAGCGCAACACAAAGTATGACACGGCCTTGTGCTTCATCCCACCCCGCCATCAGTGGAATACCGTCGAGAACTTCCGCCAAGCCAACGACAAAACGTTCGGAAGGTGGCCACCACACGTCAACCTCGTCTACCCCTTCGTTCCTCCACGCGACCTTGGTCCAACGCTGGATCAGGTTCTCTCCTCTTTGCGCGGGCGCCTCCCGAAAGAAGAACCACGGGGTTCGGACGGGCTGAGCACCACCCTCTTTCTGGACTCGGCAGATTGCTTCCCGCGTGAGCATGGAAGCACATTCTTCCTCTTCGACGGTAACGCGAATACCACGAACCAAATCGAGGACCTTCGCTCCGACATCATTAGGGCGCTGGGGCGACAAGATGGAGACTCTTACAGGCTCCATATGACCGTCGGCCAGTGTGAGGCTGCACCCGGGTCAGACGCCCACAGATCGTTTCTCGAGAAAGCCAAACTCTTACCAAAGATCCAGTGGGAGTGTAACCAGCTATCCGTGCTGGTGCGGAACGACTCGGGCGTCATGCTACCATGGGGAACCATCCACCTCGACCTACTCTCACTCGACCGCATCGACCCAACTCCCTTCTACGCATCATCAGTCGGCCCCGGATCACCGAGTACCATACGACCTGCACACCAGTATTCGGACCATCAAGGACTCTGGGTATCTCCTGAAACCTCCCCTAAGCTCGACAACACAGCCGTGGATCTGCCAGCGGATCTACCAGTGGACCTACCAGAGCACCTAGTTGTGGCGAGCTATAATGTCCTCGCCGAGTTTACTTCGCCTCCGTCAAAAGTCCGCTATCCGCTCCTCGTCGAGAACCTCCTCTCACCTACGGCCTTGGCCGACATCCTCGTCTTGCAGGAAGTCACCGACGACTTCTTGTCCTACCTGCTAGAGAACAAGGACGTGCGTGACCATTATCGCCATGTCTCCCATCCGCCACCTCATCAACCCTCTGCTGGCCCGCTTCCCAACTTTCTCAACGTCGTAGTGCTGAGCAAACACCGCTTCGTCTGGCGCTATCTTCCCTTCCGCCGCAGCCACAAGGGGGCTTGCATCGCGGTATTTGACGACCTGGGAACCAAAGCTGAAGATGGCACCCCACAGCCCTTGGTCGTGGCGGGCTGTCACCTGAGTCAGGGGCTAACAGACGACCTCGTCCATGCCAGGACGGGCGAGTTCCACCACATCCTAACATATCTAAAGAACCAGCATGATCTGTGCAACCCGTGGATCATCGCCGGCGACTTGAACGTTACGACCTCGTACCGCACGTTACATGTCGCCCTGGAATCCAAAGCCATCTCCGAACGAGCGGCGGCCGAGATCAGGGGATTCGACTCCCTCGTCTCCCAAGCCGGACTCACAGATACCTGGGCCGCCGCTCGGACCGAGGTGGGCGAGTCCTCCGACGACATGAAGCTCCACGCGTCCGCAGCGGAACTCTTCGAAGGCGAACAGGGCGCGACGTTCGACCCGCCGAACAACCCGGAGGCTGCCAAATCCACCGCAGCATCCGGCAACAAACTGAGCGGCCGGCCGCAGCGATACGACCGAATCTTGCTCAAGACGGAGGGGGCCATGTGTTATCCCGCGGCATTCAACATGTTCGGCTTCCTTACCGCTCCGTCAAACGAGCGCGACGGCGCAACCTACGCGAGCGATCATTGGGGCATCCGCTGTTTGCTGCGCAGGCAGACCGAGCCGTCAAAGGGCGCGCCGGCGTCGAATAGTAGTCTTCTTCCCGTGGTGCCAGTGGCCCTCAAGCATGCGCCCAACCACCTCTCGGACTCTGGCGCCCTCGGTGATCTTCTCCGCGACAGGCGAGCTCTCCCGACCGGTGAAGATGAGACGGCTCGAACCAAGGCGCTCGACCTATTGAAGGAGGTGTTGCTTGAAACCGGCCCCCTAGGTTCTACGGCAGCCACGCGAGGTCGAGTCGTCACGATCTTGGTCCCGCTAGGATCGTACGGCCTTGGTGTTTGGTCACCCGACTCGGATCTTGACTGTCTCTGCATTGGGTCTGTGCAGCCGCGGACATTCTTCCGCCTGGCCAAGCTTAGCATCAGGAAATGCAGCTCCGGCATGCGTCTTCTTCGTACCGTGAGGGCGAATACGGGAGTCATGATGGAGCTGGACGTATTGGGCATCAAGGTCGATCTGCAATACTGCCAGGCAAGCCATATCGCCGAGAGGTGAGTGCTCCCTTTAAAAGCAACTTCCTTCACCCTTCCCGTCTCCGTATGAAGGCTAACTGGACGGTGAAAATCAGGTGGCTAGACATCATGAAGCGCCCACCAACTGACGCAGCCTTCAAACTGAAGCCCGAGTCTCTGATCAAGCTCAAGCCGGCACGAGATCTGTCCTACTTGAAACGATCCATCCCGGACCTTGCTCAATACCGAATCGCCCATCGTCTCGTCAAGTGCTGGGCCAGAGAACGCGGAATTTACGCAGCCAAATTTGGATTCCTTGGAGGCATCCACATCTCGATCCTGCTCGTCCGAATCTGCAAGATGATCTGGCAGCAGAACGGGCCCGTGTCGACCCCGGACCTCCTCGCCACGTTCTTCGATCACTACTCGAGTTTCGATTGGGAAAAGCACGCCGTGTTTGACCCTTTCTTCCACAAAAGCCTCAGGTATCACCGAACCTTCCGGGAGCCCTTGTGTCTCCTCGGGTGGCATGGGCCGATTCTGAATGCGGCCACGGCGGCTTCCAAACCCAACGTCAGCACCATAGCTGCCGAGCTCCAGAAAGCCAATGAGTATCTGTCCCGGCCGGGCGTGGATTGGGCTGGACTCCTCGGAAGTCACGATTCGGTATCGGTGGGATCTTCGTCGGGCACGTCTGATTTTCTGAAGGCATATCCCTCCTACGTCAAGCTTAGCATCCAGTACTGGGGGAAGTCGTTGGAGAAAGGCAGCAAGCTGCTAGGCTGGTTGGAATCACGCTGCATCAGCCTGCTCGTGGGTACGTTGTGTCATAAAACCCTTCCCTAGCCAACATATTGACCAAGTCCATCTCGCTGACCAAAAGGGGGAAAAAATAGACATAAGCATCCAAGTCAAGGATCTCTCTGCGAGAATCTGGCCCCAACGCTTCGTCGACGCCGCCTCCGAAGAGGAAACAGACGACAACTACCGGGGCCTCTACCTCATCGGCCTGAGCCGAGCCGCTGCTGCCGCTGCCGGACGCGAAGACGTCGAAGCCACCATGTCCCGACTCCGCCACGTTCTGAATCTATTCGAACGCCGCATCCGCGAAGACGGTCGATACTTCGATGCCTCGACCTCGTGGTTCGAGACGTCGGTCGTCCGGGGCGCGAAACTGGGGCCGCTTCGCCTCGACGGCCGGGCATGGGGCCTCTATGCCGCGGACGGGGAAGATGATTCGGAAGATGAGTTTTTGTTCGATGAAGATGAGGAGGAGGAGGTGGATGCTGATGCTGCTGCTGATGCTGAGGACGTGACGTTGGCGGACGGGACCGCTGCCGGGCCGCGGAGGTTGCCGGCGAGGCCCAAGCCGGAGGGGGCAGGGAAGCTTCGAAGCGCGTTGGATGTGATGAACCGCCTCCGGTGGGATCCGAACTTGGATAGCGAGGACTATGTCGTTGGTTACTTGGATCGGTTTGAGGGGGTGCAGGAGAAGGGTCTTGGGTCTTGGCACTCTGACCTGACCGAGGAGGAATTCATCCCTCAGCATCGGATCGTCCACTTTAAGCGGAAGACGGATGGGAGTATTGTGTGGGAAAGGCACACGCGTACGGATAAGATTTTTGGGAGTGGTCAAGGTTAGAACATGGTCGATACTGTCGTACGTACATGGGTACATACAACCGTTTTGAATCAAAGCTCGTACATCATATGAATATTTACAAAGAAAACCCCCCATCCCTAGATGAACCGGAAGCCATTCACATAAGCAACCTCCACGCACCGAGCAACAGCGCGGCAAAGCCCGTGCAGACGCCCATAAGCCACTGCAAGGTCTGAAACTTGACCTGCTCGAGCTTCTCCCGGAGCGCGGCGACCTCCTGCTCGATCTTCGTCTCGGTTTCCTTGATCTTGAGCTCCTGGCTCACGGCCTCCTCGCGGATGCGGCCCTTCTCGAGGTTGAGGTCGAGGCGGACGCTGGCCTGGGTGCGGCCAATCTCGTCGCGCAGGCGCGAGCTCAGCTTGGCGATGTCGTTGGAGAGCTTCTCGTGGGCGGCGCGCGTGGCGTTGGACTCGGTGCTGTCGGCGGAGAGGAGCTCGGAGCGGAGCTTGGCGAAGTCGACTTTTTGCGTGTAGGTTGCCTTGGCGGCGTCTTCGCGGAGGACCATTGTGCGGGTCAGGTTTTGGATGCTGGAAAGGACGTGTCAGCTTGTGCCACGCGAGTAGAAACATAGTAAAAACAAGAGGACAGAAAGGGAGAGGTGCGTAACGTACCTCTCTTCGATGACGTCGTTTAGGACTTTCATCATGGCGGCGGCTTGCTCTTCGGTGAACCCTTCGCTCTTAAGCCGTTGGACGAACTTGAGGGTGTCAAAGTGGTGATCGCGTTGCCTGGTGGGCGTTGCATGGAACGCTCTCCGGATCGACTGGCTCTGTAGGATGGAGGTTGAGCTTGGGCTTCCTATCGGCGGCGCGAAGCTCCTGTCCTGACATCTTGACGAGGATGCCCCCCCATGGAAGAACGGCCGTGACCTCTGGTGGCTAGGTCTAGTGACGGGTAAGGCTGCTAAGGGTCGCAACGATCTTGCGGGTGCAACGGTTGTGTTCCAGCTGAGCCGCGGTAGCAGGAATCTTGGGAGAGTCTCCGTGGCCATGTCAACCAACAGCAGCAGTCTTGCGATTCGGGCTGGCTGAGAGGACGAGGCAGTGGATATTCGGTGTCGCGTGAATCGGTGAAGGGAGACGGGTCTGGTAAGCTGGGTTGTTGTTCACATGTATGAACTGGGAGACAGGAGAGATGGGTAAGGCATGGACGTACCTGTGCTCGGGTATGACGATGTCGGTCCGGAGTACGGATAAACTTATTACCTTTGTACTCCGCTCCCCCCAGCTTCGCAAAAGGGCCGGCTATACCCGACCTCCACAGTTTAACCGGACTTTTACCACGAACCTCCATCCTCTTCAAAAATCTTTATCCAGCCGCAGCCTCGAATTTTTCTTCTTCTTTCCCTCTTCATTCTATATGAACAACGCAAAGAAAACATTCAGATTCTCATACTTTGGTGCGAGGTTTGCTTCGTCAAATCCATGACCATTAAAGACTGGTGATAGAATGGAGAGAAAAGCGAACAATCTTGGGTGCGGTGCTTTTCGCCTTTGGGCAGATGGGAAGGATCGCAATGATTGAACGTACATATGGCGAGGAGTTGCTGATCTTTCGTATGTGTAGTACACGTATGACTTCCGTCTCCAGTGATGCTGGCTGGTGCGGTCGAAGCCAAAGATGAAGCCGAAGCCCACGTAGAGCTAGACAGAAGAGGTTCTTCCGTCCATCTTCACGCATCACGGGGTCCTTGTTCTGGGACAAATCCAGCCCAGTTGCTCGTTTCGTCCTGTGTGTATCACTCGGGCCTACGGTGCCTGGCATTAAGACAAGGCATTTCACGACTTCGCATGCATCATGGGGCAAGGAACCAAACAATGAGACTGCCGGCCGATTCGATTAGAGACTGGACGAGACAGACGAAGATAAAGCCTCTCCTCTGCTCATCCTGTTCCTACAAGTCAGGACAGCTGAGCAAGCAAACTCCTATATCAAGCCAAACTCCCCAACTCTTTGTGACCCGGACTCTGCTAATTACAGCAAGGAACCGAAGAAGGAGAGAGAAAAGAAGAAGAAAAAAGCGGCATTGATTTCCCACCCAATCCATCAATATACCGCCGTGGAAGTTCACAAAAGAAGAACAAACAGCCAGGGAGGTCCTTTTCCAAAAGTAATCTCATTTTCTCCTTCCCCCTTATACCCTACCCTTGGTGGCTGAAGTTGGAGAATCGAATAAACCCGTCCTGTGTTACAGTCCAGCGGGTTTGTAGCCTTCTACGGCGAAGCAATGGCTTCGTTGTGTGTCCCCTATACATGGAATCGCGAGAAAGGGTGAGAAATGGTCGCCACGTCTCGACAACCTGGGGCACAAGTCTCGTTAGAAACAACTTCTCGCATCAAACAAGGGGACGTGTACATACATGGGGCGGCGGCTCCGTCTAGAACCCCGAGGTAGGCTCAGCAGCACGCTTCCAGCATGGCTGGCCAGGCTTGGTGCAGGCCTGGGGTTCGGGCTCGGCGATGGCGACGGGCTCAGCGACAGCGGTCGGCTCGGCGGCACGCTTGTTCTTCCAGCACGGTTGACCGGGCTTGGTGCATGCCTGGGGCTCGGGCTCTGCGATGGCCACTGGCTCGGGCATGGCCGTTGGCTCCGGGGCACGCTTGTTCTTCCAGCAGGGCTGGCCGGGCTTGGTGCAGGCCTGAGGCTCCGGTTCGGCGAAAGGCTCGGCGATGGCAGTCGGCTCGGCCGCGCGGCGGTTCTTCCAGCAGGGCTGGCCGGGCTTGGTGCAGGCCTGGGGCTCAGGTTCGGCCACCGGTTCCGGGGCACGCTTGTTCTTCCAGCACGGTTGGCCGGGCTTGGTGCAGGCCTGGGGTTCGGGCTCGGCGATGGCAACAGGCTCGGGCATGGCCGTTGGCTCGGGGGCACGCTTGTTCTTCCAGCAGGGCTGGCCGGGCTTGGTGCAGGCCTGAGGCTCCGGTTCGGCGAAAGGCTCGGCAACGGCAGTCGGCTCTGCGGCACGGCGGTTCTTCCAGCAAGGCTGCCCGGGCTTGGTGCAGGCCTGGGGGTTCGGCTCGGGGACAGCGAGGGCCGCGGCGTTAGCGGCCGCCACAAAGAGGGCAATAGTGGCGAGGACCTTCATCTTGGATGCTCGTTGTGATTTTGTTGAAGATGAAGACGAGAAGGTAGGTTGAGAGATGGACTCGTCGAAGGAGAAAAATACTTGTCCGAAGCCAGTCGGTTCGTGTGCAGCCTTGTCTTATTTTGATCTTCTAGAGATAACTGGACTGGGACGGGTGAGGAAGGGAAGACCACAAGACTTCAGATGGCACATCATGAGGATAGATATATAGCTCGAATAGCTTGGTGTTGTTCAACCTGAGCCTGCTTCCTATTGACCATTGTTCAGGGGGCTAATAGTGGCTGTTGGGTTGAATAGCCTCAAAGGGGCCCCAATAAGATGGCAACCCACCCAGCCAGAACAAAAAAAACCCGGGGACGTTGCCAATAGCCCCCAGTGCCCCCCTCCCGAGTCCCAACAACCACCAAGCGATGTTCGCGTTCAGATATTGGCCTACATCAAAGATAAACAGGCTAACTATTCTCTTCCCGACGAAGCGAGGGGCATCATGAGACAAACAAATTCCCTTGATACTCGTGTTGGAGCAAAGGCCATGTCTCTGTACAACGATGCTCATTGTAGGTCCCTGCTCCCTTTGCGGTAACCCATAGCACCAGTGGCTTATTGACCCCTTATTCGGGCAATGGAAGGCACAAAAGTCTGGGGTGGAAGCGAAAGAACAAACCAGAACCTCACAAAGACGTTCGAGGGAAGGGGGGGGGGGGCAAAGACCTATTCCCGTTTATGTCGAGTCTAACACCAAGTTCATCTTTGTATCTCCACGTTACTATCTCCATGTTCACCGAGTATCCCGGTCACGTTGTTCAAAGCAGCTGTGGCAGGTGGAGTGCTCTACTTTGATTACCGACATTTACTCGGTCCTACTTTGCTTTTCCGAGTTTGCCGAGTAAAGTTTCCAATTCTGGGCGTGTGTTATGTGTGTGTTATGAAAGAGAGTGTGGTTGCTCTCGGCTTATTGATACCCCTATTGAGGCTCTATTCAGCCCCTGAATAGGAAATAGGGGCTAGGAATGATTGGTTGCCCCAACTTCACTTCCCACCACCATCCCAGATGTCAAAGGAAGATATGAAAATGCAATTGACGAAGAAGACGGAAAGGGAAAAAAGTCAGGGAGATAGGCAAGTGGACGAGGATCTCTAGCCCTGCTTAGAATCAGAGACAGTCTGTATATCAACATTCGGATATGTCTGCGTCTTTTGGTGATACAAGACTGCAAGAAATAGAGAAAAGAGGCCTTGGAAGCTGTCTCAAATCTTCTAAAATAACTCGTTCTATGTCAGGGGCGTAGTACGTTAGATGTATTGAGACGCAGGGACGGTCTACTCAGCCCATGCTGCATGAATCCTGTCCGCCTGTCCGTTCGGAGTCTACGAGTCCAGATATGACACTGCGAAGCAGAATCATTGCCGCATTGCCGACGTACAACATATTTCGAGGCCAGAGGGGACTGCCAGAGAGGAAAACGAGGAGAGACAAGGGACGGATAGCCCTTGCCAACCAATCGAGATAACCCCGTCTGCGGGACATGGTGGAGACGGAACGTTGTTCAACCCACGAACAGACACTATTCTCATATTCTATTGATACTCGATACCGACCATGAAAGCCGAGATTGGGGTGGCAAAGCGAGACGAGTCCACTACGCCCGTTGACCGCCCAGCCACCAAAATCAAACAAACCCAACCCCGCCTCTCCCCCCCCTCAAGCCCGGGGATCCCAGCTCGGGTCAATCTCATCCAACAAGTTCAGCTCCCTGAAGGCTTCGGCGCCCAGAATCTCCCCCAGCCCAATCAGCTTGTAGCTAGCATGTTCGTCCGTGCCACCCCCAGGAAGCTCATTAGCGTCGTCATGAACAACGACCAAACCGTGGGGGAACGCGGGCCCCAGATGGACAGGAACGGCAGCAACGCCATCCGCGTTCGTAACCGCATCGATCCGCCCGTCCGCCGACGCCGCGACGGTAAAAGTCATGACACGTTCGTGCGGATGCGCCCTCCGGTACACGTTGAAAGCGTTGACGCCCTGCGACGACACCAGGATGAACCCGCGGTCCGGCGTCTTCCCCTGCACGAGCGTCACCCCTTCCACGTCGCCCCAGATGGTGCCGTCGCCGACCCAGTCGATGCGGAAAGGGGGGTCGTCCGCGTCCGCGTCCGGGCCGGGCTCGGCGCCGTACCGCCAGAGGCCCGAGGGCTCCTCGCCGAGGAAGAGCCACCCGTTGTCGTCGTCCGCCACGCAGCCTTCGACTTGGCCGCCCGCTCCGGCTACGAATTCGCGGACTAGTGTGGTCTCCAGCGTGCCGTTGGGGGTGGAGGTCAGCTCGAGTTGCCTGTAGCGGCCCGACTTTTCGTTTACAAAGAGGTACTGCTTGCCGGTCTTCTTGGAGCGGTAGACGCAGGATCCGTAGACTGCATCCTCGACGTGAGAAGGCTGGATGCCGCCGGGGATGTCGGTCAATATCCCCTCGGGGGTCATTTCAAAGATGCTAGGAATCATGCGTTAGCTTTGAGGGATAGGTGCCTGCCTTTTCTTGTCCCCTTTTTTAACCTACCAGAGTGTGTTGTCCGCACGGCAAGCAGCATAGGCAAGGTCAACAGTCCGGTTGCCCGCTCGAAAGCCATATATCATGTCCACATTATTGGGCCGGCCCGCCTCGAAATCCTGCACAACTCTGCCCGCAAGATCATAGACGGTAAGCCCCTGTCCCGCCTCGGACTTGGTCGTCGCGACGATGCGAGAACGCTCAGGAGAAACAGGGGATATCCAGATAGCCGGGTCGTCAGCGTCTTCTCCGCCGTTCGCCTCCGTCTCGTAAGCCGCCGCCACCACCAAGAAGGAGCAGTGAAGCCCGCCCCATTGGGCGTCGCATTGGCAGAGGTTAGGACCGACGCATGTCCCATGGCCCGAACAGTCGTTTTGGCAGGTGATGGCCTGGCAGCTCTCGCCCACCGACCCGGCAAAGCAATCACATCCGGCCAAGTTGGTAGCACCGCCGATGCAGAATCCGTGGCCGGAGCAAGCGTCGCAAATAGGGTCGTGTTTGCGGCAACCGGCCGGGAAACCGGGATGGAACGCCGTGTTCACTTCGATGCCGAGCCCTTCCAGCACGCCTTCAAGAGAGCTGAAGGCAAACCCTTCAAAGTCTTCGGCCTCGGCGGCAAAGGCAATGATGCCGTTGGGATACTTGGATGTCGGAGCTTGATAGATGCTGAGGGCCTCGATCTCGATGTCTTCGAGTCCGGTCAGCTGGATCGTGCCGATTTGCTCGAACGGATACTGGTACACGGCGATGACGTCTTCGAGCGCCACAAAGAGGTAGTCGTTGGCAGTCGAGTCCTTGGGAGCATAGGCGGCGACTCCGGTGACCGTGTCCTCCGCTTTTCCGAGGACTGAAAATTCGGGTTTCGCCGTTGACTCTGCGAGATCAAAGTGGTAGATCTCCTCAGCATCGTCAGGAGTCAGGAAGAGCTTGCCGTGAGTTTGCGAGACGGCACAGCCCGCAAATTCCATGGGGACGTCAAATGCTTGGATCTTGTTACAGTCAGTCAGCATTCTGCAGTGTGGGGGAAGAAAAGAAAGAAATAACAGAGAAGAGGAAAGAGAAAGAAATGAAATACCTCGACAATCTCAATAGAGTCTCCCTTCTCACGGACAAGAAATTGAACACCATGCCGCTTCCCAAAGAGAAAGAGGTAGCTATTCCCACTCCCACTCTTCCACGAGCACAACGCAGTCCAATCCCCCAGGGCAAAGAACCCAGCATCCTGAATCTTTTCCACGTCCGGCAACTCATAGACGCTCAGCATCGAAGTCGTCTGAGGAATAGACACAAGGACATCCCTTCCCCCAACATCGTAGACCACAGCACTAAGCTTAGTCCGGCCCGGGTTAAGACTCTTCACGCGTTCCAGTGGCGACGACCCGCCATCAATATCCCACACGTGAACACCGCCCGTGGCAGTGCCGCCATCGTTGGTAATGAGCAGCGGGCGGGACTCGGAGTAGTAGACCGACGTCCAGTCCGATGCGATGAGGCCCGGCGTGACGGCCGTGACGTTGAGTTTCAGTTCGACGGCAGCGGCTGTCGTCAGCCGGGGGTGGAAAGCGAGCGAGCCGAAGAGGCTGAGGGCCACAGAAATGGAAAGAGAGCGCAGACTCATCGTGGCCGGGGGAAGCTGGAGGGGAGCAGAGTGGCAGCACAGGGAGGGCCATGACGCCGCGAGATGAAGGGGCGACAGTGGTCTTTTTATCCATGGCTGAAGTGGCGTCGACCCGTTAGATGGCGCAGGCCACCTGCAGGCACCGGCCTGGTTGGGACTCATCTGGCCGACCTGGCCCTTCCATGATATGGTGGCGGTAGAGGGCGGATAACGGGTTGTCTTGCGTGGCAGCGTGGGATTACCTAGGCCTAGTTTGGGATGCACCTGCAGCAGGAGGGTCTTTTCCTTTTCACTCGATATGTCGGTAGAGAGAGGTCAGAGGAACCCTGACCTGGAGGCCGCAGCGACCTTCCTTTCGAGAACTTTGAGAATGAGGTTCAGTTTGAGGACTTGAGGTTGCGCGTGGTGGAAGCCAGCCTCAAGATTGGGCGAGAACGAGACCTGCGCGGTCAGGGGTCAGGGGCCATGGCCAAGTGTCAGGATTCTGCACGTGTACTTCCGTAGGTAACTAGGCACCAATGCTACCTTACTTACCTAATAAGCAACCCACGAAAATAACCAACAGTACCTACTGTTAGGTATTAGGTCATACGAAGTGTTCAGTAATTCAGGTACGTACCTCAGAAGTCCCTCAGGTACCTTATGGTTGTCTGATGCCATGTTTCTCCTCCCAAGGTCGGACATGCCCCTAATTCTCGTTCGATTGGCATTAAAGGCAATAAGATTAAGAAGTATCATAGCAAGAGGATATCAAATACATGCCATGCCATGCACTCTCCCACACCGCTTTGGAACCCGCGAAGCTTGCCGCTCAACGCGTGACCCGAAACGCCAACGCTTCTTCCGTCGCGATTCTTTCTTTTTACCAACATGCATCCGTCACCCCGTTGAATTAGTTGTCCGAGACAAGGCTGGGAATATCGTCAACGCTGTGTCGGCCCTCCAGAATCTCATGAACGGCGGTGAAGAGCGGGTACTCCAACTCCAGCCCGCGCGCCTTGAGGAAGCTGTTCACCTCAGCCGCGGTGCTGGTACCCTGGAGCTTCTGCCCGTTCAGCTCGCGCGCCTCGACCTCCTGCACGCTGAGGCCCTCGAGCACGGCCTTGCGCGCACAGCGGAAGTTGCGGCCGCCGCTGCAGCTGGTGATGAGGTCGGCCACACCGGCGCTCTCCTCGGTGAAGGTGCCCGTGCGGACGGTCTCGCCGAAGAACTCCTGGCCGAACTTGACCATCTCGAGCAGGCCGACGCGCATGATGGCCGCCTTGGCGTTGTCGCCCCAGCCGCGGCCGTCGACGAAGCCGGCGGCGATGGCGACGATGTTTTTGAGGGCGCCGCCCAGCGAGACGCCCGCCACGTCCGAGACCATGCGCACGTGGAAGTACGACCGGTGGAAGAGCCGCTTGAACGTGTCGTGGTCGAGCGGCGGGTAGACGGCCGGGAGCGGGGTGAGCTTGGTCTTGGACGTGCGGCCGCGTGCGTCCTTGTGCTGCATGTCGGCCGGCGTGAGGGCCTGGAGCCGATCGACGATGTTTGCGCTGGCGGCCCTGCCGTCTCCGTTTCCGTCTCCGTTTGCCTGGGCGCAGCCATGGCAGGGGGATCGCGACGTGGCGCGAGGAGAAGGGACGCGCGAGTTGTCCATCGGGGGAGGGTCGTAGGCAATCGTGGTCTCGGACCACTTCTCGGCGGCGATCTCGGACGCAATGTTGGCGCCGGAGAGGGCTCCGACGTAGATGCCTAGGCCGTCGCCGATCCACTCGGAGAACAGCGAAATGCCGTCATCGCTGACGTTCACGCCCTTGATGCAGGATATGCCGCGGGCAAAGGGGAGGATGTGGCCGCGGAGCTTGTCGCATACGGAGTGGATGAACTGATGGGGGAGGTTGAATATCAAAATCGTGGCGTCCCGGGCGGCATCGACGACGGAAGGGTTGGCAACGAGGTTGGAAGGCAGCCGGACGCCGGGGAGGTACTTGATATTCTCATGGTAGGTGTTGATGATGTGGGTGAGGTTTTGCGGCTTGTCGCCAATGGCCGGGTCGTAGTGAGGAGAATCCGAGGGCAGCGTGACCTCTTCCTCGTACACCCACATCTGCACCTCCTCTTCAAATATGTCGGGATACTCCTTGGTATTCTCGGCGACGATTTTGGAAATTGTCGAGCCCCTGCGTTGGTGTTAGCAGGTTCCGAGGTGTTCGTGCCGAAAAGTTCTTGGGCATACGTACCAGTTACCGGAGCCGATAACCGTCACCTTGTGCTTCTTGTCAGCATGCTCGGCACCTAGGGTAGCCATGTTGCTGATGCGGGCGGTGGTAGGAAGACGTAAATAAGGTCGAGGAGAATGGGACGAGGGTCGACTAGGGCTAGGTCGAATGTTGGGACGTGTGCTGAAAGGCGCTTTCGTGATGGAAGACAGTAACCTGCAAGGCGGGGCACAACGAGGGCGGAAAAGCATAGGTATGGAGGAGAGGCGGAGGGAGGGAGGGCCGGGGAGCTTGATGTACCAAGTGTCGTTTGGTTTCTCGAATCTGGTTTTTGTAACACCTCGGGTGCCGGATTGGTGTTCGGGGGGTTCTAGTAAAGGGAAGAAAGAAGAAATGGAAGAAGCAAAGGGACGCACGAGACCAGACGACCAGACAGTACAGTCTCATCACAGGTGCCAGCTCAACAAGCGGCGGCGCCGGGTCTAGGTACTATCCCCTAGCCCCACTAAGGTAGTGGTGCAGGGCAGGTGCATCTCAGCAACTACCTTATCCTGGGGCCTGCCTCAGGCCAAGGCAAAGTGACGTGTGGAACACGGCAAGATTAGGTCTATGGTTACGTACATCTCCCCCCACCAATACTTTGTGAAGAATGCATTCTTCTCCCACCCAAGGTATACCTTGACACATATGATTCGGCACTCGGAACGCTTCAATTGTTGACCGCCTGCGTTGAAAAGAAGAAAAAAAAGAAAAAGAAAAAGAAGAAAAGGTTCTTTTTGTTCACAACGAAATATTCGTACTAGTCAACTAGGGGCCTGGACGGTGCTTATTTTCTCCACGGTCGGCTGCTCCGACGGTAACCTTCCCAAGCCCCAACAACCGACCGAGGTCGTTTGGCCGCTCTTTTTCTGCCTTTTCCTACCCTAGGTACCTTACCTTAGGTACCTACCAAGACATCCATCTCATTCCTCCGCAAGGTGTCATCCCAGCAGCTTCATACCTTATGCAGAGTGAGGATATTATGGAGGTTGATTTTCACAAGCAAAATGACCACCTCCAACCCCTTGCCCCTTGCCCCCTGGTCCCTCGTCAGGATCGGCATACAGTCGCGTGGCTGGAAGTTCTGCACAACGACCTGCGACGCGACCCAAGTCATGTTCATGCCCCCCCCCTTTTCCAGGGACTTTCTCACCGAGAAAAGGCGGATTTCACATGTCTTTCTTCCAGTGGTTGATGTCACCAAGGCAATCCTTCGTTCCATTCCAGCCGAACCTGCCATTGCCACTTGGCAGTTCCTGGGAATGGCTACGTACGCAACGAGGGGCAGGCCAGAAAGCCTTGGCACGTGGCTTATGCTGCGACAATCAACAATCGGTTCCGAGGCACAATCCTCGACGATATACAGATTACAGATCTACAATCTCTCTCCCGGTGCGGTGCGGTGCGGTGCGGTGGGAGCGCCGCGTCATTTGCCTCCCGACAGACTTTCAAGAACACCTCCGCAGGACTACTTCGACAACTTACAATTCTCACTCGAACACATCCCTTCTGTTGGCTAATTATGATGACGTAGATTTTGGAGCATCGGTTTCTAGCTTTTCTATCCATCCGAGACACTGATGGAATATTGAAACCAGTGGGAGATTGAGCGAGTTTCGTGAATCAGTCATGTCGTTGGAAGAAAACGACCTCTGTCCCTTCGTTTTGCTCTCCTCCGAGGCTCCGTCCTACTTGGAGGGGCAGGCCACACGCTGGGACGTGGTGACGCAGAAGAAGTCAGTGTCTCCCATGAGCCACCAGTGCTGCACCAGAAGCATCGTCCCGGAGAGGTCGGTCTCCAAGTCGTCAAGGGTAATGAGGATCCCGTCGCGCTGCTCGCTCGGCTTCATGTTGTCGCTGCAGACGCCGCCGCCGCCATCGACTAGGGGCTCCGGACCACGATGCGTGCGGACACCGTCGTGCTGGCCAGTGCTGGCCGTCTCGGCATCAGTCTGAGTCTGGATGGAGGAAGGACCCGGGGAAATGCCAAAGACAATCTCATCGAAGGATGAATGAGAGGGTTGCGAAAGGGGCTCAACTTTCTCCGCTTTGGCAGGTCGCAGTCTGGCTTCGTCCCCGTATAGGGAGATCAAGTCTTTTTCCTCCGCAAGGCCGGCCTTCTCGTGCCTTCTCGGCTTCTTGAGCCCTGCGGCGCTGACGATAGCGGGGCTCGGATTGCGTTGGGCGATGTCGGTCAGTTGGTCCTTTAGGGTAGCCACTTCGTCGTCTAGCTCATGGATCTGCTCCTTCGCTAATTCAAGGGCGCGAATAAGCAAGTCGATGCAGGTGTTCGTGTCATGTTCGGAAGAGCCGCTCAGCGTCTCGGATCCGGACACCTGGGATTCTTCAGTCCCATGAGCCGCGGGTCCGTCATGGCCATCGTTCGCAGCAAGAATCTCATTCTTCTGTGTCATGGTGTAGGATGTCTAAGACCGCTGTGTCATGTGAAAGAGAGCCCGTAGTCGCAATCCAGTTTGGTTCAGCTGTATCTTGACCTGGGGCAGTCTTTGTTAGCCTGAATCAACCTACGAGGAAGGAAAGGGACAGATTGGGGGTGTCGATGCTACCTACGCCCTTAGATCCGCGCGCCCTTTCCGCAAGTCAATAATGAGACGAGTGGGGAGGAAGGTCCAGATTCCAGAAGTTGGAAATTATCCAACGAAACAGAATATAGATGCTTTTGCTATGAAACCTGTCGGGATCTAATCAGACGTCTTTCATATACCACTTTGGCCCTTCCTGTTAAACGGCTGTGTGGGAAAGATTCCAGGACCTGCAGAGCGCCGTTCCTTCAGAAGAATTCAACTTGCCCAGTGCAGGCGTTGGGAACCCACAAAGTATAATAAACGCGCTAATAGTCTGCTCTCTTTTTGTATGTGCAGATAATCTGTTGACTGTGATGGCAGAAAGTTGTATTAAGGAGAAGTTGCGATGTGCGCAAGACAAGATCAACGGCAACTTGGTTTAAATGATGCTCGAAAAATGCATTAAATAATCCATCCAAACCCGGAAATGCCAAAGATGGGTAGGAGGCTTTTACACTCGGTCCGGCAAGAGTAGGTGAGTTGGCTGCTGCCCGGGGAGACGGTTCCCGCGGAGTACTCCCCGGAGGCCGAAGCATGTGGGGCCGGTCCGGGGAATTGGGGTACGGACTTCGGCCCATTCCATCTACATATTTTCCACGGAGAGTTTTTCTACAATTTACTTCGATCAAACAATGCTACAGTAGTGTACATCTAGAACTTAGGCGCTGGGCATGAGTTCCATGGATAATGCTCATTCTTGTCAGCGACGTTTCACAAAATTAGAGTCGCGGATCGATATCAGGGAGGCAGAACTATCCATTGGCCGCCTCGAAAGAGAGCGCATGAGCATCAAGGGTCAATCACATAGTATTCATCTGACTTGCGCCACCATGATGTTCTCAGCTTTTCTGACCATCCGCACAGCAACAAGTATAGGTGCTAATACGATATCCCCACGACCACACCGGAATCCCGGAATCCCATGAGACCATTCCATTGACCGTCTAACAAATACACCAGGGCCGAATCCATCCAAACGAGTAAATCACCCAATTTTGCTTTTCTTTGCCCCAAGCATATACATCTCACATTCACCATGTTCAAGTTTACAGAGAGGGTTGAACAACGGGCAAAGGAGGGAGAATTTATCTCCCAGCAGGAAGTATCAGACCTCAGCCGGGAGGAGTCCAACCTTTTTGGGGGTCCTATAGAGGGTGGCGCAGCAGGTAAATATCCCCCCCAAGTTCAACCGTCCTCTTTCATGCAGTTTGGCCCCCTGAATTCTGAAACCTGGGCTCACTTTACCCTTTTATCCGTCATTGATAGACCCGTGCTCATGCCGGAGGGCCTCCAAAAAGAGGCTCTCTCAGCGTCCAGGCGCAAGAGGCTGCCGAGATGAACGACACAAAAGGGGAATAAGCTCACCTAAGACTTGGAAGGATTGGCAGAAATCTTCGGGCATATGCAGGGACTGTTGAATGGTTGTGAAAGGTCATTATCTACAATAGGGGTATCCTCGGACAAAGACAAACTGCGAACCAGGCACCTTGCCCAAACACAAAATCGACACCTCACGTCCTCTTTCATACCAATCAAACGTCGATAACAATATCATCAATCATCTTCAGAAACCGCTTCCTATAGTCGGTCGGATTTGCAGTGATGCTCATGGGCCCCTTATGAGCAACCTTATTGAACGACTTGACCAGCCCCGTCAGCGCCCACGCGCGAAACGTATGCCTGGCCCAGAAGAAATCGAGCACCACGACGCGGTACGTCCACTTCCCGTCCGCATCCACCAAGCCGGTGCGCCAGGCGGAGGCGTCCGACTCGATGAAAGGCACATTCTGCGGCACGGCACCATCCGCCCCATCGTCCGTCGCCGCGCGAGGCCCCGGGTACCGGACCAAAAAGAGGGAATAGTCGATAGCGTCACGGTCGGCAAGGAGCCGGGTATCCGCCTCGAGAAGACGAACGAGCTCGCGCTTGTCCGCCGCGCTGACCCTGACGCGGTCGTGGAACTCGTCGACGAGCTTGTCCTTGACGCTCTCGGGCGCGAGGCGGCCGTCGGCGATGTCGCGCTCGGGGAAGAAGTAGTCGTTGGGCTTGAGGTCGTACGTCTCCCACTTGTTGCTGAAGCGGCCGCCCTCGGCGTCCCGGCCGTACAGGAGGTTCTCCATGATGATGTGGTGGGTCGGGGCGATGCCGAGGAGGCCGCCCAGGGTCGGGTGCGGCGCGTGGACCACGTCGGTGATGCGGACGAGGAGGCTGCGCGGGTTGGCGCGCATGTGGTGGACGTATGGGTCCAGGAGGTCCTCGGTGAAGAACTTGTATTCGAACCGCCGGGGCAGGGACTTGATGAGGTATTTCCCGTTCGGGGTCGTGAAGAAGGTCGAGCCGCTGTAGCCTAGGTCGCCCATGGGCTCGAGCCGGGCGGTTTGTCTTCCCTTGCCCTTGCCCTTGCCATGATCTGATGGCTCTGATTGCTGCTGCTCCCTCTCTTCTTCTCCTGTGGACTCGTTGGAGTCATTCTGCTGGAAGGAAGCGAGGTATTCCCGTTCGTCCAAACGCCAGACGTCTTTTCGGAGGGAACGGAACTCGGGGCGACGGTAACGAGTAAGCAGAAGTTTGAACAGAGAAAAGAAAGCAAAGATGAGCTTCAGAAGTCTTTTGCTGCGAGAGATCTTTTGATGTGTTGGATCGGGCTCCTCGCTCGACACGGCGATTAGGATGGAGTCCGATATTCGGGAAGCTCGAATCTTCATTGTGAACTGATCTGAGGGGAGAGGGCGATAGCTTAGAGAAGTCTTGGTTAATTGAGAGGCGTGATGTCGGGTAGGAGCTTTTCTTAAACCATCGAAAGTGCACCCGGAGCAATTATCCCTGAAGATCGGTCTAGGTCTTGGCCCAGTTTTAATGGCAATCGGGTGTTGACAGGATGACGTCATTGACGCTCACCTTGTCACTTGTAGATGTTTGCCCTATCACATGCAAGACGTCGCACGTGGTTTCAAATGAAGGTCTCGTTGTACCGGACCATTATTCCGTACACCTTTTCTCCTGAAAATAGTACTAGTATTTTGCGGCTTCGGCTTATTGATGCGTACTGAGGCGCTGGGATACCACGAATGATGCTACAACCTTACTTACCGCTTCCGGAGTGATAGACGATAGACGATAGATGTGATGCTGTCAAGCCAGATATCAACCACGAACTGCTCATCTCACAGGGGCGGATTCCTGTGCGTGAAATGTCCGACAACATGCCATTTCATAATGTTTGGGTATAAGGGCAGTCCTGGTTTATCGCGGACACCAATTGCAGAGGGATAGGACAAAATTGCATGTTGCATTGCAGCCGCGACTGGGTTAGAGATCGGCCCCGAGACGACGCAAGGATTCGACATGGTATTTCTCGGAAATATTTCTGCATTTTGTTTCCCATAAGTGCGACCACCATTCAATTTGAAAAGGAGACTAATGTGCCGTAGTTGTAATGATGGGATGAGATTGAGTTTTCGGTTGATTCGAAATCGTAGTAATCGATGACGTCAAGCGCGTCAACGGTCAGACGACGCCGTCTGTTGCGCGATGATGCCGTGAACTCGGGTGGTGCCACAAACTGTGATTTGTATAAGATGGAGCTTGCCTTGGGAGAATGGGCTAAGGCAGAAGAATCTGGCTTGCATGTCGGTCTGATTAGGTCTTGTGAAACCCCTGTATCGAAAACACGAAGCAACAGGGCTCGACACGCAGCACGCTCAGTATGACATCCGTGAATGACGATATCAAGAAGAATGGCTGGGATGCCTGTCCACTCAATCCCGCCAAAGTCCTCAAGGGCAAGTCGTTCCTTCACGAGCCCAAGTCACTCCCGGTGGACGACATCCCGTTTCCATCGGACGATCCGGTCGTGGCCAAGGCTCAGGAGTACGCAAAGGCGAAGCTGCCAGAGCAGACATATAACCACTCGATGAGGGTCTACTACTTTGGTGAGAAGGTCCATACTCAGAAATCCTCCCTACGGGGTCAAGGAGAAGGAGTGACACTGTCGTCTGACAAGACTGTTCAAAAAAAAAAAAAAAAAAAAAAAAAGGCACGACCATCTTGAAGCAACAATTCGCCGACCAATGGGGCACATTGTCACCCTCGACATTCGCGCTGACGTGCCTCCTCCATGACATCGGGACGACGGACGAGAACATAGCAGCAACGCGCATGTCGTTCGACTTGTACGGCGGCATCGTGGCGCTCCGGGTGTTGCAGGAATGCGGCGCCTCCAAGGACCAGGCCGAGGCGGTCTGCGAGGCGATCATCCGACACCAGGACATCGGCGGGGACGGCAGCATCACGTTCCTGGGACAACTGATCCAGTTGGCGACGATTTACGACAACGTCGGGGCGCACCCGGAAGTGCCGGAGCTGGGGGAGATGATCCACGAGGAAACGCGGCGGGCGATCAACGAGCGGTTCCCGCGGTTGAGGTGGCTCGTCTGCTTTGCTGAGGTGATTCGGCGGGAGGAGGGCGCCAAGCCGTGGTGCAATTCGACGCGGATCCCGGAGTTTGAACGGATGGTGTTGGGGAACGAGTTGATGATGCCGTTTGACTAGAGGTCTTGGCCATGACTTATGAGGTGGAGGGATCAGGGAGGAGACGAGCCGTTTTGGAGGAGAACCTCAGATTGTCAAGGTGTCTGATGATATGAGTTGGGGGTGAGATATCTGGGAATTATGATAATCAGCGAGTCGCTGGTACGGCCTATCCGGTAAGATTGGATTGATTGAGACGATGTGGTCACTCCTTTTGGCCTTCGTCGTTGTCGTTGTCGTGGATATAAGGCTGGAGAAAAGCGGTCTTTTGTGGAGTGGAGAGGCCAGGTCCACCAGATCCACCCTAGGTACCTACGTTGTACACTGTATGTATGTATTCTGGACTTATGACGATCCGAGTGGGTCAAGCCACTGGAACTTCCCGGGTGGCTCAATTGGTCATGTTTGAGTTCAGGATTGTGGCCGAAATAAAAGTCGTTGCCCTCAACATTAAAAGAAACAACTCGTTGGAAAACAAATGCAGTGGTCTCCCTACAATCCGCAATCCGCAATCCGTAATCCTTTGTCTGATCTGATGTCGCTACGGAGAGTCTCCATAATTTGCCCCGCAACTCATTCTCGCTTTAAATTGCAAACCGTGGGGGTGGTAAGTACATACCTTAATAAGGTACCTAGGTAAGGTGGTCCTCTAACGAACCGTCGCGACCTCAGACCTCAAGAGAACAGAAAGAACTTGAATACCTAGGGCTGGGTTGTGGGTTGTTCATCGAAGGTTCTCTACCCGGTTGTCTGGTTGTCTCTCTACACCTACCTGACCATCTTTTTTTGAGGCCTGCCTCTGATCCCCCAGTTCTCAGCGTCTTACAACGTACAGACAGGCGACAGCCAGGCCAGCCGCCCCGCGCGGCCTCCGGGCCCCGGCCCCCCATCTGCACCCAGCCGAAAACTGATCCAACGCGCGTCTCGCCAATATGGCCTGCACCAAGGTTCGCCTGATCCACCACAATACACCACAATAAATTACCACAACGACCTGACGAGCCTCGCGGCCCGACGTCAACGCGCTGCCCGCTCTTTCCTCACCAAGCATCGAGTCGACGAGGAACTCGGAGGCGGTGAGAGGCTAGAGGCTAGAGGCTAGACCTCACTGAATGTCAACGACCTTGCCTCTTTTCGAGCCCCCCTCACGTTTGTATGCGCACCGTGCCATACCGCCTTGTGCCGTTCTTGCACTTCGTACGTGTTTGCTCACGAGTCCCCCGCGATGCATCGATCGAATCCACCCACGATGTTCCAACTGGAGGTTGGACACTCCGGTGTATCGTGTCACAGGGGCGTACATACATACAACATACACATACATTCCTTCCGAATATATCTTCCCCCTTGAACCACTCCACGACTGCCACGCTGCACGCACCGCCTGGTCTCGTGATTCAACCTGGGGCAATCTGGAGATGTCGGAGTAATTGCAAACTGCACTTGCTAGACTAGACATCCGTGCATGGTCTTTCTTTACCGGGCTCAGTTATCTCTCCTACGTGGGGAGGTAATGGGTATGTATTATGCCCCCCCTCGGAAACAGTCCGAAGCTGACTGTGCGGCGTGCCGTGCCCCAATGTCCGAGGCCCCACGGTAATTAATCTCGGGTCACGGTAGGCGGGACATGATATCAGAGTAGCAACGAGATTGGATTCTATTTCGGAGCACTGAAATTGTCGCGCAGGCAAGCAAGCGTGTGCAACTTTGGCCGGTAGAAAAGCAAGGTTGTCGACGGTGCGGCGATCAATCAATGCCGATCCTCACTGCTATCCGCAAAGATCGTCGCCAAGCAAGGTAGCCACTTTCCCCCACGCAGCCTCTGTTCTGGTCGGTCTTCCCACGCGAAGCAGCCCCCATCGAATTCATCGAATCTCTCCTGCATACATAGTACGAAAGTACGGAGTACGGAGTACTTTTCCCACCAATATCTTGTTTGCGCGGCATTGTCAGTCCGATCTTGGCCCAACCAGTGTGTCCTGTCCTGTTCTGTCCTACTTCTCGTCGGTTCTAGGGCAGGCCAAGGGATACGCATGGATATCCGTAAGGTCTTCCCCGACGAGCCCGTGACTCTCCCCAGCCAGTCCCAGCCCTCTGGACCATAGCATGATGCGTGGACAAATCTTCCGAAGCCGCAGCTTACTATACCGAAACCAAAAGGAGGTCACACCCGTGGACGAACGAATCGTATGGTCCAGAAACCTCGACTTGGCCAGCGCTAAAGCCGGGTTTTGGACGTTCCTGCGCCCACTGGCTGGGGTCCTTGTCAGCCGATGAATCCCTATGGTACCTATGGTACCTTAGGTACCTTGTGAAATAGGAATTGACATTACAGTGCCAGGGCTGGACCACTGGTCAGCGTGGGGGTCTCGTCTCGTCTCACCGTGCAAGTGTTAGGGGAAGTGTTGCACCTGTCCTACGATTCCCTAACTCCTTCGTCTTAACGGCCTTTCCCCGACTTTTGCCTCCGTCAAGTCGGCCCAATCTGAGCGAGCGCCCTGCCGAACTCGGCCAACTCGGTACACCGCCTTGGTTGTACGCACTAATTACGCTCCCACGCAACCCCAGGCAAGCCATTCGGTATTCACGCTTACAACGTACATACGCGGGGCCGACGAATACGGCCTGGCGTCTGGACCGTTAAACCCCCACGCTGTGACCCAAGACAAAAAGAAAAAGAAAATATAAACCAAAAACCCCATAGGCGCCAAGCTACGCCAGAACTGTAAATTAGTCCCCATGGCTGGTCTCCTGGTCCTTGATCGTAAGGGGGAAAGTGTTGGGAGACCGCTTGGGCCTAAGAGACGGTTATCCGTCTCGTGACCCTCGTCGGCATTGGGTCTATTTGACCAATACGTATTTTCGCCATTTACCCCCTTTATTTTTTTTTCTTGTTTTTTTGCTTTCTTTTCTTTTAAAAGGGGGCAGTTGGGATGTGTCTTGTTCTCGTTAAATCCTCCTTTCTAATTCATTTTCCATCCGTGTCTCCATAATATTACCACTCGGTCACAACTATCTAGTTGTTCATCTCAAAAGTCTTTCACCTGTGGGCTGGAACACCTTCTCTAGACTGAATCTTTACAGTCCCCCCTGTGGTACTATATACGCTTCTCCTCTCTCAGGCTTCCCCTTTCTCCTTGCCTACGAAGGACGTACACATATCCGTACACGAGCCATACATTCTATGCCCTACCAGTCCGCCCCCCACCCATATACATACACCATGCCTGCTACAGCACCAGCATCACCACCCGCCACCGAAGGGACAGCGGCATACGGCCAGCCCAAGGCGATGCATCACAGATTACCTGAAGGTGTCTACGTCCCCACACTCTCATTCTTCACCGAAGCAGACGAGATCGACACCACCACACTCGAGAGACACCTCATCCGCCTCATCCACGCCGGCGTGACAGGCATCGTCGTCCACGGCTCCAACGGCGAGGTAGCCCACCTGACGCGGGAAGAGCGCAGCGCCATCACCCGCTGCGCCGCCGACACGATCCACCAAGAAGGCGGCCACGACGTCAAGATGCCGCTGATCGCAGGGTGCGGCGCGCAGTCGACGCGGGAAACGCTGCAACTCTGCCGCGACGCGGCCAAGAGCGGGGCCTCGCACGCCCTGATGCTCCCGCCCAGCTACTACGGCGGCCTGCTGGACGACGACAAGATCGTGCAGTACTTTTACGACGTGGCGGACGAGAGCCCGCTGCCGCTGCTGGTGTACAACTTCCCCGGCGCGGCGGCGGGGCGGGACCTCAGCTCGGACGCCGTCGTGCGCATCGCGCAGCACCCCAACGTCGTCGGGGTCAAGCTGACGTGCGGCAACACGGGCAAGCTGGCGCGCGTGGTCGAGGACGTGCCCGAGGGCTTCTTCGTCGCGGGCGGCAGTGCGGATTTCATCCTCCAGGGCCAGGTCGTCGGCGCGCACGGCACCATCTCTGGCCTGGCGAACATTGCGCCGCGCGCCTGCGTGCGCATCATGGAGCTGTTCCGCTTGGGCCGGCTCCAGGAGGCGCGGAGGCTGCAGGCCATCGTGGCCAAGGGCGACTGGGTCGCTATCAAGACGGGGTTCGTGGGCGTCAAGGCTGCCATGGGCCATTTTGAGCAGTATGGCGGCGAGCCGCGCAAGCCTTGCGTGCGGCCGTCTGACGAGGAGCTGAAGCGCATCGCCGATGGGTTGACAGACCTATATAGGTTGGAGACGAGCTTGGTGGCTGTGCAATGATAACAAAATGGGATGGGACGGCGTTTTTTTCTTTACTTTTCTTCTTTTTATTCTTCTTTTTATTCTTCTTTCTTGTTTGTTATACTCTTGGGCAAGCTGTACATCTGGTGTTGCAAAAGAAATTGATTACGGCATTCTGTGGACGCTCTTCTCTTCTCGTGGATCTGATAACGGCCCTGTCCTGGGTGGGACGGACGCGATGGGATACAGGGACAGGCGGGAAGGTGTACCTTAGACAGCTAATTGAATATACCTCTAATTACTCATTATGTGGTCTTTCCCTTTGTCTGGTGCCGGACAGGCGAGTTCCCATTTCTTGTCTGTGCTTGTGCTAAACTCGGGCCCTAAGACCAAAGACGGTACAGCGTAATGAGGGATTGGGTCTATTCCCGGGGGGGAAAGGGGAACCCACTTCCTGTATCAAGGACCCCGTGACGTCCCTTTTTACTTCCAAAGAGTCCATCTGTGCCGTAGCTTGTCAGCAATGCGCGTCAGGCGAGACGTGAGGTAGACTATCGACTTGCTAAGGTACCTTAGAGAGCCTCCATGTAACATCAGGTACGGTGTACCCCAGTGAGAATGTGTGTGTGTGTGCGCCACTGCGCACTAGCCGACGGATCAGGGCCAAGGATCAGGGCCACACCCGTATCGGCACGTTGTACACGGGTCTTCAGTCAGGCCAGTTAGTTTTCGTACACTAAGGTAGTTGTAATGCATACTCCGTACCTGTACCCTAACGGGCAACGCGAGGTTCCATCGTTCCCAGGTGAGGATTTCTAGCGCAGCCACCTGGCGAGGCCGACGCATGCACCCCGCATTTGCGACCTCTCTTCAAGAAAGCGGGGGGGAGTAAGTGTATGTTGTAGGGGGTCTCGATCGCGTCAGTACAACGTACGTTGCAACCGGGGAAAATCCACCTCCAGATTTTCAAGGACGTGGGAGTGGGACAGGAGGGTGTTAAGTGGGGTTGATGCGCAGGACCGACCGACCGAAAGAAAGAAAAACAACGATGCGATGAGACACGGCGCCAAGAGCTGATGCCCGACCGGGGGATCGACGAGTCTTTGCCCCATCCCCACCCCCCACCCACAACCTGCCGTTGTACACGGTACGTGTATGTAATTACCTCCTGCGTATCGTATGTGTGCATGGTTGGCTCACTGTTCGCCGCTCCTCTGCTGCAGGGAGAACAAGGGAGAACAATCATTAGGTAATGGAGGGGTAATGCGCTGACGAGGGGACGACACGTCAAGACCGGATACGGCCCAGGAGAGCGGCTCAACAAGGGGAAGGAAAGAGTTCCTGAACGTTGACCAGGCCACGTGAGCGTCCGCGGCGCTTCTTCCCCGGAGGAAATATTTGGTTATTTGGGGTGGTACAGCCCATCTGCTGACGCTTTTGAACGGGGACGCGTCGCCTAGCAGAGTAAAAAGAGACGATGGGGCGTTTCCGACGCTAACAGCACGTGCCTCTTCTTCTATTTTGGGGTGTACAGGTACGTTGTATTGTCAGCGGCCAAGACTGGAAGTCATTACATGTATGACGGGGCAACAATTCATTGTTGAACAGCGAATTATCGGGGATTTAGGTACTCCACCTTTACTCCACCTTGTAGGATCGCTGAAAGGACAGGTTGCCTCGGGCCTACAACGTAAGTGTAGTGTACACTGTACTGATCGAGTTTCTCAACACCAATGCTTGTTCGACAGAGCCGAGCACGGAAGCCCTCGGAAACCACATTCTAGTTCTCTCTCTCTCTCCCCCCTTTTTTTTTTTTTTGTACGAGTCCGGTTAATTCAGATGGCACCGTGGCTGAACTGCGCCACCCCAAGCCGTTGCGAATTGCGAGTGCGTGCCGCCCCCCACGCCGATTACCTTAACGGTCGAGGTCAAAGCCAATCATATAACGTATTCGTCGTGTCCGAGTTCTCAATGGGATTTCCACTTTAGCCACTTTAGGAATAGCAGAGTCCCCAGCTTCATATCTAACCCACAACGGGTTGGGCCCTAACAAGCGGCAAGGGGCCGGTGTTGCGCCATTTCATCTCAAGCTCATTGTTTCCATATTTCATTTTCAATCACTTCATCTCAACTTTGACCGCCTCTTTCAAGTTGGGGAGAATCATCGGCGAATACAGCATATTCGCTACCTCTCCCGAGCTTTGTGTGCTGTCTCGTTCGTTACTTCTTTTAAGCCCTGCCCTGTCTCTCATTCCAACCCCGCTCGGCTCCTTCGACTCCAGAACAACCATCTCGCTGCGTCTCCCAACCACGTTCATGCGACCAGCCGACCAAGACCCTGTCAAATGCGTTTTCTCCCACTCTTTACCGCCGCATTCGCCATCTCCGCCCCCGAAGCAGCCCTAGGTTGAGACGTTCGGGACCATCTACCGACATTCCTACACGCCGACAGCCTTGCAAAATGAACCAAAAACCGGAATCTGGGTGGAGGGCATAATGCTGGATATGAATTGACTTTGGGAAATGGGTCACGTAGAACTCTCAACAAGGCGCTCACTTTGTCATCTTCAGATTCCAGATGTTCTCCTCGACAAGAAGATTGGTCTTTCTGTCCGGAAGATTACTCTTCTTGCCAAGGAGACCATTCTTCTTGTCGATGAGGATGATCTGTAACCTGAAGATAACGAACGAGTTGGGACCTTCTTCAGTGGTGATATTATCATATATCTTGCATCCAAATTACCCTACCTGTACTTCTTATCCCTTTGACTTTCTTTTTGCTCCTAATCTTCGTACATCCAAAAACCGTTCCTTTACCCTTGCATACCGAATTTTGTTCATCATCCGACGGGTCCTACCAAATCCTCAGGCAGAAAATGAACATGTGATCAAGAGAATTAGTAAAATTGTAGAGGTATCTACACGTAGTAAGGGGTATGTAAAACCGGAGGCTGTCTATAGACGTGTATCATGCACGCCACTTCCGCGCCCAAAAGAAGAAGGGAGGAAAAACGAAAAAAAAAAAAAAGGGATGGAAACGGGGAGATGATAAAGGAAACCAAAAGCGAGCGACCCCTCGAACATATTCATCACTGCATCACCGCAAACTCCCACCCCTCCCGAGATATCGGCCTCCCCTCCAACCCCCCCTTCATCCAACACCTGAAATCCGGCGGCCCGGCCCCGACATCCAACGGGCCCCATCCGCACCCGGTGCAGCCGAACGTGCCGGCGCAGTTGCGCATGCACTCCGCCATGCTCTCCGTCGGCACGTCGCGGATGTTCTCGGCTGCCGCGTCGCTGTAGTCCACACCGCAGAGGCGCAGGAAGAGGATCGTCGACCCGGGGACCGAGTACAGCGTGTAGTTCGATTCCGGGCAGGTGAGGGAGCCGCTGCTCGTCGTTGTCGGGAAGGGCGGGTCGGACGAGGCGGATGTCAAGGTTGCTGGGCTTGTCGATGCCGGGGCCGTGGGGGAGGAGGTGGGTGCGGTGTTTGAGGCGGTTGTTATGCTGCTGGTTTTCCAGTTAGCAATGGCTGTCTAATGACAAAGGAGACGTGCCGATGGGATGGGGGAATTGGAAGGAGAGATGAAGGAGGAAAACACGGAAGGGGGGGGGGGGGGGGGGGGGGGGGTGGGGGGAAGAGAGAATAACGCGTACCTCGTCCAAGAAGATGCACTCTCCGTGCGGCTGCTTCCCGGGTCCCCGTAACCGCTCCCACCGTCCTTGACCACCCCGTCTTGTCCTCCGGATGAGGGTGTCCTGATTCCCAAACCCACGCCTAAGCCGACGGCCACACCAATAAGGATGATAGCCACAAGGGCAACCAAGCCCCAAAACAACCAACCCCGACCCCGACAACAAGAACAGCAAGAGAGCCTCGGCCGTTTATTCGCATGGGTAGCAGCGCTGTCATTATCGTCCATCTCGCCGTACCCTCCATACCCGTAACGACCACCATACGGATTCCCCGTCTCCTTGTCGTGATGCTCACCATACTCGTCCCCCGTCTTCCGACTGCGGCCGAAAGGCATATTCTTATTCCTCATGATGCCCAACCCAAACCCCGACACGGGACGGGTACGCCCACCGCCGCCGCCACCGCCACACGTCTTCTCCTGCGGCTCAGGCGTCGGCTCCCGATAGAACGTGTAGCTCCCGACCCGCGAGCGGCTGACGCTGCGCGCAACGCCAGGCCCCGTGGTGCCGGCATGATTCGCGCTGGCGCCGTCGTCCGGGTCCTCGAGGTTGGATGCCGACGGGGTGGCGCCCTCGGACCAGTAGATCTCGGGAGGGGCGGCGCCCCGAGCGGCGGCGGGGGGGTGGTAGAGCGATTGGCGTTTGCTACTGCCGCTGTTGCTGTTGCTGTTGGTGCTCGTCGCGGCCGTGGCCGTGTTGGTGTTGGTGTTGGCGTTCGTGTTGGTAGCGGTAGCGGTGTTGGCATTGCCGTTGTGGGCGGCCTTGTTGTCGCGCGCGCGGCCCAGCATCGTGCTCGTGAGGCTCGGTTCGCTGGGTAGGGGACCGCCGCCTGCGCCTGCTAGACCACCAGCATGGCCTGACTCCGTGGAGATGGGGGAGACGGAGCCTCCGTCGCCGTGGGGGCGGTATTGCTGGTGGTGCTGTTCGCTGAGCACCGCGCTGGGGCGGCGCATGCGGTTCGTTTCGCGATCAGTTCTGGGGTGGTCGTCGTCGGGTGGACTGGGTTGCTGACCGCATTGGGCGATGTCGGAATTAGGACCAGTTCGTGTAACGACGATACGGTGGTAGGGGCGATTCGGTGGTAATGGGTGGCTGTGACAATTGGAGGCGTGGATGTGTTCGTCGGCGTCAGATGGGGATTAGGGAACGGGTACGGAGTGGAAAAGAGACGAGAGGCTGGGGAAAGGGGGGGAGAAACAAAGAATAGGTAGGTTGCGGGACGAGGGACAGGGTGGATGAACGGGGGAGGGGGCAGCCAAGATGAAGCCACGCCAAAAGAAAAGTGACAAGCGTGGGAAAATAAGCGTCGGTTGGTCGAGGGTTTCTCGGTAACGATGGAGACGATGGAGACGATGCTGTATCATGCAGCACAATGATACAGTACGAAGTGGGTAATGGTAATCTCTTCCTCGATTATCACCGCATAGCTACCAGAACCAATCCCGGAGACGCGGTTCGGCTTGAGCGGAGACAGAGAGGCAGAGAGAGAGGAAGAATAGGGGACGGAGGCAGAGACGAGGCAGAGACGGAGAGAGGAGAGCGGAATGAGTGAGAACAGGGGTTGAAGGGTCCGAGCGTTTTCCCAAGGTGCAAAGTACATATGTAATTATGTACTCCCCCCGGTGCTGTCCAGCCCCGTCTCCGTCTCTGCCTATTACCCGTACCACAAAGCTTTACGGATATTGCCCAGTAATTGGTATTTTTCATTGCATGTCAGATCGATTCTCGAGGGAAATGAAATAACTCGGAGCCACGTTAAGGTCTAGGGCCCCTTGCGAATTGACTTTTACGGTTTAAGGCGATGGCTACGGTAATTCCAGGGGACGTCCCAATTAGTCGTCCTCCTCCGTATTGGTGCACCGACCGTTGCTGACGGGTGGGCCCGAATTTGATAGTCACTGTTGATGCTTTAACTCCGACCCCACTTGACCACATGTGGCTGCATTTCACGGGAATCTCCACCGCTTTTCTCTAATTAGAAGTCGGTCCACTATCTTAATAAGCAGCCTTATCTCCTATTCTATGCCTTCCTTTATCAGCTGCACCAGCGAGTCGTATTTTATCCAAGGTAACAGGTAATTTGTCCTTCCGGCTCAAAGTCGCGATATACTACGGACATACGCCTTCACAAGACTCCCAGGCTCCTTACTACAAGTGCAATGGACAACGATAACGAACTCAAACATTCGTCTTTCTGCCCTGAATCTCAGATTGAGCCCAAGTCGGAGCAATGGCTCTGCTCTCCCCAACCGACCGGGGGTCGATCGTTTATTTTATTTCCCTTGTGACATCTAGTCCGATTGCATACACCAGGATGCCTACAACCAGGCGTACTCCAAGGACACATCCCGGGCACCGGGACGCCCGACTGCGCCGTACGCGGGCAGGGCGTAAGGAACTCCAAATTCGGAGAACTCCCAAGGAATCATTACTCATATCACCTTATTTCGTGAATCGTGCTGTACGACGTTGAACGGTCTGGTCAATTAGCTAGTCGGCGTTTCACCTGTCCTCCGCCGCCGCGCGGTAGCCGCAGCCGTTGTGGGACGCAAGGAGCCAGCCCTTGTATGTAGGTATTCCTAAAGATTCGGCCGTCCCACAGGGTGCTCAACAAACACTCGTACTCGACTAGGGAAAAAAGGAAAAAAAAACCTGCAACGCTGCGTTTCTCCTTCAGTGTTGAAAATCAAACATCGCCTCGCCAAAGTCATGGAACTGCGTAGTCTCCCGACAAATTGTATAACCGGACTGTCTGTCGGCGTTTACCAATTGAACTGGCCCGCTTAGGTTTGTGCAGACTGCCGCTACAAAGCCGCTACACCAGCAGCGAAATCATCTGGATGGTAACGTGCGGCCAAGGCAACTTACCTGGGAAAACTATGAAGGGCTCCGCCGAGTCTTCCATCATAACATGACATCCCATGGCGCATGAACAGCCTGCGGAAAATTACTCGGATTGTTCGCGGGAAAAGTTGTGTCCGACTCGCCAGAACTTCGCTACGCCGCATCCCTAATTCATGATGCACCGTCCTATTCCAGACGCTGCATCACAGTATGACAGTCGTTCCAGATTCGTAGCACATAAAAAATACAATGTAGAGCGCTTTCTCTGGTCAATCGGACCACGCCCACAATAGCGGTGTCGAACTTTCGGGTGACACCCATCCGAGACACCTTTATCGACAACCCATGTGATAATTATGCCAAGCATTCCCCATCGTTCTCCGATCCATCCCTACAGGCGATCAACCTCGCTAGGGGTCGCCCCCAGGTTTGTTACTGCTGCCGGCACCCGACCACTCGTCACTGTGACTTGGCAGGAGAGGACTCCTGCCCTGGCCGGGCATCACAGGACTCTTGCCATGGTTTGGTGTATTCTCCCAGCGCGACGACTCCCCGAACGGGTTCGGAGTCTCAGAGCCATACTCGTATTGTTGTTGGCGTCGCTGTTGTTCTTCTTGCTGTTCCCTCTGCCGGCTGGGCCGTGGCTTCTGGACGGGTGGGTAATCTTCGATAATATCGTCGCCGAGATCGAGGTCTGCGATGGCGTCTTCCCTCTTATCCCGCCGTTGGCGACGTCGATGAAAAAGGAAAAGTACAAAGAGCGTGCCGAGGACAACAGCGCCTCTGGAGGAGGAAAAAGGTTAGCCGTCAGTGCGACCGAACTCGTTTATCCGGAGGGGGGGAGAGGGAAGCATCCCCGGAAAGCGAACAGGAAAGAGACGCACCCGAGGGTAAGGGAAACGATGAGAATGATGCGGGTGGTGGGCACAGGCTTCTCGCACGGCGAGGGGCCGCAATTCCCGTCGTCGCGGGTGAAGAGCCGCCCAGCAAAAGAAATCAAGTCCACCATGGCGCTCAAACCGTCGCACTTCCGGCTTCGCGGTCGTTTTGCGTAATTAATGTCCCGGCTGGCTGTAATGGATAAAACGTATCGTATCGCAAATAACGAACGGTGCGATCTGGGTCGGTCCGAAGTATGCGCTTCCTCTCCGGAAGACTGCGCCGAAGGTGCCAAATCGAATTCGCGCGCGAAAGGTGGTTGAAGGTGGAAGGTGGAAGGTGGAAGGTGGAAGGTGGAAGAAGAAAGCGAAGGACAATAAAAAACGAGAGACAATCGGTCCCAAGAGGCCGGCGAGACTGAGACTTGAAGTCGAGACGAGGAAAGCGCGATGGTTGAATGCGGAGGAAAGACAAACGTAATATGAAGCGAGGCGGATGGAAGGGAATATGGATGGAAAGAGATGAGGAGGGGGTTCAATCGGTTTGTTACGGTACCCTTAGTTGGTAATTACTTCGTACTTTCGCACTCCGGGAAGGAGTCCTGTTAATACATGTAATGACGCCAGGACTTCAGGAAGCCGCGACGGTCGCAGATATGTTACTTCGTACAGGTACCCGTGCCAACGCTAGACCAACTGCCAAACATCCAAAACACCTGGACAGGATCAATGGAAGGAATCAGGGGCAGACAAAAGCGGCATGATGCGTGTGGCTGTACTTCCTCGCCTGGGAGTGGCCGAAAACACCCCATAAGCGAGTTGATTGGGCAAATGCGACAGAAAAAGCCGACTTATCCGGGGTAGGGGGGGTCATCTTGGAGCTCGTCATGTCCTGCGTTGCATTCAGGTTTTATCCCCCCCGCTGATCGCGACTGCTTACCTCACCCTGTCATCATGATCCGTATTACCCCCGAACCCCTGAATCCAATCGTCATCAACCAAGATACACAAATGTTCTCGGAAGGAAACGAAGAAGAAAAGGAAAACGACTGGATGTAATTACCTAAGGTACCTAGGTACTCCAACAACGCCCAACTCAAAACGGACAAGCTTGCCAACCGAGCACCGACTCTGCGTACTAACACAGCCAACATCTCAAACTCGTCTTACCCAAGGTACCTACGTTGTACAATATCCGTTTGCTGTGGGTATCTGAGGTTACCTAGATCGGTCCTGCTCGATGCTTAATTGTGCCTATCTATGATATGTGCTACAAAATTGGTTGGCTCGATATGCTGTACGGAGGCCCGCCGCACGCCGCACGCTGCACGCTGCACGCACCGCTGTCAGGACTGCACTGCACCAGCTTGTCATCCTGAACGTCAAACCTGATCGGACATTCATTATCCATTCTCTCCTCTGGCATGTGAAGAAATCACGACGAACGACATGACGGAGAATGACCTCGACCAGAAGATGACAAGTAAATGCCATAACAGGTATGCCCCGGGATTTCTCTTGACACCGCGCCTGCGGCCTGACGAAGAAGTGGACTGTGTTGTTTGCTGTTTACCATTGTCGAATGGCATCCAGCTCTACGCTAGACCACGCCAGCGTTCCCGGCAATTCTAACATACGTTGACCTCCAGCTCTCCATGGGCAGGTCCAGTAGACTTCATGTTGGATACAGACTACAGACAGTCCATGCCCCCCTCTCCATAAGAACCACACCGCTTCTCCGCCCCAAGCCCGCCTTACTGGTGGCGAGCATTCCAGTTGTATACTTCATCCTGGGAGACGTCGATGGTGTTCAAAGGGGGTGGTGGAGTCGATGACCTGGCCTTCTGATATACCAAACTCGATACGATGTCGCAGAGCTTCCCAGATCTTGTCTCATATAGCATGAATGGGTGCAAGGTATTCGTAACCGTGTTCTAACTTCTGCCCACGGATGGAACCTACCGCGGCACCCCTCCAGTGATCATCGAATCTAACGGTACATCTCTCATCCATCCGCGCAAATGGAAAACCTGGACCGACACCGGGAAAACGCACAGAAACAATCTTCAATACGAAGATCATAGCCTTTCCAAGCAGCGGAGACGCTATCTCGTCGGCCCGTGGTAATGGGTTGCCATACTCGGCGGGGATTTGCACAATGTTCGGGTCGATTGGCTAGGGGCGGCGGGGACTTCCCCCGTCCCAGAAATCAAGCCCAAAAGCTGTCAACAGATCTTGGAAGGAGTTTTTATTTCCCACAGCTCAAAGAGGCAGCAAATGCGAGTTGCGCCAACGACATGTATCCTTCAAGAGGATTCCGCAGTTGAAGGTATCATTGAAATATGAAGCTTTTGGGAAGACCAGTATGGCCAGTGGTCACATTTGAGGCCACTTTGAAGAGAGATTGGTATCAGGTCAGGATGTTAGTGGTCGGTGCTGAGTAACTTGGGTTGGATAAACCTAACTTCTTTTTCTCCGAAATCGAATGTCCACCTGCATGGTTAAAAGGTACCGACAGTATCTTAAGAATCAAGTCGACAGCAAAAGAATGGGTTCCTCATGACGGTCACACGGTGTTACGGTGTAGGTCCTGGACTCCTGCCCTCGTGAAACAAGGCCGGCCGGAGGACCGGGTGATCTTAGCCGGACCCAGAGGCCACCTGGTTGTAAATTGTAATGCTTCGTACGTTACATTTAGACGCTTGGGCAATCATCACTAGCCGTAGAAAGTGTTGGAGGAAAACTGGACATGGCAACTGCCATTGATCATCGGTCGGGGTTAACATCAGGGGTTAACATCAGGGGTAAAGCCGTCATTTCCGCGACTGAATCCGGGGGAAGAGGACGCTAGAATCGAATAGGCGCGGGGGGTCCAGGGGAACTACAAAATACAACTGCGACCTCCATGGCCTTCCAGGCGTCATTGGTAAAAGGCGGGGTAGCAAAGGAGAAAATGACAGCTAAAAGGAGGGGTCGTCAATGCAGTAATTAAGGTACATACATGGTGGGGGGAGGGGCAAAGGAGGTAGCTTTGCGGACCTTCTTGTCCCTGGACAAACTCGGGGAAAATAATAAGCTGTCCCCTTGATGTCTCCTACATAATTCCCTTTCTGCCGATTTTTGCTCTTTTCCTTCGTCGGAATCTTCAACTGTGCGGTCGATTTCAACTTTCCAAGCCTGGCATCCCCCCCCCCCCCCCCCCCCCCCCCCCCCCCTCGAGAGCCGAAGACTCGAACCCGCTTCACGATGGCAGCTCCAGAATACCTCCCTCTCCTCAAGGAGTCCCTTGTGAACACCAAGCCCGAGTATCGTCGACTCGGCAAGTCTGGGCTCCGCATCTCCGTGCCCATCTTCGGCTGCATGAGCTTCGGTGATAAGAAGAGTATGCCCTGGGTTATCGAGGAGGATGAGGTATGTGCACTGTTTGCCTCCTCCTAGGCGGCTATGCCCCTTATCCGACCGCTGTTCTCCAGTCTTTCTCGCATCGCCAGGCTCTTGGAGGCGCATTGATGCAAAGCGGCGACAGAATCACAAACTCTGACGTGTCTCCTCCATATAGGCCCTGCCTCTCCTGAAGGCGGCGTACGACCGTGGCCTCAACACGTGGGACACGGCTAACATGTACTCCAACGGTGTCTCGGAAAAGATCATTGCCAAGGCCATTAAGACATACAACATCCCTCGGGAGAAGCTTGTCATCATGACCAAGTGTTTCTGGGGGGTTGCCGATGAGCCAGGTGGGTGGTACCGTGTTTCGGTTTCGCTTCCTGTGTTTTTTTTTTTTCTCTTTTTCTTTCTCTTTTTTTTCTCTTTTTTTTCTTTTTTTTTTCTTTTTTAGAAAATACCCTCCCCCCGGCCAACTGACGCGAGACCCCATTTCCCGCAGAAACCAGCAGCTGGCGCCACAGAGAAGGATACGAAGCCAGCAAAGACTACCAAAACCACTTCGGCCTCTCCCGCACCGCCATCTTCAACCAAGTCGACGCGTCCCTCAAGCGGCTCGAGACCGACTACATCGACCTCCTCCAGATCCACCGCTTCGACCACAACACGCCGCTCGAGGAGACCATGAGGGCGCTCCACGACCTCGTCCAGTCGGGCAAGGTGCGCTACATCGGCGCCAGCAGCATGTGGGCCACCCAGTTCGCGCGCATGCAGTTCGTGGCCGAGAAGCACGGCTGGACCCCCTTCGTCAGCATGCAGAACCACTACAACCTGCTCTACCGCGAGGAGGAGCGCGAGATGAACCGCTTCTGCGACGACACCGGCGTCGGCCTCATCCCCTGGGCCCCGCTCTGCCGCGGCCACCTCGCCCGCCCGCCGGCCCAGTTCGGCGCCACGGACCGCAGCTCGCGGGAGAAGAACGAGTCGCCGGGGAGCCATGGCACGACCGAGCTCGACAGGAAGATCATCGGCCGCGTCATGGAGATTGCCGAGAAGCGCGGATGGCCCATGTCGCACGTCGCCCTGGCTTGGATCAATAAGAGGGTCTCGAGCCCCATTATTGGATTCAGCAGTGTCGAGAGGATGGACGAGGCCTTGGCCGTCAAGGGGAAGGTGCTGACCGAGGAGGAGGAGGCGTACCTTGAGGAGCCATACGAGCCCAAGCCTATTGCTGGCCATGGATAGATGGTAGAGTAGTCTTGCCAACCCCTTCCCTTGACTGAGTAGATTTCAGCGAGTCCAAAGTGGCATATGTAGGTCTTGAAATGGTTCAGCAACGATGAGTGAGAGTCTCAGAAGGATGGACGACGATGGAATTGATCCTGTGACACTCTACCATCAGGTTTTTGGACTATTTTTTCTTTCTTTTTCGAGGCGAGGTGTAATTTTGTTGTTGATAAGCTGACCTCGCTGAGCTACCTTAAGCTACATGGACCTTATTCGCACCAAGGTCAGTTAAGTTTGAGAGTGCCTCGACTTCCGACCCAGTGATGGACCATCGGGCCATAGAAATTAGCCGGTGAATGACCACTCCATAACAACTCCGTTAAATACATTCGTTGGCAGGCCCGTTTCTATCCCTTCCGGGAATACACCCGGCTATCAAGCAAATCTGTAGCTCTATTGTTCGATAACGCCGGTCGTAATGATATTAGATCTCTCGGATGAGACGCGAGAGGATTTTGCATGGCGCAGTTTCTTATTTCCTTTGGGCAGCAGCGTCGCGCCGGTCTTGCTCCATGAAAGCATCAAGGATGGCATTGCCTTCCTCGATGTCTTCCGGGGTCACTGTGCCAGAGTCAGTGATAGGGGAGGGGGTCAGAGAAGGCCGAGAGCCGTGGGCTACTCGAGGACACGTAGTCACGTACTCTTCAGCCCGAAGCTGGCCTGGAAGTTAGGACGCGAGCCCCAATTGTTTTTGATGAATGAGTACTTCGTTTGCCCGCCTGTGCCGGCCGAAGAAGCGCTGCCTTGCGTCGGGGCTTTGGAAGAGGACTGGTTGGATTTTGGCATTGTGAATTCGCGAGTCGTGCGTTGTGAGTTGTGAGTCGTGAGTCTTGAATCGCGATAGACAAGAAACGGCTGACAGTTTTGGTTGCTGGACCAGAGTCTGCTCTGACTGAAGGTATTATGATTGAAAAGCTGGGTAGGAACTGAGAAAGAGAGGAGGGGAAGGGGAGGAATCAAGATCGCGTCGTTGAAATTAAAGCTTTGACCCTTTAGTGCCTGCCTAATAAGGTACCTACCTCACCTTGCCTACCTGGTACCTTACCTTAGGCAGGTAGGGACGCCGTACAGGTACCAGCAAGGGGAAATACGTGTAAAGGTGAGCGTAAGTTTGAAGAGGGTTGGTAATACGGTCAGGAATACGAAAAATCTCGTCTGACTAATGACCCTTTACACGAGATCCCTGCCAAAGACCGGATTCCCGTGTCCCAACAATTGTGATATCGGATGCTAAACCCGGCTTGAGCTTTCGGCCTCGCTGGACCGGACGGCCCGGGCCCGGTGATAAGCAGAAGGGCTGAACTCTGGGTTGGAGTTATATGTTAGAACGTCGGAAGATGGTTGGGGGGTTTTGTCATGGCCCTTGAGCTTGTGCTCTGTTTGCAGGCCTGTTCATAGCTTCGTTTGTGGTGGAGACCCGAAAGGGTGATCGACAATTTCGAGGACTTCTCAATGAGATGGGGGAGATGGGAAGCCCGACAAACGAATGATTTGTATTCGGTGGTCCTCCTGCTGCCGACCGAATACTGTTAACGACGAGGACGCGTCGCCAGTTGACAACCCGATGAGATAAGGTAGCCAGACCGGATTACCTAATACGCAGGACAGTGTCACATGACCGAAGCTGGGTACAACACACGCGTGTCCCTGTGGACTAAAAACATCCCAGTGACTTTGGGGGTTCTCCACTTGACCCCTAAAACCTCGTCTTGAGCCCACTGTTGCTTCGAAACGAGCGGCAAGAAAGCCATTCCCGCAGACCCCCTCTCCACCTGTCAAGCCAAGCAGAGCAACTAGCAGAGCAGAGCAGAGCTTACGGACTTACACTGGGGCCTTGATCGGCACCCTTATAGGTCCCGTTTGCGTCTTCACACGCTTACGAGTGTCCACACTCGTATGGCCGGGGGGGAGCTCTTTATTTCCCCTCTCGCCACGATGACCGAGAACGCCCATCAAACGTCACTGCAGCTCCAGGAGAAGGCTCCGTCCAATAGTGCTACGCATACCGACAATGAGAAAAGATTTCCTCCTCCGAATGGTCAACTAGGGGAACAAAGTGACCAATCTGCCAGAAGTTCCCCCGACGGCGGATCGCAAGCCCAGACCCTAGACAAGCTACCGCCTCCAAAGCCAGAGCGCGGCGAGCCACCAAGCGTTGTTGTCAACAGGCCGCGGCAAAAGCCATCCATTCTCCACTCCCTCCGTCACCCCGCCGCCGACCTCAAACACGCCGTAAAATCCCGGAAGAAGAAGCTCAAGGAGAAAGCCAAAGCCAAACCCCCCGGTGGATTCGACAGGACGCCGCTACCGAGCGCACCTCCTGGCTACACACTCAAATTCACTTTCTATCGGGCGACCAATCTCCCCGCGGGCGATCTCGTTGCCGCGTCTTCGGACCCTTTCATCTATGCCACCCTCCGGTCAGCGCTTCCGAAACGCCACGAGGAAGACCCGGATGTCGCACGGCGCACCCACACCATACGGAAGACAACGGACCCCGAGTGGAACGATGAATGGATTGTAGCCAGCGTCCCGGCCACCGGTTTCACTCTTGAGTGCCGGATATACGACGAGGATTATCCCAACAAGGATGATAGCCTCGGCAGCGTGACCATCGGGGTGGACCAAATCACACCCGACTGGGAGGGCATCCCCCCGCCAGGACGGGAGTTCAAGGTCATGAAGCGTACCGGACACAAGGGGGTATACCTTGTGAGGGCCACCAATAGCTGCTTCGACCCAAAGGTAGAGATGACGCCGACTCTCTGGGTCAGCATCGAGCTCCTGGGTCAGTCCAGCCCTCCTTACGGGCAGATGTATACGGTTGGGCCGTGTTATCACTTCCAGCACTTCAGTCCCACCATCGGTCGCCTTGCGGGAACGAAGGTCAACGAGGACGAGGAACACAGTCATTCGCCCGGAAGAAGAGGAAGCAGCCCAGATCACAACAATAGGAAGACCCAGCGGTATGAGTATGTGACGTGACCCCTGACCCCTGACCTTTTGGCTCTGCTCAGTGATGTGACACTGTGATGTGACACTGTGATGCGACACTGTCGCCATGACAGACGATCCCCTTCTTCATCTCCAAGATGACGTTTGGTTACACTAACCTTAGGATGCAGTTTCCAATCCAACGAAATACAATTCGCCGGTCCGGTCCCTCCCACCATGTATCACCGCTTCGTCGAATTCCGGCCTTTGGTGGGGCACATGTTCTGGAGTCGTGGCATCCGCGGCCGCATCCTGAACCGGGCGCTGCACGACCAGCACCGGCGGATCTACAACTTCAGCCGGTCGACCCAGTACGGCACGTTCGCGGCATGCTCGGAAGAAGCGTCCAGGCTGTTCCTGCGGCTGGTGCACTACGACGAGGGCGGGCGCATCTTCACGTACGTGCTCACGCTGGACGGCATGTTCCGGTTCACGGAGACGGGCCGCGAGTTCAGCATCGACCTGCTCAGCAAGCACACCATGCACAGCGACGTGGCGACCTACGTGGCGTCGGCGGGCGAGTTCTTCGTCCGCCGGCTCGAGGGGCCGGCCGAAGGATGGCGGCCCGAGGAGGACCCGGCCTACTACCAGCTCGTGATCGATAACGACTCGGGCACGTACCGGCCCGACAAGTCGATTCTGGGAGCGCTCCGCGATTTCATGGCGCGGAACCTGGCCGGGCTGGGGGTGGTGGCGATGCACTGCGGGGACGAGGAGCTGGTGCGGCTCAAGGAGAGGCAGGCGCGGATCAAGAAGGAGGAGGGGCGGGGGGTTCGCATGGTGCTTAACCGGAGTCCCAGCGGGAGCTCGACGTCGCTTAGCTCGGCGGAGAGCGATTTGAACCGCGTCGAGGCGGCGGTGGCTGCTGCCGGTGCTGCCGTGTCGGGGTCGGGGTCGGGGTCGGCGGCAGCAAGTGGGAGCAAGACGAAGAGGGAGCAGGTTTTGGATTTGGTGGAGAATCCCAAGCGAGCCAAGGGGCTGTTGAAGATGGGGAAGAGGGCGGATAAGGAGACAGGAGGACCATCTGGGAGTTAGAGGAGAGGCGTTGCTGTATTTTACATATCATAGCGTGGGGAATTTGGCTGGGCGTATTTGGTTCGTATGAGGTCGTGTAGTATTTGGCGTGTGCTAATAAAGAACGAAACAACCATTGGGAGCGAAATTGGGCGATGATACTTTGTCGGAACTCCCGGGGTGCAAACCTGAGAAGACCCCCTGTTTGCCCCACTATTAGGCCGAAGTACCTACCGAAGTACCTACTCCCTACTGGAACACATTACGAATACTTGTCTTGAGTACATGAGCAAAAGAAATGATCGACCAATTGGTTCCAAACAGGAAGCCCGGTTCCCAGGGGCTTGGCGCTCCCGAAGCCGTAAAGTGGGGACGGCGAATTCGGAAATCGGCCACGGGGCGCGCTGTTGACAAGGACGGTGAAGATTATCGTCGCTAATGATTTAGTCGGGGGGAATAGCAGGACCCTTATTGCTGATGAGATCGTGCCTAATGAGGAAAGCAAACAACAGGGAAAAAATGAAAAGAAAAAGAAAAATGAACAGAGAACGCTTGTCCACGTTGAACGTACACGTAAAACTCGCCTACCCCTATGCCTGACTCCATTTATGGGACGATCTGTTATGAGACCGTCATCCGCCAAGAACAGCCAAGAGGCCAAGTCCTGACGAACCCCCTCCCGTCCCGGCTTCTGCCTGCATTTCCATTACGAATCCCGTGTGTGACGAGATCCAAGACATTCCTTGTCTACGGACTTGTTTCCAATGACTTGAGATCTCCAGGCAGGTGGACGATGAAATGCGAAAAAGGGGACATTCCGCAGTGTTTCGACGGGAGACGAATAAAAGGGAGAGGAAATGAGATGGAAAAGAAAAAAAGAAAAAAAAGAACCACAAAGACCAAAATAGGGCTAGTCAACAGAGTCGGGAATATCCATTTCATCCCCCCAGTCCGGAAACATCGAAAGATCCTTGTATAATTATAGACCAATAACCCACAGTTGATCCTCAACGAGGGGCGCAGCCGCAGCACAAATAGGGTATTCCTTCCTATCGGCTGTCTTTTATCTCTTCCAATTTGTTTGATGCTGACAATCCTCCTTTCTTCTTCTTTTCTTTTCTCAATGCTCCTCAACCATCTGTCCTTGCTTACGGATACCTGTCCCTCCCTTCCGACATCTCGCTCAATCGCAATCGCGGAGAGGACATCGAAGGTCTCCTTTCGACGGCGACCTTTAGTTTCATTTTATTTTCTCCTTTTTCTTTTTTGCTGTTTTATTAGATCCTTTTTACGCACTTCTCCGTCTCTCGTCATGTAATGCCTTGGTAGCGACAGGCACACGGCAAAACCACATCCCATCAGAACGATTCCACCGGGCCGCCAGCCCAGGCTGCTTTCGCCTCTCTTCTTGCGATACGCGCTGTCGAAGTGCTCCACGATACATCCTAAGCGGCCCTTTACGTCTAGGTCTTTGCGCTCAGCTTATTCAGGAAGAAACGAGGAAAGAAAAGACAACCATGAGTGCTCTTCGCGGAGCTGCGGCCGACCTTGTCGGCCTTTTCTCCAGGACAAGAGGCCCTTCATACCACAAATTGAACTACGAGGGCCCCGATGATCCCGAATCCGGCTCTCCCCAAAGATCCGCATCCCGCCGGGGTCTCCTTACCCTTTGGCCCGGTCGATTGTCACCGAAGGGCCTGCTCGGTATTGTTGCCGCCACTTGGCTCATTCTTCTCTGCATATTTTACGGTGTATGTCTGTTTTCTTGCTTCATTTTCATGCATGCCATCCCCTTCTGAACCCCAGATTCTTGACGCTGAGCGAACTGACGAACTGACACCCAAACCAGAGCAACCTTCAAATCTCACAAACGGCACCAACACCGTCAACCGGAACCGGAACCGGAACCGACGTCGCACCCGACTCACCTCCCCACAACGCGGTACCAGGTCAGGGCAATGCCGACTCCGAAAACGACCTCGCTCTACCACCCACCACTACCACCCCCTCCACAGCACATGCACCCTCCGCATCCCCCACCTCTTCCACCTCTCCCGCCCGGACCCCCGGCCACCGCAACCTCCGCATCATCCTCCCCGCCGACGACCCGAACCCCAACCTCTGCAAGACCATCTTCGCCGCCATAGCCAACGGCTACCCCGCCCCCGTCATCGCCAACTGGGGCCGCGACTTCAAGAAAACCGACAAAACCTTCGGCGGCTTCGGCGGCAGCCACCTCGGCAAGCTCGACGGCACCCTCGCCGCCCTGGAAGCCCTCTCCTCCACCACCACCCCGCCCGACGAGCGCCTCCGCCCGGACGACCTCGTCCTCATCATGGACGCCTACGACGTCTGGATCCAGCTGCCCCCCTCCGTCCTCATCCGCCGCTGGCTCGCCCAAAACGCCGCCGCCGCCTCCCGCATCCGCGCCGCCTGGCCCGCCGACGCCCAAGGCGCCGCCTCCCCACCCCTCCAATCCGTCATCCTCTCCACCCAGAAGAAGTGCTGGCCCACCAAAGCAGACGGCTCCGACACCCACTGCGACATCCTCCCCGAGAGCACCGCGCGCGGGGGCCTCTACGGCCCGGACACCGACAAGCCCGACGCGCCGCTGCAGCACCGCCGCCCGCGCTACATCAACAGCGGCAGCATGCTCGGACCCGCGCGCGACGCCATCCGCATCCTCCGCCGCGCCAAGGCCAAGGTCGAGGCCAGCCGCGCCGCCGGGCTCAACCTGTACAGCGACCAGGGCATCTTGGGCGAGATACTGGGCGAGCAGGAGGTCTGGCGCAAGGCGCAGCGCGAGCGGACCGCGGCTGCTTCGGAGGTCCCGGAAGCGAACCCCGGGGGGGCGGAGACCTGGGAGTACGGCATGGGACTCGATTACGTGCAGGATCTTTTCGTCCCCACCGTGTTCATGGAGGATGACGGCGAGTACCTCGTGCTGGCGAACCAGACCGCCGTCGACGAGGCCTCCAGGGCGCATAAAGTCGACCCGCCCCGCTTGTCCGGCGTGCCGCGGGACGTCCTGGCCTATGCGCCCTCGCCGCTGATCCTGGCGGGCGTGCAACCCGAAACCGGAGCCGAAGGGGAAGCGGAAGCGGGCGACGACCAGAACAACAACAACACCAACAACGAGTGGCGAAACGCCACAGGCTGGGCCGACGTCCCGCTGTACGCAGACTACTGGAGCACCCAGGTCCCGGTAGGCGTGCACCACAACGCGCACCGGGGCGGCATGAAGGGTCGCCGCCTGCGCGAATGGTGGTCCAAGACCTGGTTCTTCCCGTACCTGCGCGACATTGTGGCCACCCGATCGCAACCGCGCGACGCGCGAAAGCCGCTCGTCACCATCCCGGCCGCCGAGGTCGACGAGAGCGAGGAAGGCCACGGTCACGACCTCGTCTATTGGGCTCCGGAAGCCGATATGCGGAAACCACTGCCCCGGACCTTCAACCCGGATGAGGCTGAGGGCGACGGCGACAGCGACGGCGACGGCGACTTCTTGCCCGAGGCTGGCTGGGATGCGCTTTGCCAGGCCGTGGGCACAGATGAAGACGACTGGTGGGATGTCATTTTTCAGGACGATAAGGGTCCCCTAGGCCAGGAGGGGCAAGGGAGGGAGCCCGGATCAAAGTAAGGTGGCATTCGACATTTATACGGTATATATTCTGTTCTTGTAGTTTAGTTATGCGGTGTGTTTATTCATGGATGATTAGAACACGGCGCCGAGTCACGAGACACGAACATGCATACCATTTTGGATATGCGTACGACCAAGTCAATGTTTTGCTTTGGATTCTGATGCGCCCGTGCTAATTAATTATCCACATGCCGTCTGAACGGTAGACCAAGAAGAAAGAAAAGAAAAAAGTAGAAAAAAAGGGGAAAAGGGAAGAAAATAAGAAAAGAAGAAAAGAAAAGAAAAAAACCGCCCGCCTTCTAACCAATACGCCAGTGTTTAAAAGTCAACCATGTCCATGTCCCGGCGGACATGGCCTGATGCCATGATAATATGACGATGGTCGATGACAGGGTGAAGAGACGAAAAAAGCGGAAAAGTGAAAAGAGGCGAAGAGTGAGAGAGATGAGGGATTTGGGTGGGTAAACGGACAGAAAAGACAGAATCGCCCGCGTGTAAGTAAATATGCGTTTCACAGTCAACTCAACGCTCGACACATGCCGCTCCGGTCTACTCGTCTATGAAGAGGAACCCTCGGCGGATTTCGCCTTCTTATTATCCGGCGCCGCGACCATTTCGTCCTTGTAGAGGCCGTTGGCCTCGATATAATCCATGACTTCCCTCGGAACGTGCTGCACGAGTTTTGTCAGTAGTGCGTAAAAGTATGACGCTTCAAGGTCATGGAGATGTGGCCGCTATGAAGCGAAAGGACGACGTACGTATTCGATACTCATGTTGCCCTTCAGAAGAAGCCTGAGCATGGTGCTAGACATGGGGTTGGAGATGATGGCAGGGATGTAGTGGATGTTGTCGCGCCACTCGCGTAGGCTCGACAATGCCTGCTCAATGTTACTGTTGGCACGTTCGACCACGAAGGCGCCGTAGTCGCCGAGGATGTGCTGCAGATCGTGCAGAGCCCAGACGTTCGGTTGGCTGAAGGTTTCGACCAGGTCGGCGCCGGCCAGCAGGGCGATGCGGACCTTCTTGCCGCTGGAGCCGCCCCGGAGCTGGTTGATCTCGCGGTCGAAGTGGTCCAGGACCTTGGCGGTAGGGACATACGAGGCCTGCTGGGCCTCCCAAGGGTCGACCATGAGGGGTTGCCGGGCGTGCTTAACGGCCAGCTCGCACATTTCGACTCTGGGAGGAAGCACACGGAGGGTCAGAATGTTGCGTGTTGCGTGTTGCCCAGGGGTCCTGCGGGGATCAAAAGGCAAGGGTGGCCGACGGGCTTACCGATGATGCGCCCTGGCCAGACCTCGCTTTCCATATGCGTCTGACACCGGGCTAAGGTAGGCGCCGACAACCTCGTAGTTGGTTTCGTTCCGAGCATAGTCGGCGGCCATGGCGAACATTTCTGCAGAAGAAGTAATAGGCAACCGATCAGCAAGAGACAGCTTGAGACGACAGCATGATCCATCGGAGAGGTCATCAAAGGGGTCATTGGAGGGGCCGTTGTCGGGAAGATTGGCCAAATAGCACCAGAACCAGAACCAGAACCAGAACCCGGACGGAACGACTTACGTAGGTGGACGTAATGTATAGGGCTGAAGGATCCGCAGGCCACGAGCACAAGAGGGTCGCGACTGGGATCATTCTGTTGCTGTCGCAGCCGGATTGTGGGGAACGTGTAACCAGGCGGCGTCATCGCATCGAGTACGCCCGGGTCGGTCGCCATTGTGAAATCGCGCGAAGCTGGCGAAGAAAGGTTCAACGTTGGAAGCTTTTCGAACCGGAAGGAATGATGGACGATGTCGGAATTCTAATTTATGCCCCCTCGAGGGGAGCGCGGGATTTGTCTGCGTGTCGTCCCTGCGAAACCGGAAGCGGCGAAGCAAAAGTCGCCCTTGGTTAGTCACTCAATTGCAATCGGGTTCCAATAACCGACGTCATGGAACCCTTGGAAGGTAATGCGCGGAGGTAGAACTTAGAAGCGGGTGTAGGCATACCAGTGTGACAGAGATGGAAAGCCGAGGAGGGTAGTTATTGTGGTGGGAATCGCATTGAAGTTGAGAAGTCGTGAGGGGCGGAAGAACCGGCAAAGCAAAGGTAGAAAAGGGGATGGGTAAGGTTAAAAGTTGGGATTTTGGAAAAGGTGAGTAAGAGGTGATAGTAATAGTAAAGGGGGGCAAAAAGGTAGAGGTATAAATGAGGGTACAAGAAGAAGCGAACCGATCCGAGACTGGGAAGGTTGTGGGGGACTGGCGGGGTGAAGAATGGAATGTGTGTGAATGGCACAGACTCCGAATGTACTGAATACAGTCGTTCGCGCATAGCGGAAGTCACGACCCGTATAAAACTTGCAGGAGATGTACTTTGTGCATGTACCTTGTACGAAGTGTCGGCGCAGCTGTGGCGTGCTTACAACGTCTGGTGGTGGAGTTTAGCGTTCAAGGAAAGAGCAGGTGGGGTTTCATGCCAGGCTGTTACTGGAGTGTTCCTTCCTTCTACCCCGTACAAAGTAAGGTGCAATGTGATGACTTACCCTAAGGTAGGTAAGCTGAAGCAGAGCGCGTTTTGTTTCGATATCGGCGGTACCTCCGAATACTTTACTTCGTACTTCCCTCGGCCTTGCCCGTGCAGATCCCCACGAGACCAGTCACCAGCTACCCTTGTACGGACATAAGGTATTCGTGTTCGTACAACTGTATCGATGTACAGCAACCCAAGGTAAATTATACCTAATGTATTCTGGTGATCCAAGTCTCTAAGCATAAACCAGGAGGGAGAATGAGTCTAGGTGCCTTAAGTAGAAGTCCGGTTGGTCAGACGTGGCAGGTTTCCCCATCCAAGATACCTTACCTAAGGTAAGGTACCTTACCTTACGTCCTTACCTGGTAGGTACGTGCCTTTGTCTTGCCTTCTGAATGAACTGTATGACGTCTGAACCTGGAAGTAGGCAGGAGGTACCGTAGACATCTACCATCGAGATTCGAGATTTCCCAACTCTCAATCACACACTTCAAGGAAGTCGGGACCTTGCAACCTGTACCATACCTTAGGTAGACCGTAGACCCAGAGTCGAAGGTGGTCCAGGAGTCCAAGAGTCCAGGACTGGTTTATAGATAAAACAATTACAACACTGTCTTTCGACGCTTGACCTTGTTATTCTCTCGTCTGGCCTTCAGAATCATCATCGAGTTCCCTTTCGTTCACTTTGGTTTGCTTAACTCCGCGTCGACAGTATTCTTGATCTCTATCACTCGTTGATTCCATTATTACCGTTGCAACTTACACCGTTACGCGCTACAAGTTACGCCCGTCGTTTCATTTTGGTCGCCATTCGCTTGTCGAAGATGCCGTCATTTTTCCGCCGCACAAGTCGGGATGCTTCTCGCAACGCCGGGGACATTGAGGCTCGGAGAACACGGCTCAGGTTGGTTGTCCATCCCGCAGCCCCCGTGCCCCCCGGGCCCCCGGAGATTAAGTCAGGGACTCAGGGTCGTGCTGATGATGAACGCGAACAGTGCCCTCGCGCAGACCTTGCCGCCCGCACCGCCCGCGGCCCCCTCGGTTGACGGATCCAGGCGGCCCGCGTATCTCGTCGATGGGTGTCCTCCTAATCGTCTGCCTCCCGGGCCGTCTCTTGACTCCCCTGGCCTTCCTGTGCCGCCAGGGAGCCCCATAATAGACCCTCTGTCTCTTGGGCCTTCTGCAACTTCTGGACGCGGTGACTCTGGTGACACTGGTGGTGAGCCTACAGCTTCTGGGGCAAACGGGCCTGTTAAACTCGGTGAGCTTGCTGGGCAGGGCCCAGGACCATTATCTGATCCTTCTGGTTCTCATTCTTCCGATAGCCCGCACGGGCACGGCACGTACGTGGAGTTTCACGCTTGCCCCTATCAGCATCCATGATCCTGACAGAGGAAATGACTTAGATCTTCGAAGAAAAAAACAGAAAAAAAAGAAGAAGAAAAAGAAGAAACCGCAGAGGAGTGGCTAGAGAGGCAGACGCAGTGCGGCATATCAAACATCATTTCAAGCATCGAAAAATATCGTGACAGGGTGCCGGGCTGGAGCCGCTCATATTACACCATTGACGACCGAATTTTCCACAGCGAAATGCATGATCGATATCACCATGCCAAGTACTGGGCTCCGGTGGACTGGCGGCACAAACAGGCGCTGAAGAAAATGTACAATCTCCGTAGTCCCAGCCGATGACTTTCCTCCTGCGATGATTATATAGAATATATAATATCCAGACATCATATAGGATATGGCTGACCTCTGGTGTCACTACCAGTCACCTAGCTTTTCTTGCTCTCCTCGATGACCAGCTCTGTCGGTCCCCTATTCAACAAGCGCCTCCAGCTCTCGTTCTTGATGTTGGGACGGGCCATGGTAAGTTGACCCAACCATACTGGCATACACAAGCTACGAACCTACGACGCAGCAACTGACCATCACCAATTCTCTCTTCCCCCACCTCTCCCTCTGAAACAGCAGACTGGGCCTTGTAAGTCAAGCCCCCCCGAGACCCGAGGCCCTACATGGCACTGTTCTTAACTTCTTTCTTGTCCCGCTGATGCCGCTTGACCTTGGTTCTGCAGTGAGTTTGCGAAACGTCACCCCAGTGCCAGGGTGATTGGCACGGATCTCTCTCCTCTGCATCCCGAGTTACCCAACGAAGCTGTCCCCGAGAACTTCATGTTCAGAACGGACAACTACCTGAAACCTTGGTTATTCTGTGACAACGTCTTCGACATGATTCACATGAGATTCCTTTTCGGCACGGTCCAAAACTGGAATGCGCTCTTTCGCGAGGCGTATCGTTGCGCCCAGCCCGGCGCCTGGGTGGAGTCGTGCGAGCTGGATTTCTACTTTTGTTCCGACGACATGACGATAAAGTTCTGGAACCAGATGAAAAGGACATGGCCCAAATTGTTTGACACTGCGGAGGCCAAGACTAGATGCACCTTCCGGCCGGTCGCTTTGAATGTGCAGAGGGAAGGCATGATGAAGGCCGGTTTCACCGATATTCACCAATACGACCGCAAGGTAGGTCGCGAACCGTGGTTCTCTAGACTCTTGGATCCTTCAATGGTCCATACTCACACAGTCGCTAACGGCCCATTCCTCATGCAGATATTAATTGGCAGATGGGTCTCGAGCGGCCAGTTGTGCAAGGCCGGCACCCACCTCCGTGAAGCTTTTCTTAAGGATATTGAAGGTGTGTCTGAATCTCGGATCTATTCTGGCCCCTGTTAACCCCTGCTGACCATTGATCGGGACCGTGGCGTCGTAGGCTTTACCAAGTACGTCTGGTCTATCCAGCACAGCCGTCGCAACGGGGACACCGAGCGGAAATACAGGGATTTCGTCGAGGGGATGGAAAGCGAGATACGTTCTAGTTCCATTCACGCATACTTTAACGTCCGTTACGTTTACGGCCGTAAGCCACAGGGAGAGCACTGAGCGGACCGCGAGACTGGGTTCTTAGTTTCTCACTGGCTGTCTTATGTCTAGTTCAGCGTTGCTTCGTTTAGAATAGTGAATGTCAAGCAGCGTTTCTGCAGTTGCATTTATCTCTTGCACTTTGGTTTCGCGTAAGGAATCGAAGTCTTACACATCTGCCTGCTACGTGATTGGACGTTTACATTCAGCATCATAACTTGGGCATATTAAGAACGTCTTGGTTTCTCGAGCTTAGATAGCTAAGTAGGTCGTCCAAATACAAGGCCTGGGAGTTTCACTCGCTATAAGACGCAGAGAAGACTACTTGAGGGCTCTTGACCTTGTTACTTGTTGACATTTCGTGATACGACAGAAGCATAACATCAGATTCACAGAGCAGAGAAGAGATAGTAGAAAGTCGGAGTAAGAAGTAAGAAGTCTGTACGGTCCGTGACAGTGCTCACTCGGAACAACCGTCATTCTGGAGTCTGTATGAATAGTCAAGATTCACTAAGAATCTCTCTGTCCCTGGTATCATAACCCAAACTCCAACAAAAAGAAAAGAAAAAGAAAAAAAGAAGAGAGCCAGGCCCATCTTCTCCTCGAACGGATCCTCTACCGGTGCTTCCGGTAGGGCACGTACTCGTGACCCTCGGCCTTGCAGGCCTCCTTGGCGACCTCAACCATGCGGTCGCGGTGGGCGCGGCGCGTCACCACCTGCGACGGCAGGTTGAGTCGGTGGTCGTTCTTGAAGTGGCGGTGGATCTCGCCCAGCCGCTTCCGGACGCCGATGAACTTTGGGCACGGGGTCCCATCCTTCTTCTTGGGGCATTCGAGGGGGCAGTAGTGGTAGGCTGCCCGGTGGTTGGTTAGGTCGCGGGATGCGGCGACGTGTTTCCTGGGAAGGAGGCGTTAGTCTTTCGTTGTTTGGGGTCTAGGATGTTTGGGCTGGAGGCTGGGGGAAGGGGAATTGGTAAGGAGGGAAGATGAGGTTGGTTTGATGAGAGGATGGGGGGGGAAATTGGCATCGTACGTAATAAAAATTTGATAATTTCAAGAAAGGGGAAGAATGGCGGCAGGGACGGCGATGGAAATACTTACTTTAGGGCTTCCGGGGTAGGGAAGCTCTTCTCGCCGGGGCCGAACTCGCACCCGTCCGCTTCACAGTAGTAGATATTACCACTGTTGCCGTTGGGGTTGGGTACGACCAAGGGAGGTTCGCCTGGAGCCATGATAGCTATGGGAGCCTGAGGTTGGGGTGTCGGAAATGGAGGTTGGTTGGCGGTAGTGGTAGCGGTAGGCACCAAGTGCTCTGGTTGATGAGGAGAAGAAGGTTGAGGATGGCAATCCTGATTGTGAGGCTGATGATGAGGATTAGGCGAGTAGGCAGCTTGTATGCGAGGATCGATGGGTATGGAAGAAGGGGGAGAAGAAGAAGTTGCCGAAGCACCAGAAGCAGAGACGGGGTTTATATAGTTGTCAACGGGAGGCTGGAGGCTGTGAATCGGTTCCTGAGGAATGAAGTGGGAAGGAACCGGAGCCATAGGCTGATAGGTGGAAGGAGTGACAGTTGAGGAAGGAGCGAGAGTCGAGCAAGGAGCAGTGCCGTGACCGTACAAAAGACAGGAGACCACAGTGCTATCCGTATAATAGTGGAACGGATGAAGGCAGGAGACCAAGTCCGGGTCCGGGTAAACGTAAACAAACTTGCCGTTCGAGTTGAAGTCGTCATGATGCTCCGGGTTGTTCATGTTGGGCAAGGAGGAAACGAAACAAGAAGTAGAAAGTGAAATAGAAAGTCAAAAGAAAGAAGAAAAAAAGAAGGAAAGGGGTGGCTTGTGTTGTGTTGTTGCTTGGTGTTGTTGCTGATGTTCTTGATGAGAGTGGCACTGATGGTCCAGAAACCCAAAGAGAGTAGAGAATAATGATTCCAAGGAAGACCTCGAAAAACAACAAGGAAACTGATCACCAAGGCTTGAAGAAAGGAAAGGAGAAGAAAAAGAGAAGTTTGATTTGGAATTGCCCTCGGGCCTAGATATACTCAGGGGACGCGGGGCCGGGAGCTCACAAGATCAGCCAGCTTGTCTCCGCTTCTCACGATGTAAGCACGCCGAATACGGATAATGGAGAGGAAAAGGAAGCAGAAAGAAAATAGGCACGAGCCGGGAGATACATCCTACAGGTCGCTACTGATCTAGAGAGATCACTCTTTGTGCTTTGTGATGACGGAGGATGGGATAGTTAGACGCCGTGAAAGGAGGTTAAATTCTTCTATATGAGTTTGATAGTACGCTCTTCACCATGCTCTTTGACCCAGTTGGTGATGAAAGAAGATGCTGTGCGGCTGCTGTGAGGGGGCCCCTGAATTTGCACCAGACCAATTCGTTCATAGGTGGGATAGGAAGAACAAGAAGAGGCCATACTCGCACTACTCGCACTCGACAACTTGAGGACCAGAAAGTCATACGTCTCAGGATAGTCCCTCGCACCTACCAGGAAACACGCAACCTCTGACCCTGAAGGGATAGGCAGGGGGTCATCGAACATGTAGTTGATGTCGGCAAAGGTGGTCACTATCAGAAACCTCTCAACGAGGGGCTCCGTCGCCACGAGCCTGAACAGTGTGAGAGGGGACGACCTCGAAGACCCTTTCGTCAAGTCGACGTACCGGAGCCTAGTCGAGACCACGAGGCCCCGCAAAACGAGGTAACCGCCGGAAAGAAGCTCCCCCGTAGGATCCGGGCCGGCGAGTGTGCAGTTCGCATCGAGCACCTCGCACTTCTCCTGCAGGGCAACCGTGCAGCGCGTAAATTCCACAGGACCCTTCACGGCCGCCCACGACCAGGAAGGCGCCCGCCAGAGCCCAGGACGTCGAGCTTGCGCCCAGTGATCCTGATCCATCGTCCCGCCGGCGACATGCCACAGGAGACCCTCGTGGAGAAACCGCTCCCAAAGCCCGGCACAGTATCGGCTCCCGAGGATGGAGCGGTAGCTTTTCGCCAGGCCGGACAGGGCGGGGAAGATGTCGGATTCGAAAGTGAGGTCCAGGGCGGTGTATTCTTCTACGAGGCCGGCCCATCTGTTTGCCACGGCGTGGAGGCCCTTTGCGGCGGCTAGTTGTTGGAGTGTGGATGGTCTGTGGACTTTCTTCGGATTTGTTTGCGTGGAGTGCGTGGAGGACCGGGTCCCGGTGCATTGGCATTTGTGGTGCTCTACACACTCCCAGGAGAGCTCTTCGGGGCCGAAGTAGAGGGTGCGGGGGGAGAGGAGGCGTTCTTGGAACACCCAGCCTCGCTGAAGTAGGGGTAATGGCTGGCGGAGCGTTGGGCGGAGGTGCGTGTGTCGGACAATGTGCGTCAGGGGGTGTCGAACATATACACCGTAGTCCGACGCGCCATGAGGACGGTGACTAAGCCCTAGGTCTTTTAACAGGGACTCGGGGAGGGCAAGAGGGCGTAGTCGGAACTTGGGGTCCATCCGGACAAACATGGACCTTTCGGAACCCCTGTCCTGGGCGGCGGCGAGGGTGAGGTAGGCGTTGGAATAGGTAGAGGCCATCTTGGCGCCTTCGCGGCGCCAGTCGTCCAGGTCGTCTTGGATGATGCACATGCTGTCGATCCAGAGGTAACGAATTCCCAGGGCGCGCGTGAAATCGATGGCGTCTCGGAAGGTAGCGGGGAGGCCGTCCCAGGAGATCCCTTGCCGATGGCTTGAGATGTTGTTTGAAAGTGTTCGTCGCAGGGGGTGTTGGGTGGGCATTGCCCAGCGGTGGCTTAGGCAGATGTAGCGTCCTGGCGTGTTCTCCTCTGTGACGCGGAGCTTGATTTGGCTGTTGGAAGTGCCAAGGTCGATGACACGCTTAGGCAGAGACGGCTCCGACGTGGGTGTGCAGAGTCGGTGAGTTGAGTCGCATTCCCGTATACGGTCCAGGACCCAGCCAAGGCTCTCTTCCGAGTCTGTGCTTGAGGGGACATGATGGCCTGGAGACCAGGATATGAAGCAAGAATTGTCGAGCAAGGGACTCTCTATGGGTTGTCAGCATAGAAAAGGAAATGGCAAGAATAAAGGGGGAGTAAGGAATCAGCGACGAGAAGGAAACACACCCGGAGAGATAACAAAGCTCACCGATTCAGAAGCCTTGAAGCTTGTGACGTGTAAGCTTGGCGTCCTGGTCATATTAAACTCCAACTTGAGAGTCGTATCCGTATCGCCCAAGACTCGGATAGATTCCCGTCCCAGGCATCGTTCGATACCCAGGACGATGATCAGGCACAGAGGGCATGCACGTTGTGCGCTGGCCTCGAGGTGTTCGAGCCAAGTAATCTGGACGGCAGGGCCGCTTCCCTTTTCCCTGTCTCTTGGATGTCCACAGACGTTGCATGGCTGCCCGGGTTCCGTGGGCCGGTACGGCCGGTACGGGAATGACATGACGTTGGATAATTCGGCCGAAGTGGGTCGGCTCGGAGGGTACCTTATTACCAGGTAGTACATTGCAAGATCTTGGACTTGGGCAGGTCAGGTGACCTTCCCTGGAGTGGGGGGTTCTGTATTCCAGGGGTAAAGGGGGAAATAGAGGCACGGACGAAGGCCTAGAAGAGAACTCAAGTTACAGCTTACAACTATTCCCTAGACGGTGCCGACGATGGCGCCGACAAGAACAACAACGACAACAACGACGAGTCCAGCTATCTTAACTAGGGCATTGGCAGCGGCCAGACTTGCTGCATTCTTCCATTTATTTGACTTGTTTCTTCATTCCTACTCACAAATATGCGCTTCCCCCCCCC